ATGATCATCAAGCAATTAAATGATAATTCCAAGATGTCAATATTATTTATTGATTAATAGACCATTTAATATTCACATATTGATCTTATTATTATTTGCTAATATTGATCGATAATCGATTAATTATTGATAATAACAACATGCATTATTAAAGTTAGATGTACTGTGAGGTTCATCTGCAAAAAAATCATGTTAAAACCAGGCCGCAAGATAAAAAAATAACCCACAGATTTTTATTATGCTTCATATACGTAAAGACATATGTGTACATATAAAGAAACATGACTTTCACTCCAGCACATTCTGTCTCGACTGGTGCACAAGATACTCATACTCGTTTCACTTAGTGGGCGTCGTTGATTTAAATACATTTATCTAATACATATATGTACACATCCCTTCACGCCATCTACACTCTTTTAACTCATAGCACGCGAGTCACTGACTATTTTGCTTTGTCGAATCATGCCGGATGTTGCCTCAGGTATAAATGTACAAGTCCAGACCCAAGGTAAACTCTTGGGTCCTCCTCTCACTCTTATTTTGTCGCTTTATCTCACTATGAAAAGAAGAAGAAAGAGAACGCGACACTCGGGCGTGCTCAGCATACATACAACTGATATCTTTGGGAAGCTTATGCCTTATACCATGAGGAGGTCGTACAGGATCTTCATTTTTTTATCGCTATAAAGAAGAAGGGTAGTCCCATGTTCTTTTTTGCTTCATTAACATGTGTACTTTGCTTGCGTCCTGGTGGTACATGGAAATTTATTCCTCCCTCTTTCAACACTTTATATTACTCAGACATATATCCACTTGATTTACTGCGAAAAGGTTACGTAGGTCCTCACCATCACTATCTCCACCAACATGCTTTATCTGTGCTCTTATCGCACTGTCGGATTATCATTAAACAGCTGTAAATTGTAATTAACAGCTTCCTGAAAATTTTCTATTTACCATCATGAATTACTAAAGATGATGCTCGAGTTTCATGCTTTACTTGCGGTCTAGGCTTTGTGAATACACACCTGTTAGGTAGTTTTTGGGTTTGTGTGATGCGACAGGTATATTTCTTGCTCTCGAAAAGGTCATGCTGTTGACAATGGATCCCTAAAAAGTGTCATTAGGGAAAGTGAATAGTAGATTACCGTATTAAAATGGCTCAAAGGCTAACTAAGGTCGACAATAGTTGATACCTTGCTTATTGTACTTTGATCATTTCAAAGTCAAGTCAGTGTGAAAAATCAGCTGTCAATGTCATTCAAATAGTTGCATGTGAATGATCTCATATTTATGGGTTTTTTATATATTTGCATAAGAATTTAAAGATCGAAATTTTTTGTTCGGAATCGTTCAATTTCTTGGTCAAAAGGAATCTGTGCGATCTGTCTATTTTTTTATGGGAAAGAATTTCTAAAAAGAGTATCAATGAATTTAAAAAAATTAATGTTGAATGATTTTCATGTGAAAAACTTTTATGGAGAATAAATGATTCAGAAATATTTTGATCATTTTTCGTAAGAATTAAACTTTCCACTTTTATTTAAAAAAAAATAATGATAAAATTTTAAATGAATGGGAACAAGCAATATATTTATAGGGACAGATGTTCCTAATTAAGAAAAAATAGCTGAAATTAAAAAAAAATGTTGAACCACTTTAGAGTATTAATTTTTAAAAAATGATTGTTTATAATTAAACATAACGTAATGTACAAAAGTAACATATTTTTATAGAGAGAATTTTTTCACCTGTCACGTTCTTTATAATTATTTTGTTTATTTATTAAATACTAGTTGTTGTAATTTTCACGATATAACATAACGGTCGTTATTAGAAATTATGTAATTATACCTTTTTATATGTAATAACAGGAGATTTAATTGCGTTGATATAGTATTCATGATAAAATTGTTTATTTTAATTACAACAGTGAGTCATATTATAAATACAAAAAAGATAAAAGTTTAAACGAATCTTCAATTATGACGATAAAAAGATTGATAGTTTGATCCTCTCGAAAGTTATAAAAAAATTTATGCATCAAAAAATGTGACACCAAAACTTTTTTTAAATAGATACAAATCTTGTGATTGCAATATTGCTATTTTTAAATCACAGTTAATAGATGAAAATTTTTTGCTGCTACGTGAATTAACTATTAGACTTTAGCAATTAAAAAAAATTATTCTCTAATAATATATTCCCCCTTTCCACTACTATGAAGATTGAAGAGACTTATTATTCATATCTATTAACTTTATTTACAATTAATAACCAACCATAATTCTTTCAACTCAACCTAATCTGGATTAAGCTTTTTAAAAATATTCTTCTCCACTTGACTTAAAAACTCCACACAACGACCAGTCTTCTACTTACTTCATTACTCTTAAAAATATATATCTCAGCAGGTTAAACTTTGTGTAATTTCAATAAAAAAAATCACATTTTTAAAAATAACTCAAGCTTATCTATTCCACCTGTATGATCATACTTTTCTCTACAATCTGAGTAGATAAACAATTAAAAAATAACTCGAGTACATTTTCGATGTACTTCATGGACTAATGAAGCATCCCGGTGGTAGAGAATGAACGTCAACTCGAAATAATAATGAGTAGTAAACCCGATTGTAATTAATTAATGTGCTCGTGATGTAATGCAACTTGGAGGATAACGACCTCGGTACTCTATATCGCTTCGCTTAACTTTGCCTCCTCTTTCCCCTCTCAAGGATTATTACGAAACGGAGGCAATTAGTTTATAGCTCGTACAGACGTGTTGACGAACAACAAAGAACATCCATCCTTTTGTACATAGATATAAGTACATACTCTGTATATAGATGTATTTTTCTTCCTTATGTTTTTCTCTAATATATCCAGGCATTTACGTACATGTAAGTGTCTCTGCTTAGTTAAAGCAACAGAAGACATGAAGAGCTTGAAGTGACAAATTATCAGGTAAATTACCGCAATCAGAATAACCGCATGTATTGTATGTACACACACGTAGATAAATGTGGGTATGAATATATGAGTGAAAAGTCAGGGTCGTCTAGTTATAGAAATCCTCATGAGAATAAGGAAGTTTCTCATCTATAAAAATTATTTTGATGTACATCAAGATCGTCTTTTTTATCTTCATTTAATTTATTGCGAGGATGTTATTATGTAATGATTTGATTCTTATTGTGAATCTTAACCTCAAGTGAGTGCATCAAGCTGTAAGTAGTTATAGGAAGAATCGAAAGGATGATGAGGCTTATACATGTATTTAATTTCATTTATTAAAACATTCCTTTATAATTTTATTCATTAACAGAATTTTTTCTCTCATTTAATATTGAAATTAGTTTTATATTATTGATCGAACGTCGAATAGTGATGTAATAATTGACGGAAATAAGACTTGATGATTAACATTGACAATAAACTAACGGGATTTAAATGATAAAAGTGTTTGAATGAACAATTTACATTCATTTGCAAAAATTTTTTTATACTTTTTATTGTTTTTAATGAATTAAAATAAATATATTGTTAACTGTTTTTTTTTATTTTTTAGTAATAGAGTATATTTTATCTTTAGTTACAATAGGGTTTACCTATATGGTTGCCAATTCTTTTTATTTATCAAAAAGGGCATGAGACGGCAATGAAGGGAAGAAATAAACTCATATATAAATATAGTAATGTTGTGGTATAACGATTGATTCCAAGGAAAAATTGTTGAAGTTACATCTGTGAGTGCACATAAAAAAATATCCGGTGCTTATGCTTGGCTATATCACAGTGGCAGTCGATTTGATTTTGTATCACGTGCATCCGGTAATAGAATGCTTTCTGCAACTTAAAAATGATCAAGTACACTATTTTACATTGGTCTTTTATTTTTACTTCCATTATCAAAGGAATGTCATTTGAAAAATTATAGTGAGAAGAAAATTATTTCTTTTGAACACATTAAATAGTAAATAACATACATACCATAATAATTTAATGGTCACACTAATCTATTAATTTAAAAAAAAAAAAATTCCGAATTTATTCAAACGGAAAATTCTTCCTTATGTACAATTATTTATTAGATACATAATTATTGAAATTCATCGTATTAATTTATTCCAAAAATATTTTATGCAAAAAAATGAATGAAAAAAAAATTAATTACAAATGATTGATTAATTTTTTTCCAATGAATTCACTGACGAAGAAATAAAAAAAAAAATTAATTTTCAAAATTTCACGCTAAGTCGGACCTCACCGGACGAAGAGAACAAACTGAAAAAGAAGGAAGTGGTTTTGCAGGTGCATCTGTTACTTTTTATACGATTTCTAAGCTATGTTTCTAAGGAGTTAAAGAGTAGCTAACTTATAACAGCAATAAATCAGCAACAAAAAGATGCTTAAGATAATTATCAACTGTTTTGTTTATTATTATTTTTAAACTGTAACTCGAGAACATATTTTACCTCTGGTATTTACATCATGCTTTACCTTTTTTAGAGACTGAAAACAATTTAGAATTAATTCCGAAAGTTTGAACACCTTTATTCTTCTTTCATACCATGCCTACATTCTTTAAACTCCCACACAAGTTTCAAAAAATTTTACTCTGTTGGATCATACATTATAATATTGAATATTCTTATCGTGCGTTTCCAAGTAAATGAAAGTATGTGTGTAGGAGAGTCAATATGTAGATGACTATTTGACTAATAAGAAAAGTATTAATAAAAGTCATGCGATGTTCCAAGAGCAGTGTTGTAATGTGCTTATCAAGTGAATGGATAAAAATAGTGAAATGCTATTTATATATTGGAAATAATCAATTATTAATCAATAAAGATTGTTTTTTTTTTTATAAATAATGTTTAAAGGGTAAAAAATATATAAAATAAGTTGAGGCTGCTTTGGGTTTGATTCTTGCAAAAATATTAAATATTCATATCTAGTGTCATGAATTCTTCATTTTAATTTTTTTCTTTTCAGGGAAGATGAAACATCTTTCACTTTTAGTGGTGTGGATTCTCTTATCCTCATGTCCAGTAAGTATTTTCAATTTTATTAATGCATTTAAGTTAATCAGTCAAATTGTTGAAAGTAACGTTAAAAATTTTTTAACACTCTGAAGATGAGTAAAAGTTTATCAATAGAATCAATAAAAAACATAAATATTATGTAAATGCCTTTTTTATTAAAGAATTAATCAAAGAAGTTTTTCAAATAAATATTGACCTTAAATTGATTCTTGTTCTTTATTCAATGAAAAATGAATATACATTTATAATTTAATTACTTGTGGAAGATAATCGAACCTTCGATCATATTAAATATTTATGGTTATTTATAAATTATGACTTCAATAACTTTCTACATAAAATTCTATTTACATGGTTCATTTCAATAGGTAGATCAAAATAATAAATTCTTGAATTAATTTGTGATGATTGGAAGTCACCCTTTTAAGTCTTTTTATGACTCAGTGTTGATGATGATTTAAATTTAAATTTATTGACAAATAAAAACATGTAGTAATTAATTATAATTTATTTACTTACAATATTTTTAATTTTTTAAATATCAGCATTTTTAATACATGTATATGTCTATTAACAATTGACAAAGTATAATTGCGAATTTTTATTGATAAAGATTGACTTTCACCTTCATAAATTATTATATAAAACATTTTATACTCAATACAAAGTAATAAAAAAAGTTTCACAGCTTGTTTTGGGTTCGAGTCCTACTTTTGAACAATCATCAATTAACTTTCCCAATTAAAAGCCTAAAATAGAATTTTCCTTATAAAGATATTTAAATAGTTGTAATGAATTTCAAGTTTTCATTTAATAATGAAAAATATCCACTTCTATAAAATATTCATCAATGATTATCATCTACAACTCCAATAACTCTCTAAAATTTGTCAAGTCGTATCTGATAATTACAAGTTTCTTAAATTCCGTTAGGATTCCAACGATGACTACATTAAATATTTAATAAAGCAATCAAACAAGAAGCAAAAAATTTTTTCTACTTTATTTACATTGTAAATTTACCTAATTTATTTTTAGTTTCAGATTGATTCCTTAAAAGGAATCAGAAAAGGATCAAAACATAATGTTTTCTTCCTTAACTTGGAAGATGGTTATTTTGGCTGTCAAGTAAACGAATCGACAGATGTACTGCAATTACTCGAACTGTCGAGGCTGTGTGACGGAAAAAACGACTGTTATCAGGGCACTGATGAGATTCGAAATGTTCTCAAGTGTTCAGGTACGTTATAACTTATTACTACAATATATAATACTTTAAATAATAAATCATACTGTTACGTTCAACTTCTATAAGACAAAAGAAATTTTCCAACAGCAATACTGAATCCAAAGATACCTAGACGTAGTTGACTTTGTAGCAATGCCATGACCTACGATTGTCGTGATTGCCTCAGGATTTTATGGGAAAATTACAAACGTTTATGGGGGATGTATTGTAGTAGAGTAAATGAAAAAAAAATATATAAAAAGTTATGAGGACACGTTTATTTTCTTCCTCATCGTATTCTTGTTATATTACTTGCCTTCCGCGTGGGCATAGTATAGTCGCGCCTCACCGTTATAATCCAAGGTTCGTTGTCAGGCAGTTTCGTTCATCGTTCATCAGTCACGCATACGTTTTTCCGTCCAGCTTGTTTACTAAATTAACTTTTATATTACAATTTAAGTAACATTGAGAGTTTAATTCTAATTAGTTGCTGAATTATTTACTTATTTGTTGGGTTTATTTTAGATGACTGTACTAAAGAAGATGGTACCAAGTGCCAAAATGGTGTGTGTCTTGATGGAGTTTGTCATTGCAATGATGGCTTTGGCGGTTGTAATTGTCAAGTGCCTGGTATGTTAATTTTACTTTGGATTTCAAACTTACTTTACAAGTTTTTTAATAAGATGAAGTTTTACATTAATGTTCAAATTAAGATAAAAACTTTTTTTTTCTTTATTTTTTTAAGCTGATTTTTATAATAATTACGTGATACAATTAAAAACCAGCTTTTGTTATTTATAAAAGAAATAAAATTAACTAATATAAATCCATATAAATTATGATACAATTAAATTCATTATTTCAAGGTTGATTATATAAAAAAAATTGATTTTAAAATATAATTCTAGATGAAAACGAGTGTAAGTACAGACCCTGTGATATTTTTGCTCACTGTACAAACACTCTTGGAAGCTTTCATTGCTCTTGTTTTCCTGGATACCGAGGAGATGGCTTTATCTGCGAAGGTAAGAAGTATAACATAAAAAAAACAAAATAAATACATTCCTTCAGCCAACATAAATGTTTTAGCTTGAGTGAACCTAACCTTTTTTTAGTCAACACTCAATTCTTATTTTTTTATGCTTATAATAATATTTTTTTATTGAATCAACTTTATTTCTTACTTAAACATAATTGTTCTAGATATCGACGAATGCGAAGATCCAGTTCTCTCATCGAGATGCGTGGAGAATGCCGAGTGTTGTAACTTACCTGCTAATTTCATTTGTAAATGTAAAGCGGGATATACGGGTGATGGTGAAGAACATTGTGCTGATATAGATGAATGTCAACTACCAAATTCATGTGGTGAAAACGCTCATTGTCAAAATACTCCTGGAAACTTTACATGTACTTGTCAAGATGGTTATACTGGAGATCCACACAAAGGCGTAAGTATTCATGTATTTTAGCAATGACCATCTAAACTATGTATCTGTCATATATCATTTAATAGCAGGTTTAAAACATTTATTTTTAGTTGATTATACTCTTACCTCATCAGCAGTTAATTATCACTACTTGTCTTTTACATATACTTCAATGTTTTATTTTTAGTGTCATGACATCAATGAATGTGAGAGCCCTCACGCATGTGGGTATGGTGCACTTTGCATTAACCTTCCTGGTAGCCATCGATGTGAGTGTCCTCAGGGCTATGAGGGTAATCCTGAAGATGCTTGTATAGACACTGACGAATGCACACGAAGTCCTTGCGGCCGTTCAGCTCTTTGTACAAACCTAGATGGTAGTTTCAAATGTCATTGTCCTGATGGAATGGATGGAGATCCTTTCAGCGGCTGTCATGGTATTTTACATTATCTATTTCACTTATCCATTCGATACTAGTTTTACATATAGTATTTTATCCTAAATAGACTCTAATAATTTTAACAAGCTTTAAGTATGTGTATGTTGTTGCTTGATATTAATTATTTTCATCATTCATTACTTATTTAACTAATTGTGGCTGGATCATTAAAATAGATATCAACGAGTGCGAATTAAACAATCCATGTGACAAGAATTCCCAGTGTGTTAACAAGGATGGTGGATTTGAGTGTAGGTGTCTTCCAGGCTATCAACATGATTCACTTCTAGGATGCATTGATGTTAATGAGTGTCTTCGCGCTAATGCTTGTGCGTCCAATAGCAATTGTATCAATATTTATGGATCGTACAAATGTATTTGCCCTCAAGGTTTCACAGGACATGGACTTATTCATTGCGAGAGTCAGTATCATCTCATTTTAACTTCATTTAATGATCATTATAAACAAACATACTATACAACTAATGAGCTCACTTACATAGACTAATAATTAATTAACGCTTGATTGTTAACTACACATGACAGATGTTAACGAGTGTGAAAAAAATCCTTGCGGAAGAAATGCTGAGTGTGTTGATACTTTGGGAAGCTTTATATGCCGCTGCAAAAATGATTATACTGGTGATCCATTCAAAGGCTGCACTGGTTAGATCCGACATAATTTTTTATATATCTGTGTTATTATTCAAAATTGTTTTTGTACAACTTTTTAATATTGATTTTTTGAATTTTTAAGATATCAATGAATGCAACTCACCAGAGAATCCTTGTGGAAAGAATGCAGTTTGCAAAAACACTGATCCTGGTTTTACGTGTGAGTGTCCTCCAGGATATAGTGGCAATCCTAGCCCATCGGTAGCCTGTGATCAGGTATGGTTATAAATGTAACAAAAAAAAAATTCAGGTGTAATGTGACTTGTAATGTTGATGTTTTGTAGACGGACGTTACGACCCTCTGTAAGTCCAACTTCGAATGCGTAAACAATGCTGAGTGCATTGAGGGACAGTGTTTCTGCAAGGACGGTTTCAAGGCCGTTGGGGCAGAGTGCAAGGACCTCGACGAGTGTGCAACAAACATTTGCGGACCAGCCGCGGTGTGCACAAACACCCGAGGAAGTTATCATTGCGCTTGTGAGACCGGTTTTGTTGGTACACCGCCGCGTATTCCATGCAAAGGTATATGCTATGTAGATATATAAATATAGACTATTTTTCACATACCAACGTACGGAGTATTTGCTTCATTTTCTTCATCAAGACCAACACTTGAGAAATTATAAATGGTGGTGATAAAGAAAGGATGGTTGAAATATATAAGGAAGTTGTTGCATTTATTATAAAGAAGTTTTGTCATTTTTCTTTTCAGCACCTTGCGAAGGAGTTGTATGTGGCGAGCATGCGTTTTGTAAACCAGATGGACATGAAGCCTATTGTATTTGCAAAGATGGTTGGACCTTTAATCCGAACGATATTTCAGCTGGCTGTGTTGACATTAATGAATGCGACTCAATCAACGGACCTTCCGGTCGTTGTGGAAGAAATTCCATTTGTACAAACACTCCAGGAGGATTTAATTGCCAATGTAAACCTGGATACTCTGGTAATGCCTTCAAGCAATGTCTAGGTAAGTCTTTACATGATAGAAAAATTTTCAAGGTATATAAAAGAAGAGAAGGGTGAGAAACAGAGAAAGAGATGATTAATTTGCGGTTAAATTTCAAGACATAGACGAGTGCACACGGCCTGACGCCTGCGGTCACGGTGCAACTTGCACTAATACAGATGGTGGATACACGTGTACTTGTCCTGAGGATACGATACCGGATCCAGATCCTTACACCAAGTGTGTTGGCATAGTAAAATGTGAAATCGATAATGATTGCCCTGGGAATGCTATTTGCGATCCGTCAAAGAGGTGTTTATGTCCAGAACCTAATATTGGAAATGACTGTCGACGTAAGTACTGGATTCATCTGAATAATGATAAGAAGAATATAGATTTTAATCTTAACTAAATTACTCGCTATTACAATGGTTATTACATATAATCATCGGTTTATATTGTCTTTAAAGAATTAAAATATATTTTTTGCATTTTATTAAACTTTCGTTTCACTTATCTCTATTGTAATTTTGCTTACTCTAAAATAATTATCCATTTTCACATGAAAATACTTCTTATTGTTTCAGATCCTTGTGAAGATGTATCATGTGGTCCCAATGCTCATTGTATGATTATAAATGACATAGCTACGTGTCTATGCAGTAATGGATTCACCGGAAAGCCTGGAGTAAAAGGCGGTTGCACAGACATCGATGAATGTGCTGTAAATCCATGTCCACCTGGAGCTGTATGTAATAATGAAGCCGGTTCGTTTTCTTGTCAATGTCCCAGTGGAACAACTGGTGATCCATACAATGGCGGTTGTAAAGAAACAGCATTCCCACATGTTTGTGGACCAAATATTCCTTGTCCAGCTGGTGAACAGTGTGTTAAAAATGAATTCGCCGGTAGTTATGCATGTATCTGTCAACAACGTTACATACGAGATCCTGAAACAGGAAAATGTCGAGATATAAACGAATGTTTAGAGCAAAGAGACAAACCACCATGTGGTGTTAATGCAATTTGTAAAAATTTACCAGGAAGTTATGATTGCCAATGCCTTCCTGGATTCCACGGCAATCCATTTACCCTTTGTGAAGAATGTAACAGCATTGAATGCCAATGTCAACCACCTTATAAGCTAGTTAATGATAAATGCATGCTGGCTGGCTGCTCTGAGGGTGATGAAAAATGTCCTAAAGGTGCTGAATGCATTACCATCGCTGGTGGTGTGAGTTACTGTGCTTGTCCTAAAGGATACAGCACTCAACCGGATGGATCTTGTCAAGATATTAATGAATGCGTAGAAGAACATCAAGTATGTGGTTATGGAGCAGAATGTATTAATCGTCCAGGATCTTATGAATGTATTTGTCCTCATGGTTATGGTGGAGATCCTTACAACGGTCTTTGTTCACCAGCACAAAAAAGATGTACTAATGATAATGAATGTCGTGCCAACGAGAAGTGTGTGCAGCCCGGAGAATGTGTATGTCCACCGCCGTTTTATACTGATGCTGTTGATGGTGACAAATGCAAAAATCCTTGTGATAGATTCCCCTGCGGAATTAATGCAAAATGTACACCCAGTGATCCACCAAGATGTATGTGCGAAGCTGGTTATGAAGGCGATCCTCAACATGGATGTACTGATGTCAATGAGTGTATTAATAATCCTTGTGGTAATGGTGCTTACTGTATCAATAATCGCGGTGGACATATTTGCGAATGTCCTCGAGGCACCTCCGGTGATCCTTACAGTAGCGTTGGATGCACTGGCATTATTCAGTCAAGACAAGAGTGCACCCGTAACGATGACTGTGAAAATTACTTTGCTTGTGTACAAGGCAACTGTGTTAATCCATGTGATAATGTCTCCTGTGGACCAAATGCTTATTGTGAACCAGATAAACATGCACCATGGTGTAGATGTGTTATTGGATTCAACGAAGGAAAAAACAACGAATGTGTATCTCAATGTGACGGTTTTGTATGTGGTATTGGAGCTCAGTGTATTGTTTCTTATGATGGACCAACGTGTAAGTGTATTGAAGGTTTCACAGGTAATCCTTTCCCTGGCGGTCAATGTGAACCAGATATTTGTTCATCAGAAGTACCATGTGCTGAACCAAGCGTTTGCATAAGTGGACGTTGTAAACGACGATGCGAAGGTGTAATCTGTGGAATTGGAGCAACTTGTGATCCACAAACAAACAAATGTATATGTAATCCTTACTTCGTTGGAAATCCTGATCTTGTTTGCATGCCACCGATTCAACCGCCACATTGTAGTCCGGCGTGCGGTGAAAATGCGCATTGCGAATACAATTCCATGGACTTCAAATGCGTTTGTAATCCAGGAACAACTGGCAATCCATATCAAGGCTGTGGAGCACAGAAGAAATCAGAATGTACCAATACCATTTGTGGAGAAAATGCTCATTGTCATGTTGCCGCAAACGCTATCGAGTGTCTTTGTCCGCCAGGATATGCTGGTAATCCTTACATCAAATGTCATGATATCAATGAATGCAGTGGCAATGCTTGTGGAACTAACGCTGTATGTATCAACACAATTGGAAGCTATGATTGTCGGTGTAAAGAAGGATTCTTTGGCAATCCATTTGTCGATTGTTCAACAATTGATTCAAACATTTGTACCGATGTATCAACCTGCAAGTGTGGTCCAAATGTTCCATGTCCTTTGGATTATTCTTGTATAAACGGTAAATGTTTGAATCAGTGTAGCGATATCAAATGTGGTCCAAAAGCAGTGTGTCAAGATGGTATTTGCTTATGTCCATCCGGATATATTGGTGATCCCTACGAATTATCTAAAGGATGTCATATTGAAGGACATTGTTCCAATGATTTGGAGTGTGCACCTCAAGAAATTTGCTTCCAGTTCAGTAAAGGAATTAGGAAGTGCGTTGATGCTTGTACTAAACTCCAATGTGGCCCTAATGCACTATGTGTAACACATAACCATATATCTTCATGTTTATGCATCGATGGATATTACGGAAATCCAAGTAATTTAATCGATGGTTGCCAACCAGACCGGTCTATTGCACCACCCATTTGTCTACATGATTCAGATTGTCCACAAGGATTTTTATGTGTTCTAGACCAGAACGGCATTTATAACTGTTTGAATGCATGCACAAAAATTGCATGCGGAGTCCATCAATACTGTGAAATTGACAATGGAAAGGCTAAATGTAAATGTCTTGATGGGTATGAATGGAATCCTGTTACTTCAACGTGTGTAAAGCCTTCAGTACCTGATTGTATCCATGACAATGATTGCGATTCAACTGAAGCATGTCGACCAGATGCTCTTAACGTTTTAAAGTGTATTCCTAGTTGCAAGACATTTACGTGTCCATTAAATTCTCAATGCGTCGCTAATAACCACCAAGCAACTTGTGAATGTTTATTAGGCTTCACTGGTAATCCCAATGATCGCACAGGATGTCAGAGTACAAGACAGAACAGATGCGTGTCAGACTCGGAATGTTTAGAAGACGAAACCTGTAGATCTTCATCAGAAGGTGTTCTAACATGTTTACCAGTATGTAATTTTGTAACTTGTGGTCCTGGTGCTTTGTGTATTGCTAACAATCACGTAGCAAAATGTGAGTGTCCACCTGGACTATATGCTGGTGACCCGGATGATTCAATAAATGGTTGTAAATCAGTACCATGTGTTTATAATATCGATTGTCCGGGTACACAACTTTGTAATCGTCTCACGCACACTTGTTACGATGTCTGTGATGAAAATGCATGTGGAACTAATGCTGTTTGTATTGCCAATGATCATAAGGCTATTTGTCAATGTCCACCAGGCTTCAAAGCAAATCCTGTGGCTGAAATCGAGTGTGTAGCAGTCGAAGCATGTAATCCGAACCCATGTCATCCTTCAGCAGTGTGCATCGTTGATGCTCATAGTTCAATATGCCAATGTCAACCTGGACATATTGGCGATCCTTACACGTCTGGATGTCAATTGGTTGGAACTTGTAATTCAAATAAAGATTGTCCAATCAATTCAATATGTAAAAATAGACAATGTATGAATCCATGTGATAATGCATGTGGAAGTAATGCTATCTGTGAAGTCATCAACGGTGAACCTATTTGTCGCTGTATTAATAGCAAATTCATACCGATAAGAGACGCCAATCAGTTACATGTTCATAGTTGTATCAGAGCTACAAGCTTTTGTGCTACATCTGTAGATTGTGATGATGGTAGCAACTGTATTGAAGGTCAATGCAAAGCTGTTTGTAGATCTACAGATGACTGTATAATTGGAGAAAAATGTATCAATAATGTTTGCGCCATTCCGTGCATCACTTCAAGCCAATGTCAAGACCATGAGACCTGTTATAATGGTGTTTGTATTCTTGGATGCAGAAGCAGTAAAAGTTGTCCATCTGACCAAGCTTGTATCAATAATAAATGCCAGAATCCTTGCGACCAAGAGAATGTTTGTGGACCTAACGCTTTGTGTAGTTATGTCGATCATACAACAAGTTGTTCATGCCCTATTGGTTTTCAAGGTAATCCTAAACCTCAACAAGGTTGTGTAAGAGTTCCTAATATTTGTCATACTGATCACGATTGTCCAACACAACATCAATGTATATCCGGATTCTGTCAATGTATGTGTACATCAAACAATAATTGTGCTCATGGAGAACGTTGTAAAAATGGTCAATGTGTTAAGATTTGTTATGGAAATAATAATTGTTTACCCGGAGAACTGTGTATCGATGGTGCCTGTGAAGCAGGTTGCACTTCAGACATTGGATGTCGAGCTGATGAGATTTGTATTAATGGAAAATGTAAATGTAGTCATGGATTAATTCGCGGACCTGATGATGAATGTCTTGATATCAACGAGTGTGATGATAACCCTTGTCACTTCACAGCCGAATGTATTAATCTCCATGGATCATTTAAATGTATATGTTCGCATAATACTGCTGGAGATCCATATGATTTGTCTATTGGATGCTCAACAGCAATTCATCAATGTACGAGTGACCATGACTGTTCGGATTCTCAAGCATGTGTTAAAAATGTTTGTGTTGATCCTTGTTCATTAAACACCGACTGTGATCACGGTAGTAATACTATGTGTACAGTCATCAATCACATTGCTGAATGTCAATGTCAACCAGGTTACGTTGGTGATAGATACAGCGGATGCTTCAAAGTTGAGTGCTTCACTAATAATGACTGCCCAAGTGACAAATATTGTAATATGGAGAATAATAAATGTATCAGCCCATGCAATAAAATTACTTGCGGACATGGTAACTGTGTTGCTATTGATCACAATGCCGTTTGCAAATGTCATCCAGGTTACAAATTAATTCTAGACACTTGTCTAGATATCAACGAATGTCTTGAAGATGCTTGTCATCCAACAGCTGTTTGTCAGAATACAGAGGGTTCCTATTTCTGTGCTTGTGCTCATGGATTAATTGGAGATCCAGTGAAAACAGGATGTAAAGCTCCTGGGGACTGTTTTACAGATTCTGATTGTCCATCTTCAGCAGCGTGTATTGAAAATACTTGCAGAAATCCTTGTGATAAACTACTAAACTCATGCGGCCATAATGCTGAGTGCATTGTTAATAACCACATTGCTCAATGCTTCTGTCCAGGTCAAAGTACTGGTAATCCAAAAATAGAATGCATCAAATTTGAATGTAATTATCATGGTGATTGTGATGCACTAAGTGCTTGTTTGGACAATAAATGTGTGGATCCATGTTCAGTACCCAATGTCTGTGGTCAAGGTGCAGACTGTTCACCTTTGAATCACTCAGCAGTGTGCACATGTCAACCAGGAGGTACTGGAGATCCTAATTTCAGATGTACACCTGTTCAATATTGTAAGACTGATCACCAGTGTCCAACTGGTACATCATGTAATGGGGGAATTTGTGCTGCTTTCTGTTCAACTATTAGAGACTGTATTGAAGATCAAAGATGTATTAATGGACTCTGCAAACCGGTTTGTCAGTCAAATACGACCTGTCCAGAGTACCAATACTGCCATAATAATATTTGTGTTCAAGAATTACGTTGTACATCTGATTTAGACTGTGGATACGATGAAAAATGTGTAAGTAACAATTTTGGCCAAGCTGAATGTCGCAAATCGTGCGATTTAATTATTTGTGGAAGAAATGCTGTATGTAAACCTGAAAATCATGAAGCAATTTGTGAATGTGACCGAGGATTTTTCGGTAACGCATACGACGACAAAATGGGATGTCAATCAATCGAATGTGAATCAAATAATGATTGTTCAGACGAAAAAATATGTGACAATTTCAAATGTAGAATAGCTTGTCTCGCCCATAATCCATGCGGTTCGAATGCTATTTGTTCAACTGATAATCATGTTCAAGTGTGTACTTGTCAACCGGGTTATACTGGAGAACCAACACAAGGTTGTCACCTTGTTGATTATTGCCTAATCCACTCCCCTTGTGCACCAGGTGCACTTTGTACAAACTCTAGAGGATCTTATCGATGTCAATGTCAACTAGGAACAGTTGGAGATCCATACAACAGCGGTTGTCAAAAACCTGTGGAATGTCTAAAAGATGCAGACTGTCCTATCACTGCTAAATGCATTGACGTCAATGGAGTACCAAAATGTACTGATGTTTGTTCAATAATTCAATGTGGACCAAATGCTGAGTGTATTCCTGGTCAACCACAACATCATTTAGCAACTTGCAACTGTAGATTGGGCTACGAAGGAGATGCTCATGACTTGAGAGTAGGATGTCGTCCACAACCAACTGCCTGTACTACAACTAGTCAATGCTCGGCTAATACTTACTGTTATGAGAATATTTGTCGACCGTCTTGTCAATCTGATGAAGAATGTAATCTCACCGACGTTTGTTACAGTGGTCAATGCTTAGATCCATGTCAAATTCGTGGAGCATGTGGAATAAATGCTGAATGTCAAGTTAACAGTCATATTAAACGCTGCAGTTGTCCTCCAGGATTCACTGGTAATTCTGAAGTGGAATGTGTTCGTCTTCCAGTATCTTGTATTGGACATAATGATTGTAATGTTGGTAATACATGTCGAGATAATGTCTGCTTACCAATTTGTACATTTGACAATGAATGTGCTTTCAACGAAAAATGTATCCAAGGTAATTGCCTACTTACCTGCAGACTGGACAATGACTGTTTCTTAGGTCACATTTGTTTGAATAATATGTGCTCTTATGGCTGCAAAGGAGACGAAGATTGCAAGGGTGATGAAGCTTGTTCTTCAAATAAATGTGTTAATCCTTGTTCATTATCACTCTGTGGACCGAATGCTAAATGCTCTGTCATCAATCAAAGAGCTTCTTGTTCCTGTCCAGATGGTTTTATACCTAATCCATCAGCAAGAATTGCTTGTCTTCGTATACCAGGTACTATATGTGAATCAAACAGAGATTGTACAGCGGGTATGAGTTGTGTTGCAGGATTATGTTCTCCAGTATGCTCTTCAAATGCTAATTGTCTCAGCAATGAACATTGCGATGCTTCAGGTATTTGTAGAACACTCTGTAGACAAGATGAAGATTGTAGAAATGGTGAGATTTGTCAAGGAATTATGTGTCTAGCTGGATGTCGAGCTAATCTTGAATGTGCAGAGCATTTAGCTTGTATTAATAATCAATGCATTGATCCATGTAGTCTTCCTAATGCTTGTGGAACCAATGCTGAATGCACAGTTGTCAAGAATCAAAAACAATGTCACTGCCCATCCAATCTTATTGGCGATCCTTTCGTTAGTTGTAAACGAATTCTTACACCATGCACTGACGACTCATTATGTCAACCAGGCGATGTTTGTATTGGCCAATTCTGTTATCCACTTTGTCGAAGTGATACCAGCTGTTTGAATAATGAGCATTGCGATGATGGATCGTGTAAAGCCATTTGTAATACCGATAGTGATTGTTCGATTAATGAGATTTGTGAAAATCGTCTTTGTAAACTAGGATGTCGCAGTGATAATACTTGTCCCAGTGATGAATCATGCATCAATAATCGGTGTCAAAACCCCTGCAAAGATAAAAGTATTTGTGGAGAATGCGCTGGATGTCAAGTAATTAATCACTCTGCGCAATGCAGTTGTCCACCAAATTATTATGGAAATGCTTTAATTAGTTGCATTAAATCACCTGTTCCTTGTGATGGTATATGTGAATGTGATTCAGTCGGCTTCTGTGTAAAGAGTTGTAATAATCAAAACGATTGCTCGTGTGGAGAAGTTTGCTCAGCAGGAAAATGTCGCATCAAATGTGATTTAGGTCTTAACGCTTGTGAAAAAGGATATATATGTAGAGAAGGAGCTTGCGTTGCTGGTTGTAAAACACATTCCGACTGTCCTACAACACATTCATGTAATAATGGTCGCTGTGAAGATCCCTGTAGTTTCCAAGGTTCTCCATGTGGTATTAATGCTCTTTGCAAAGTATCTAACCATCGAGCTATTTGTTTATGCCCTGTGGGATATCAAGGAGAACCATCGCAAGAGTGTTACCAACTGGAATGTCAAAGAAACGAAGATTGTGAGCCTAATAAAAGATGCAGCGAAGATGGATTGTGTACAAATCCTTGTCTACAACATGGAATTTGTGGTCTTAATGCTCAATGCCGAGTTGTTGACCGAGAAGCTCAATGTACATGTCCACCAGGTCATTATGGAAACCCGAAAATTAATTGTAAACCTGGAAGTGATGAATGTTTACGTAGACCATGTGGAATTAATGCTAAATGTCGAGAATCAGCCAGTGGCTTTGAATGTAGTTGTGACCCAGGATGTTACGGAGATCCTCATCAAGTTTGTATCTGTGATGGTAGTGATTTATGTAGAGATACAAGCTGTGGAGTGAATGCAGCTTGCAGAGTCTACAAAAACCAACCACAGTGTTATTGTCCTCCAGAATTCCCTGCTGGAGATCCAATTCATGAATGTACGTACTTATTTTCTAAGAAATATTTTCATGACATTTTAAATATCTTGAATAATTTTCTAAAGTAATAACATGCACTTTTAATTTATTGAAATTAAATAAAGTTTTTAATATTCATGAATTTCAAATACTAAAAAATTATATTCAAAGATGTTTTTTAATCTATACTAAAAAAAAAATTAATTTATTTATGTTGAATTCATAAATAATTATGATTATAGGCAGTACAGATCGAAATTCATTAGATTGTCGAACAATAGGCTGTGGTAAGGGTGCTGAATGTATCCGAGATGGTACTATTTTTGTATGTAGATGTCCACCGGGTACAGCAGGATCGCCAGATGTTGAATGTAAAACAGGTAAATTATTATCATTTATTCACTTACTTCTTCTTCATAACATAAATTTTTTTTATCTACAAAAATTTAGCAAAGTGTCTTGTGTCTTAGTAGAATGATAATAATGAATGACATTTAATCAAATAAATTATGACGTAGAAGTGTTAATAATTATCAACTGCAGTAGAAATATACGTTTTTATTCACACTGCTACTTTAGAGCTGATAATACATTAAATTTTATTGACATATTTTAATTTTTTATTTCAACTTAATATACAGTGTACTTGTTAACACTGAGAGACAGATGTGACCCACAGGCTAATATTGGTCGTATGTGCCTGAGATTAATTCTTCTTTTCACAGAAAATATTCAATATGTTTTTGTAAATAGTTTTACTCATAATAATTACTTGTACATAATTTATTATTATATATACACTTTTTTTGTCTCACACATAACTAGAAATAACAAGAATGTTCACCTCTTATACATTTGTCGAAAAATGATGATTTTTCTTGTAAATAATTATTATTGGTGACGTGAACATTCTTATATTTGTGTGCCCATGCTTCAATCAATTTTACAAAATTATAAAACAATTCAATATGATTTTGTCTCATTCTTCAAATTCTATTCGGAAATCCTATTTTGTAAATATATACTATATATTTCTTTCGATCTTTCAAACAGAGAAAAAAATGATTCAAAATTTATTAAAAGAATTTTTGGCGCTAAAATGATGAAAATGGTCAATTTGCTATCGGCAAAAATGAAAAAGCATGTGGTTTTGTGTTATTTGTGAGAAAGTATGTATTATTTTCTTTTCAATCATTTATCACCATCATTTATTTCTTATAAATGCTTTTTTTTCTTTTTTGTTTTTTTCCTCTCCTCCCTATGGACCTGACTACCCTATTGATGGCCAAATAATTCCTAAAATTAGAGCGAGAATGTACAAGTGACTCGGAGTGTCCAAATGAAAAGGCCTGCATAAACCTTCAATGTCTGGATCCATGTACACTAAGAGGTGCCTGTGGAAAAAATGCACTCTGCCGTGTTGTCCTTCATAAGCCTCGGTGCTCATGTCCACAATGTTATATCGGTGTACCTCAAATCTCCTGCAAACCGGAACCAAAATGCCAATCACTCTATCCACGACCAAATCCACCGCGAATTGGTTGCTCGAATGATACTGATTGTCCAGAAAATTTGTCATGCCATGGAATTACTGGTGAATGCCGAGATCCATGTGTCAATACCAAAAATAACTGCGAGGCAAACAAACGTTGTCAGGTCCGTGATCATCAACCAATGTGCGTGTGTAAATACGGTTTTGTAGTCAATGAAGTTGGTGAGCTAACTTGTGCCCCAGACATAGCATCTTGCTCTCGTGACATTGATTGTCCATCCAATGCCGCTTGTATCCATGGAAAATGCCAAAATCCATGTACTGCTCGAGCAAAACCAAACTCACCAGCATGCCCAACTGGTAAAATTTGCGACGTTCTTGATCATCGTCCCGTTTGTATATGCACCCAAAACTGCAATCCTTCCCTGTCCATTTGCCTTCGTGACAGTGGCTGCTCACCAGACTTGGCTTGCCGCAACTATCGCTGCGTGGATCCATGCAGTAATTCCACCTGTCCGGCTGATGCCCCATGTTACGTCGAGGAGCACAAGCCCGTCTGCAAGTTCTGTCCCTCTGGTTTTGTACCTGATACTAAGTACGGATGCATGAAAGGTAAACACATCAACAGAACACCACCAACAATACCAACAACAATCAGATCATCCAATACAATCATCATCATTACTATCATCACCTTAGTAGGGGTTTTTCAAATATTTTTGAAGTTTATCAATAACTTGGCCAAAGATATTAATTTATTCCTGACGAAGAATTATTCTTTTTTTCTTTTTGAAATTAAAATTTATATTCTATTTTTTCACTGCCGGATTAATAAAAATTATTTTTTTGTATCGATAAAGAAAAATATTTTTTCTTTTAATATTTTTTTAAAATTCATATTTAAATATTATAATTTTCCTCAATTATTTTGGCCATATTTTAATGACTGCTATTATTTAATTTCTACTAGGGTATAATCATCATCACCATCACCATAATCATCAACCTAATTATTATCAAAGTCATCTTCACACCCACATCCTCTTATCGAAACTCGGCATTTATTTATTGTTTTCTTCGTCTTCTTCCTCATCTCTCTTTTCCGCTTATCTTCGTTTTTTATATCTCTATTATTGTATTCACAATTTTCCTAAAATGTTTTAATGTAGATTCATCGGCTTTTTGTATTCTTCATAGAGTGGGTAGGCTGTTTTGCAGAAATATTATATATGAAGCTAAATAAATATTCTGTTGGTTGTGAATGGTGAATGTGTCATACATTTATGTATTAAGTATGTGCCTAATTTATTGTCAAGCAATATATGAAGATTTTTTATACTACAATATATACATGTACTCTACTAGGCCACGGTTCCTTCATGTGCTGCGCTACACCAAGATATTTTTCTTCCATCCTCCTTCCGTTGCATCTGTCTCTGTAAAACTTTATATTAATATTTGATAATATTTTATCATCTTCAGTTACACTTTTTTTTTTGAGTAGTAATGCATGCTCTAAATACTTTATAGATAATTAATTAGTAGATTTGTAGAGATATTAAACTTATTAGAATAACTCTGCTGAATTTAACAGTAAATCAATATTAATTGCTTAACTTTGCTCTGCCTTTATTCTAATTATTTCTTATATAATTTTAATCTAAAACTTCACATTTATGCAGTGATTAAAACGAAAAAAAAAAAACGAATGAAATTTATTTAATTAACCATAACTCAGGCTCAGATACACCTTTAATACATTTACTAAATTTAATTTAATGTCACTGATAACTGATTTTAAATCAGTCTATTATATTATATTCTAGTTTTGGGAATGACAATAAGTAATAAAATGTAAAAATTTCAATACATTAAATTTATGCAGTAAATAATCATCGCAGCTTTTTGGCATTTATTAAAGAAACAATGAACATAAAAAATTAACAAATATAAATAACTCAATTATTATCAAATGCATGAGTTAAGAAAACTGATTAATTTTCAATTGTTTTATCAGATGTGATATGTACAACACATGATGAGTGCCCGCCACAATTATCCTGCGTGGATCAGCATTGCTTGAACCCATGTACCGTGAAGAATCCTTGCGATTACATTGAAGAATGTCACGTCCAGGATCATAGACCAGTTTGTGTGAAAAGTAAACTTATTATTAATTAATTTTTCTTCTTTAATTAATTGTATATAATTTTTTAAATTACTATTTTATTTATTATAATTTTTTTTTCAGTTGATAAGCAAGCCGGATGTGGTTATTGTCCTCCAGGTCATCAGTGTGATCCCATCACCAACATCTGTATCAAAGGTTTGTTAATTATTATTCATTGCTTAATTTGTACATACAATTACTGTATTTAATGTACATAAGGATATACAAAAATGAAAAAAAAAATCATTTTAATTTTTTTTAATGCACTAAAGGTCTATCTTACACATCAAAATCTATAAAATCAAAAATCCAATTATTTTAAAAATATTTTGCAAAATTTTTTTAATCTTTATGTATAAAATAATTTTATAATAATGAATGTCTATGTATTATATGTAGACACTTAAAGCACACTTTTTTATCAAAATCCAATTCAAATAATTTTTTTATATCCAATTTTTAATGTAAAAAAGCAGCATTTATTCCTAAATTTACAATTTTTTTCCTGGCAATTTTTGCACTGGGTGTTTATGGGCACACTTGCTTATTTTTTTTTATTAGCTGGTTGCACTAGTGACAGGGATTGTCCATTAACGGAAACATGTATTGGACATATATGTCAGGAACCATGTCTTATCAAAAATCCATGTGTTGCTCATGCGGTTTGTATTAATACCAACCATGGTACAGACTGTAGCTGTGAAGAAGGATATCACGGTAATGGATTTAGTCTTTGTAATCCAGGTAAATATTATATCCATTATGACTTTCATTTTTTAACAATTCTTTCTCGTAATCTAATCTACAAATATTAAAATTTCAGTTACCAATTTCGAAAATGTTTGTCAGTATAATGAAGATTGCCCACCGAATAAACTTTGTGATCGATTAAACAGACGTTGCATAAACCCATGTTTCGAAGATAGCTGTGGAACTAATGCTGAATGTTATGCAGAAAACCATACAGCTCGTTGTAAATGTCTACCTGGATATGACGGAAACCCTCAAATTGCCTGCGAACATTCTCAAATATTCAACCCATGTTTACCAAACCCGTGTGGTATTGATGCACTATGTGAACTTGATAACGGAAACCCAATCTGCATCTGTCCAAAGGGAATGACAGGAAATCCATTTGAACATTGTCTCCCTGAAGGTAATAACTGCCACAGCAATCCATGTGGACCTAATTCTGATTGTCGATTAATAAGTGGCAAGATAACATGTTTCTGCTTACCTGGATACGAAGGAACTCCACCTCACACACTCTGTACTCTACCAGATAATCCATGTGAACCATCTCCATGTGGACCTAATACGAGATGCAATATCCTCGAAAATGGTATTGCTAAGTGTACTTGTTTACCAGGTTTTATAGAAAGTCCGAATACAATTAGAGGCTGTATAGAACAAACACATACTTGTGAACCAAACCCATGTGGAGTCGGAGCTCTTTGTGATGAAACTCGAGTTCCATCGTGTTACTGTCCAGAAAACACAGTTGGAAATCCATATAAGGCTTGTGTTATCAGTACTGTTGTTGTTCCGCTTTGTCAACCAGGCAACTGTGGAGTAAACGCTGACTGTTATATATCAGATAATCGTGAAAAATGTTATTGCAAGAATAATTTAATCGGAGACCCATATGTAGGATGCTATGAACCTCCAACCAGTGTCTGTCATCCTAATCCATGTGGAAGAAATGCTATTTGTCGAGTGACTGAATCCAATAAGGCTATGTGTGAATGCCTTCCGGGAACATCTGGAGATCCAACAAGTTTAGCTGGTTGTGACAGCTTTGAATGCACTGAAGACAGTGATTGTTTATTATCGATGGCATGTATTGGTCATAGATGTCAAAATCCATGTCTGGGAGCCTGTGGTGTTAATACTAATTGCAAAGTTGAACTTCATCATCCAATTTGTTCATGTAAAGAAGGATTCTATGGTAATCCTATGCTGCGATGCTCACCATTGATGGATCCAGAGCCGAAACATAACCCATGCTTCCCAAATCCATGTGGTCAAAATACTATTTGTCAAGTAATTCAAAATCGTGCTATATGTTCTTGTCTTCCTAATTTCTTGGGCGATCCTCAGATCGGATGTAACCCAGAGTGTACAGTCAATTCAGACTGTTCTAATGATAAAGCTTGTATCAACATGAAATGTGTAAATCCATGTAACTTAGGCAACATTTGCGGTGTCAACGCTGAATGTCATGTCACACATCACACACCAACTTGTTTGTGTGCGAATAATTACTTCGGCAATCCATTTATCAGTTGTATGCCTAAAACAGCGATCACTATAGAAAAATATCCAAATATCACTCATCCATGTGAGCCATCACCATGTGGTCAATATGATTATTGTGTTCCTTATACTGATCATATAGCTATGTGTGGAGGGTGTGGTATTCACGATTCAACTGGTACTTGGTGTAAACCTGAATGTCTTTGCAACAGTGACTGTCCATTTGATCATGCTTGTATTGGATGGAAATGTGCAGATCCTTGCTTGGGAACATGTGGAATAAATGCTAATTGTCAAGTCATCTGGCATCAACCTGTATGTACTTGTCCTACTGGACTTTATGGTAATCCATATCAAGGTTGCATACCAGAAAATGTTGAACATCAAGATCCTTGCAGTGTGACTCAGTGTGGACCTAATGCAGTTTGCAGAGAGAAAAATGGAGCTACGACTTGTGAATGTCTTGATAATTATATTGGTAATCCTTTCATCGCGTGCCATCTAGAATGTATTCAAAACACTGATTGTCCTCTAAATAAAGCTTGTTCAAACCACAAATGTGTTGATCCATGTCATGGTACATGTGGTACTGGAGCTTCGTGTGATGTTATCAATCATTATCCAGTATGTTACTGTGATGGAACATTAACAGGAGATCCATTTGTTCATTGTTATACAATTAAAGACACTGATATTGTATCAGTACCAAAAACTAGTCCTTGTGATCCTTCACCATGTGGACCAAATAGTAGATGTCTTATTTCTCCACTCGGCTATGCTACATGCACTTGTCTTCCAGGTTATCGTGGGAGTCCACCATTATGTAATCCTGAGTGTATTGTTAGCTCAGACTGCTTACAAATACAAGCTTGTATCAAGAATAAATGTGTTAATCCTTGTAATGGAGTGTGTGGACATGGCGCCTTGTGTTCCGTTATTAATCACAATCCAGTTTGCAGTTGCCCACCTAGTCTGGAAGGTGATCCCTTCGTGGCCTGTGTTCAAGTTGTAGATAACGATATAAAACCTATTTCACCATGTGATCCATCACCTTGTGGGCCCAACTCGGTCTGTCAAGTAAAGATGAGCCGTCCAGTTTGTTCGTGCCAAAGTACATTCATTGGAAGTCCACCAAATTGTCGACCAGAATGTCTTATCAATCAAGAATGTGCAACAAATCAAGCATGCATTGGAAACAAATGTATTCAACCATGTCCACATAGCTGTGGTGCCAATTCTGACTGTTCCACCATCAATCATACACCTTTCTGTTCATGTAAATCAGGCTACGAAGGCGATGCTTTTGTAGGTTGTACGCGAATACCAATTCAACCAATAGAACCTGAAGATCCATGCTCTCCATCACCATGTGGAAATAATGCAATCTGTAATGTTGTCAATGGTCTAGCAAGATGTACATGTATACCTCCATACATTGGTAATCCTTATGTTGGTGGATGTAAACCAGAATGTATGATAAATTCAGATTGTTCCAGTGATCTTGCATGTATCAATCAACATTGTAGAGATCCATGTTCCGGTATTTGTGGATTTAATGCACAATGTGAAGTTTCTAATCACATTCCAACCTGTTCATGCTTACCAGGATACTCTGGTGATCCATTTAAATCTTGTAAGATCGAAAGAGTTCCAGAAGTACCAGAAAATCCATGTGTACCTTCACCTTGTGGACCGTATAGCATTTGTCAAGTTGTTAATGATCGTGCTGTGTGTTCGTGTAACCGAGGATACAGAGGAACGCCTCCATCTTGTAGACCTGAATGTTTGGTTAGTTCAGAATGTCTACCTCAACTCGCTTGTATTGATCAAAAATGCAAAGATCCTTGTCAAGGTGTTTGTGGACTTAATGCTTTATGTCAAGTGAGCAACCACAATCCTATATGCAGTTGTCCTGAAAGAAGCACTGGAGATCCATTTGTACAGTGTAATGAAATTATTTCTAAAACCCCAGATGATACCGAAATAATTAATCCTTGCATACCATCTCCATGTGGTCCTAATGCTCAATGTAAGGTTCACAATAATCGTCCAGTGTGTTCATGTTTGACAGGAATGTATGGAGCTCCTCCTTACTGTCGACCAGAGTGCGTGATTAATCAAGATTGTCCTAATTATTTGGCATGTATTCAAAATACCTGTGCTAATCCATGCACTGGCTCTTGTGGAATCAATGCCAACTGTATTGTTAGAAATCACCGACCAATATGTCAATGTGAAGAAGGATATGAAGGAGATCCATTCTCAGCATGCAATCGTAAAGAAATGACACCTTCACCAGCTCCAAGTCAACCATGTAATCCATCGCCATGTGGATCAAATGCTGTTTGTAATGAAAGAAATGGTGCAGGATCTTGTACTTGTTTACCTGATTACACCGGTGATCCTTATGAAGGTTGTAGACCAGAATGTGTTCAAAATACTGATTGCCCACTTACAAAATCTTGTACTAATAACAAATGTAAAGATCCATGTGTTGGTGCTTGTGGACTTAATACACAATGTCAAGTATTTAATCATCAACCTTCATGCACTTGTCAATCTGGTTATACTGGAAATCCATTGACTTCATGTTATGTTATACCACAAGTGGCACCAAGTCCACAAGATCCTTGTGATCCATCACCTTGTGGACCTTACAGTAACTGTAAAGTAATTGATTTCCATGCTGTATGCTCATGTCAACCGGGAATTATTGGAAGCCCACCGACTTGTCGACCTGAATGTGTAGTGAGTGCTGATTGTGCGCAAAATAAAGCTTGTATTGATCAGAAATGTCAAGATCCATGTTTTGGAACTTGCGGACTTAATGCACGCTGTCAAGTTATCAACCATAACCCAATTTGCATCTGTATGGACGGTTTCACGGGTGATCCATTTTCAAGTTGTCTAAAAGAAGAAGTTAGAATTCCAGAAAACGATATTCCAAACGCTGATCCATGTGTTCCAACACCTTGTGGACCTCATTCACAATGTCGAGTCATTGATGGATTCCCTGCTTGTTCATGTTTATCAAATTATGTTGGCAGACCGCCAAACTGTAGACCTGAGTGTATTATTAATGAAGAATGTCCTGGAAATTTAGCTTGTCAAAATGAACGATGTATGGATCCATGTCCTGGTTCATGTGGAGTTAATACATTCTGTAATGTTGTCAAACATAATCCAATCTGCAACTGCAATCCGGGTTATACTGGAAATCCATTCATTGAATGTACTCCGGTGATTGAAGAACCTTACACTACTCAAAAGCCTATAACACCTTGTGATCCATCACCTTGTGGTGCTAATGCTATATGTAATGAAAGAAATGGTGCAGGATCATGTTCATGTATTCCAGAATACTTTGGAGATCCTTACACTGGCTGCAGACCGGAATGTGTTACAAACAACGACTGTGGAAAGACCAAAGCTTGTTTACGTAATAAATGTATTAATCCATGTACTGGAATTTGTGGTCCTAATGCTTCATGTAGAGTTATAAATCATGCACCATCATGTACTTGTCATTCAGGTTTTTCTGGAGATCCAACGATTGGTTGTTCATTAATACCACCAGCAACTAAATCACCAATTATCGATCCATGTGAAGTAAGCCCATGTGGACCCAACAGCAATTGTCGAACATTAAATGGTCATGCAGTTTGTTCATGTAAGAGTGGATTTATTGGTACACCACCAGCTTGTAGACCTGAATGTACAATAAGCACTGAATGTCAAAGAAATAAAGCTTGTGTTAACAACAAATGTATTAATCCATGCGAGCAATCAACTTGTGGACAAAATACTCAATGTCTTGTGGTTAATCACAGTCCAATTTGTACTTGTACTAACGGATATACTGGTGATCCATTTATTTTCTGTACTAAGATTGAAATAATACCATCAGGACCAGCCAAAGATATTACTGGAGGTGGTGATCCTTGTTCACCGAATCCATGTGGTCCTAACTCTCAGTGTAAAATTATTGGATCACAACCAGCTTGTTCCTGTTCTCCAAACTTTTTGGGAAGACCACCAAATTGTAGACCAGAATGTACAGAAAACGTTGACTGTCCAACAACAATGTCATGCATTAATCAACGATGCAAGAATCCTTGTCTAAATACTTGCGGAATCATGGCAAAATGTACAGTCTTGAATCATTTACCAGTATGTTCATGTACAGAAGGATACACTGGAGATCCAAGCACTAAATGTACTCCAGTTCTACCAACGATTCCAGATGTCGAAAAATCAAATCCTTGTGTGCCAAACCCTTGTGGACCAAATGCTCAATGTAGAGAAAGAAACGGAGCTGGAGCTTGTGCTTGCCCACCAGATTTTATCGGTAGTCCTTATGATAATGTTAGAGGATGTTATAGAGAGTGTGAAACAAATGACGACTGTAATAGCAACTTATCTTGCATTGGATTCAAATGTACTAATCCTTGTACAACAGGAACTTGTGGAATTATGTCAATTTGTCAAGTAGAGAACCATGTGCCTCGATGCACATGCCCACCAGGATATACAGGAGATCCATTTTATGCTTGCAATGAAGAATCTAAACAATTATCTACTCCACCACCTCAACAAGATCCATGTTCACCAACACCATGTGGTCCTAACAGCAAGTGTAGAACTGTTAATGGTCAAGCTGTATGTACCTGCCTACCTGATTATGTCGGTACACCACCGTCTTGTCGACCTGAATGTATTGTCAACGCTGAATGTCCAGTTAATTTAGCTTGTGTAAATAACAAATGTTCAGATCCTTGTACAAATACATGTGGAGTACGCGCACAATGTACAACGAAAAATCATAACCCAATATGCACTTGCCCTATTGGCTTTACCGGAGATCCATTTACCTATTGTTCTCCTGATATTGAAGTTAATCAAATTACAACAGAAAGACCGCCATCATGTACACCATCGCCATGTGGACCTAATTCTCAGTGTCAACTTATGTTTGGCAATCCAGCATGTTCTTGTTTACCAAATTATATTGGAGCTCCACCTAATTGTCGACCTGAATGTACTATCAGTTCAGAATGTAAGAGTCATCTTGCATGCATCAATCAACGTTGTCAAGATCCTTGTGCTGGTTCTTGCGGTTTTAATGCACAGTGCCATGTACTTAATCACATTCCAGTTTGCACATGTATCGAAGGATTCACTGGAGATCCATTCAATGATTGCTCTCTTATTCCGCCAACTACAACTGAACCTACATTAATTGATCGTTGCCATCCCTCACCATGTGGATCTAATGCAATATGTAGAGCAGGCAATTGTGAATGTTTACCTGAATATTATGGTAATCCATATGAAGTATGCCGACCAGAGTGTGTATTAAACTCGGAATGTCCTAGAGATAAATCTTGTTTAAGAAACAAATGTATAGATCCATGTCCAGGCAGATGTGGTGAAAATGCTGAATGTGATGTTGTCAATCATATTCCGGTATGCTCTTGTAGAACAGGATTCACTGGAGATCCATTTGTCAGTTGCAGAACTCAACCACTTGCACAACCTGAAGATAAGACGAATCCATGTTCACCATCACCCTGTGGACCAAATAGTCAGTGTCGCAATATTGATAATCATGCTGTCTGCTCATGTCTGCAAGGTTATCTTGGAACTCCACCACTCTGTAGAGTTGAATGTCGTATGAGTTCTGAATGTCCACCAACGCGAGCTTGTATCAACAACAAATGTACTGACCCATGTTTGGGATCTTGTGGCTTAAATGCAAGATGTGAAGTAATTAATCACTCGCCAATCTGTAGCTGTTCTCCTGGACAAACTGGAGATCCTTTCAAGAGTTGTTATGATATTCCTATTTTACCAGAAATCAAAGAACCAGAAGATCCTTGTTTCTCATCTCCATGTGGACCAAATGCTCAATGCCAAAATAATAATGGAATTCCTTCTTGTTCTTGTTTACCTAATTACATTGGTTCACCACCATCTTGTAGACCAGAATGTCTTATTAATCCAGATTGTCCGTCAAACCAAGCTTGTATGAATACTAAATGCGTTGATCCATGTCCAGGATCTTGTGGAGATTTTGCTGAATGTAAAGTTATTAATCATGCAGTTACATGTACCTGTATCATTGGTTACACTGGTAATCCATTTGTTCAATGCGTCATGGAAAAAGAAGAACCATTGAATCCATGTGAACCTTCTCCTTGTGGATCAAACGCTATTTGCCAACAGCGTGATAATGCTGGAGCTTGTGTTTGTATTGAAGATTACCATGGCAATCCTTATGAAGGTTGTCAACCAGAATGTATATTAAGCTCTGATTGTCCTACCAATAAAGCTTGTATAAGAAATAAATGTCAAGATCCTTGTCCGGGAGTCTGCGGTATCCAAGCTCAGTGTTCAGTTATCAATCATATACCAACATGCACATGTCTTCCAGGCTATGTTGGAGATCCATTTACTTCCTGTACATTCGAAATGGACGTGACGACTCAAGGAATTATCCAAGATGTTTGTAATCCATCGCCTTGTGGACCAAACAGCCTTTGTCGAGCGGTAAATAACCAAGCAGTTTGTACATGCCAATCAAACTTTATTGGTGCACCACCTAATTGCCGACCAGAATGTGTTGTCAACACCGAATGTCCACAAAATCGTGCCTGTTATAAATACAAGTGCAATGATCCATGTCCAGGAACTTGTGGAATTGGGGCAGATTGCAGAGTTATTAATCATAATCCATTGTGTAGTTGTCCAACTGGAATGACAGGAGATCCATTCTCGCGTTGTTTCCAAGAACCTATTGAATTACCAGCTCCACGACCTAGTGATCCTTGTGTGCCAAACCCTTGTGGACTTAATGCAGAATGTCGTAAAGTTGGTGATCAAGCAGCATGTTCTTGTTTAGTCAATTATATTGGATCACCACCAAATTGTAGACCAGAATGTGTAGTAAATACTGATTGTCCATCAACTCAAGCTTGTATATCAGAAAAATGTAGAGATCCATGTGTGGGATCTTGTGGTAAAAATGCAGAATGTCGAGTGCAAAATCATATTCCAACATGCTCCTGTAGTCAAGGTTTCACCGGAGATGCATTCACCTTATGCTCACCGATTATTCAACAACCAAAAGTACCTGATGATCCATGTAATCCATCGCCATGTGGAGCTAATGCTCAATGTAATGCTGGAGTATGTACATGTCTTCCAGAATATCAAGGTGATCCATATATCTCTTGTAGACCTGAATGTACATTGAATTCTGATTGTCCTCGGTCAAAATCTTGTATCAATCAACGATGCATCGATCCTTGTATTGGAACATGTGGTACAGATGCACGCTGTGATGTTGTCAATCATATACCAATGTGTAGTTGTCCATCAGGCACTACTGGAAATCCATTCTCGAGTTGTAGACCATTTAAATTAGATGATACACCAAGACAACCATGTCAACCATCACCTTGTGGACCTAATAGTGTTTGTAAAGCTGTAGATAATCATGCAGTATGTTCATGTCAACCAGGATTCTTTGGCAGTCCCCCAACATGTCGACCTGAATGTGTTACAAGTGCTGAATGTCCATTGACTCGTGCTTGTCTCAATAATAAATGCCAAGATCCTTGTCCTGGTACTTGTGGACAGAATGCTAAATGTCAAGTTGTGAACCATAATCCAATTTGTAGTTGCTTGGAAGACAACACCGGTGATCCTTTCACAAGATGCTATCCACTTCCAGGTAAGAATGATTTCATTAATGTTTTCTAATTATCCTTAACGCATGTAAAAAATTTACAAGAGATTTTTTTTCAAAGTTTTATTCCTAATAAATAATTACATTTAAAACATTTTTGATAATTCTTTTTAGTATTAAAATTATTTTTAAAAAATCAAAGATCTGCCTATAAATAACTGGAATCATTTTTTTAATTTAATAAATTTTTTCTTCCAACAGAAATACCCAAAGAGCCAATAAATCCTTGTCTACCATCACCATGTGGTCCTAATTCAGAGTGTAATGTTCGAGACGAAAGTCCTGCGTGTTCGTGTGCACAAAATTATATAGGTGTTCCACCAAATTGTCGACCAGAGTGTACAATAAATCCAGAATGTGCTTCACATCTTGCGTGTATCCAACAAAAATGTCGTGATCCATGCGACGGTTTGTGTGGTATTGGTGCTGATTGTACAGTCGTAAATCATCATGCTGTTTGTGTATGTCCTGAAGGTTTTACCGGCGATCCATTCACCAACTGTATCCTTGCACCGAAGGGTAAGTCCAAGACTTTCGCTTTATCAATAGCTATGCATGATTTAATTAATATACCGTCAATTATATTGGTGTTGGCTTATAAGTTAAAGAAAATGACATCAAAATTAAAAAATGCTTTTCAATAATCATAATAATAGTGAACGAAAAAAATAATATCAAAGCGCTTAATTTATTAATTGCTGCTCTAAAAGTACTGACAATTGCGTTAATTAAAATAGCTGTCGATTGCAGCTTATCTAAAACGAATCGTAATAAAATTAAAATGCAATTCGATGACACACGCCTGATATCTCAAATAATCCCATAAAACACCAACCCCTAATTACCCCTAAAATTATTGATAAGAGAATTAATTTATAGAGCATATATTAATTCACACTGATTAACCTCGTTCACCATATGCCAATAAGCAAGCACCTTAAAAAAGATTTATTGATCAACAGCAGCTTTTAATTCGCAAATAACCAGCATCGATAATGCATCAACGAAGTTTAAGGTGATAAAAAGATAATTATTTAATCAAAAATAGAAGTTAGAAAAGCTAAACCCGACTGCGCAAAAAAAACAACACCTAGTATTTTATGACACTTAAGCGTTAAAAAGAATTATTAGTTGATTATTTAAGAGTTACATAAACACCACTACATAAACAGGAAATTAGAACATTTTCCTGTTAAACAAACTCTTCCCGAACAATTAAACCTCCCTGTACAAAAAATTAAGATCCCTGATTTTTACCCAAAAAAAACACCCCTACACTTTACTCTTTCCTTTGCGTAGTTGGGTTAAATAACGCAAGCAATATTGCAGTGGAAATGAAGCCAAACCAGCTAAGAATAGTCGCTTTAGGTGAATGTAATTATTGCAAATCATAGTGTTCTTGTTAAGGATTAGTTTTTTCCCTCCAGACGAGATCCCAACGGAAACAAGAAGACCCTGTTCACCATCTCCCTGTGGTGTGAACGCCATATGTCGCGAGCAAAATGGTGCTGGATCCTGTTCTTGCCAACAAAATTATATTGGCAATCCTTATGAAGGATGTAGACCTGAATGTACCATCAACTCTGATTGCCCCACCAATCGTGCATGTATTAGGACCAAGTGTGAAGATCCGTGCCCTGGTACTTGTGGTCCTAATGCCGACTGTCAAATTATTAATCACATGGCGTCATGCACGTGTAGATCAGGCTTTACTGGTGACCCCTTCCGTTATTGTACACCAATGCCAATTGTACAACCAACTGTAAATGACAATCCATGCTCACCATCTCCTTGCGGACCCAATAGTCAATGTCGACAAGTCAACAATCAAGCTGTTTGCTCGTGTCTCCCAGAATTTATTGGAAGCCCTCCTTCTTGTAGACCCGAGTGTACCACCAGTTCTGAATGTCCACCAAATCAAGCCTGCATCAATAGAAAATGTACTGACCCATGTCCAAACTCTTGTGGAAGAAATACTGACTGTATTGTGGTTAATCACAGCCCTATTTGCTCTTGTAAAAATGGATTTACTGGAGATCCTTTTACTACATGTTTCTCAGCTCCACGTGAGTTTATTCTATCACTACTAATTTTTTGCACTTCATTAAAAAAATTTAAATGTATCGTTTTGATTTTTTATCAATTTCATGCAATTATACAAAAAATTGCAATTTTCAAATATTCAAAATTTTATAGTTAAAAAATCATTGAGTAAATCTGTTCTTTTATTTATTATTATAATAAAAATAATTTTAAAGTTATTCTTTATTTTTTTATTATAAGTATAATAAATTTGAAGATGCATTACTATAATGATTTTTTTACTAAAAAGCTCCGCTTTGAATAATTTTTTATGAAAATTCTATTTTATTATGGCTTAAAAACAAAGAATTTCATGGATAATTTTATAAAAATTTATTTTATTTTGCTTCATTTTTCTTATTATTTTCTATCATTCTATTAAGTATTTTCATCGATTTTATTTCTACCAACAATTTACATCCTTACAGCACCTCCAACGACTTCGGTTATGAATCAAAACCCATGTTTACCATCACCCTGTGGAGCCAACTCTGAATGCCGAGTTATTAATGAAATCCCTTCATGTTCTTGTTTACCATCATACATTGGTGTGCCACCTAATTGTCGTCCAGAATGTTCCATCAGTTCTGAATGTTCAAGTGATAAAGCTTGCATAAACGAAAAATGTAGAGACCCTTGTCTTGGATCATGTGGATTAAATGCTCTTTGTTCTGTTTATAACCACATACCTGTATGTACTTGCCAAGAAGGATATACTGGTGATCCTTTCACCAACTGTGTATTTACACCAGCAACAGAACCAGCTGTAATAGACCCCTGCAACCCTTCACCTTGTGGTTCAAATGCTCTGTGCAATAACGGTGCATGTACGTGCATGCCTGACTACTTTGGAAATCCAAACACCGGTTGTAGACCTGAATGTGTTATCAATAACGACTGTCCTATCAACAAAGCTTGTATGAGAAACAAGTGTCAGGATCCATGTCCTGGTATATGTGGTCAGAATGCTCAATGTAATGTATTCAACCATATTCCTATGTGTACTTGTTTACAAGGAATGGCTGGCAATGCTTTAGTAGCTTGTCAACCAGTTCAAGGTACATATTTCTTATTTTCTACTCTATACCTTTATTCTTATCCATTAAGGTTCATGAAAAATTATTACCAATTATATTAGATTTAAGTGATGATTTACACATTTAGAACACCAATTTTATTTTTAGAGATGTTTTTTTTTTATTCTTGAAAGATCTCTAAGATAAAATTTTTTATATATCTTTCTCATGGACACTAATGGTTCGAAAAAATTAGTCATGAATTTATTACTCTTACACACTTTTACTTTTATATTTTTGTTAGCTGATTTACCACAATCAAGACCTTGCAACCCTTCACCCTGTGGTCCCAACAGTATTTGTCGTGAAGTAAATAGCCAATCAGTTTGTACTTGTGCACCTGAATACCTAGGAAGTCCACCAACATGCCGACCACAGTGTCTAGTCAATTCAGATTGCCCTAGCAATGAAGCTTGTACTAACCAACGATGTCGAGACCCTTGCCCTGGTACTTGTGGACTTAGTGCTCAATGTCAGGTTATCAACCATAATCCCATATGTTCCTGTCCTGATCGTTTTACTGGTGATCCATTCATACGTTGTACAATTATGCGTAAGAATTTATTTTATTTTATTGAATCTTGAATTTCAAGAGTCTGAACTTTACCATGTTTCATTATTAATAATGTAGAAGAAAGTGAACCTGTATCACCAATACCAGAAGATCCTTGTACTCCATCACCTTGTGGTAACAACGCTCAATGTCAATCAATCAATGGTCTTCCATCATGTTCCTGTTTACCTGAATTTATGGGAATACCTCCAAACTGTCGACCAGAATGCATTAGCAATTCCGAATGTCCCACTGATAAGGCGTGTGTCAATCGAAAATGTCAAGATCCATGTCCTGGCTCGTGTGGTACCAATACTGATTGCAGAGTCGTTAGTCACACTCCTATGTGTGTCTGCATATCAGCTTACACCGGTGATCCTTTTACTGGATGTATTCCTTTACAATGTAAGGATACATTATAACACAAAAACATTGAAAAAAATCTTGAAGAACAGACATAGCACAGAATGTTTAGACAAATGATCTTGAGTTTCGTGATTTTGGTTAATAATATTTGGAAAATTAATAGTTTACTAAAATATTGTCCGTACAATCGCTTTTCAATTTATCTAGTCTTCTTGAAATATTTCGCCAAAAAATTTTTTTATGAGAAACAAAAAAAAAATGATTCAAGTTTTCAAGTTGTCAAATACAAGTTAATTGATGATTTATAAAACTTTTTACTCTATAAAAAATATATTGATTTTTTATTTAGAAATTCAATACAAAATTTTAATTCATAATCTATTTCTTATTATTTATAAGAAATGGTTTAATCTGAAAAACACTTTTTCATATATTTTTAACACAGATTATTATTATTATTATTATTATTTATTTTCGTTTATTACAAGGACGTGAAAACCTTATAACTGGTCATCGTCCAAAGGCCTTCAATCATAGACTATTTCAAATGTAAATCGATTGTAAACAAATGTTTTACAAAGCTGTTAATTTTTCAAATATGTAAAACCAATCATTGTTGTTGGAATCAATTGTCTTTGAACTTCTTCTAATGATTAAAATTTTATATTGTTATATAAATGAGCCCTTACCGTATATTTTTAGCTGAAATGAGGCCCGATAGTTCACTTTCACCTTGTATGCCCTCACCTTGTGGTGCCAATGCTATCTGCAAAGAATCTAATGGCGCTGGTTCATGTTCATGTCTACCGGACTACATTGGAAACCCATACGAAGGTTGTAGACCCGAATGTATCATTAACTCTGACTGTCCATCATTCCAAAGTTGTATAAGATCAAAATGTCGTGACCCTTGCCCTGGTGCTTGTGGTCAAGACGCTGAATGTGTCACAATAAATCATTTACCTTCGTGTACATGTCGAAATGGTTTTACTGGTGACCCATTTACCTTCTGTGTCTTATCACCTAACACAAACAGTAAGTTTCAATTAAGGCTCACGAAGATTATAATGAAAGTAAATCGTACTCACTACCCTGACCATAATTTATCATGATAATTTTTCACAGCAAACATGGATAAACCAACAGAACCATGTAGTCCATCACCTTGTGGACCTAACAGTCAATGTCGTGTCAACAATGGCCAAGCTGTATGTACTTGTTTGCCAAATTACATTGGTAGTCCACCAGGATGTCGACCCGAATGTGTAACTTCCTCTGAGTGTACCTCACAGCTGGCATGTATAGATAAAAAGTGCAGCAATCCATGCCCTGTCCCTTGCGGAATTAATACCAAATGTGTTGTTGTTAATCATAGTCCAATTTGCACTTGTATGCCTGGTTATAGCGGTGATCCATTCACTCAATGTTCTCTTATGTCACCACGTAAGCAGATTCCCGATTATAAATACATAACATTTTTTTTAATCAGTTTTGGAGTGAAGTCGAATTGTTGAGGTTCGTAAGCAGAAAAAAATCCAATCATTAGCATTAATATAATTAGATAAATGAAATAAGTTGAAAGAATCCAAAAAATTAATTTTGTTTTAATTAAAAAAGTTTGATTATTCAACTAATTGAACTGAAAAGATTAGTATCAAACAAATTGTCAAATTAATTTCGATAAAACATTTTTAAAATTTAATTTAATAATTATGAAATAATAGGAAGATTATTTTTCGGTTTTTTTAAAATTATAATGCAAGTTTTTAATGATAAATTATTTTGAATCTTTCCTGAAATTATTATTTTTATAATCTTAATTATTATAATTAATGTTTTCAATAGATTTTTTAAATGAAATTCAGTCAACTTTTAGTAAATCAATATCAGCTTTTCATACTTACTGCAATTTCGATTTACTTCAAAACTGTTAAATTTTACTCTGACAATTTCGTGACATCATAATATAGTACCTATATTTATTTTAGCAATTCAACCGAATGATGTTGCAATTCGAGACCCCTGTGTACCTTCACCATGTGGAAGTTTTTCATACTGCCGAAACATCGGTGGTTCGCCCGCTTGTACATGCCAAGAGAATTACATTGGTCAACCCCCGAATTGTAGACCTGAATGTAGTATTAATTCTGAATGTTCAACCAACCAAGCATGTGTTAATGAAAGATGTAGAGATCCTTGCCCTGGTTCTTGTGGAGTTAATGCACAATGCTTAGTTTCAAATCATATTCCAATATGTACGTGTTCGGAAGGATTTACTGGAGATCCTTTTACCATGTGTTCCATGATAGTAGCTCAATCACCAGAACCAGTGTTCCCACAAGATAAATGTAATCCATCACCTTGTGGAGTAAATGCTCAATGCAATAATGGCGAGTGCACTTGTCTTAATGAATTCCAAGGCAATCCTTATACAGGATGTCGACCTGAATGTGTTCTAAATTCAGACTGTCCTCGAGACAAAGCTTGTTCAAGAAATAAATGTAGAGATCCATGTGTCGGTGCTTGTGCATCGAATGGAATTTGTACTGTGATAAATCATATTCCAATGTGTAGTTGTCCTCAAGGAATGACTGGAAATGCCTTCAGTCAATGCCTCGTTATTCAACAAACAGATATAAAACCGTTGAACCCCTGTAGTTCATCACCATGTGGTCCAAACAGTCAATGTAGAACAATTAATGGTCAAGCTGTTTGTTCGTGTATCCCAGGATACCTTGGAAGTCCACCAACATGTCGTCCAGAATGTACCGTTAGTACAGATTGTGCTAAAAATCAAGCATGTAATAGCCAAAAATGTATTAATCCTTGTTCTGGTACCTGTGGATTGGATGCACTGTGTACAGTAGTAGGACATAATCCAATATGTAGTTGTCCAACAAGATTTACCGGTGATCCATACGTAAGATGTATACCAATGATTGAACAACAAGATGTTACACCCCAAAATCCCTGTCAACCATCTCCCTGTGGACCAAATTCCCAATGTCAAGTTGTAAATAATTTGCCATCATGTTCGTGTAATATTGATTTCATCGGAAGCCCACCAAATTGTCGACCTGAATGTGCTTCTAATAATGAATGTGCATCAAACTTGGCTTGTATCAATAGTAAGTGTAAGAATCCTTGCATTGGATCATGTGGAGCTAACTCTGATTGTTATGTCGTCAGTCATACACCTATGTGTACTTGCATTGCTGGATATTCAGGTGATCCATTCACCCAGTGTACTATTCAACCAGTGATATCAACACCAGTATCAGAATCACCTTGTACACCATCGCCTTGTGGATCCAATGCAGTTTGCAAAGAAATGAATAATGTTGGATCTTGTACATGTCTACCAGACTATACAGGTAATCCTTATGAAGGATGTAGACCAGAATGTATTTTGAACTCAGACTGTTCTCAAAATCTGGCGTGCATTCGCTATAAGTGTCGGGATCCTTGTCCTGGAACTTGTGGATTAAATGCTGAATGTCGAGTAATGAATCATTTACCGCAATGTTCATGTATGTCAGGATACACTGGTGATCCTTTCAGATTTTGTAACGTTATTCAAGCCGTTGAAGATACAACTAGAGATCCTTGCAATCCTACACCATGTGGACCTAATAGTCAGTGTAGGGTTGTTAATAAACAAGCCGTATGTACTTGCTTGCCAGAATATCTTGGCAGTCCACCTGGATGTCGACCAGAGTGTACAGTCAGTTCAGAATGTCCTTTAAATAGAGCTTGTGTCAATAGGAAATGTGTTGATCCTTGTCCAGGAACTTGCGGATTTAATACTCGATGTGAAACTATCAATCACAGTCCAATATGTTCTTGTCAATCTGGATTTACTGGTGATCCTTTCGTTAATTGCTTTGAAATGTCAGTACCTATGGACGACGAAAAACCAACAAACGTTAATCCTTGTGTACCATCTCCCTGTGGACCAAATTCTGAATGTCGAAATATAAATAATCAAGCATCTTGTGCTTGTCTACAAGAATTTATGGGATCACCACCAAATTGTCGACCTGAATGTATTATTAATCCTGATTGTTCAAGTAATTTAGCATGTATGAACAATAAATGTCGAGATCCTTGTCCAGGATCGTGTGGATTAAGTGCAGTCTGTTCAGTAATTAATCATACTCCAATTTGTACGTGTCCAGAAGGATTTACTGGAGATCCATTTACTCGATGTAACCAACAAATTGAACCAGAAAAACCTAAACCATCTCCTTGTGCTCAATGTGGTTCGAATACTCAATGTATTAATGAACAATGTGTTTGTTTACCAGAATTTAGAGGAGATCCGTACGTAGGATGTCGTCCAGAATGTATTATGAATACAGACTGTACGAGAGATCAAGCTTGTATTCGAGGAAAATGTAGAAATCCATGTAGTGGAATATGTGGACAGAATGCTATCTGTAATGTTGTCAATCATATTCCTGTATGCTCATGTCCGTTCGGCATGTCTGGAAACGCTTTCATTATGTGTTCACCTGTTCAAATAGATGTACAAGAAATGAAAGATCCATGTAATCCATCACCTTGTGGTCCAAACAGCCAGTGCAGAAAAATTAATGGACAAGCTGTTTGTTCTTGTATCCCAGGATATCTTGGAGCACCTCCGAACTGCCGGCCTGAATGTACTATAAGTTCTGATTGTAGTGCCAACATGGCTTGTAGCAACCAAAAATGTATTGATCCATGTTCTGGAACTTGTGGAATTAGAGCTCAATGTCAAGTCATTAATCACAATCCAATTTGTAGTTGTCTAACTGATTTGACTGGTGATCCATTTGTTATGTGCTTGCCATTACCACAAATGCAACCAGTGGAATCTACGAATCCTTGTCAACCATCACCCTGTGGGCCTAATTCACTTTGTCGAGAAATTAATGGCTCATCGTCTTGCTCTTGCCAACCAGAATTTATTGGAGTTCCACCAAATTGTAAACCTGAATGTATTAGTAATACCGAGTGTAATACAAATCTCGCATGTATTAATCAGAAGTGCCGAGATCCATGTCCTGGATCTTGTGGAGATAATGCAGAATGTAGAGTTGTCAGTCATACACCAATGTGTGCTTGTATTCCTGGTTACACTGGAGATCCATTCACTCAATGTTTTATGAAACAAATGGAGCCATTACCACCCACATCATCACCTTGCTTACCTTCACCTTGTGGCTCTAATGCAGTTTGCCGTGAGCAAAATGGTGCTGGTGCATGCTCTTGTCTCCCCGATTATATTGGAAATCCTTATGAAGGATGTAGACCGGAATGTACAATTAATTCCGATTGTCAAGCTAACCTAGCTTGCATAAGATCAAAATGTCAAGATCCATGTCCTGGTACTTGTGGTCAAAATGCTGTCTGTCAAGTTATTAATCATCGACCATCCTGTTCATGTCAACCAAATTACAGTGGAGATCCTTTCAGATTCTGTAGTATAATTCCAATGCAATCAACTCCAGAAGTAGTAAGTCCTTGTCAACCATCTCCCTGTGGACCTAACAGCAAATGTAGAGAAAATAATGGTCAAGCTATATGTTCTTGTGATTCAATATCTATTGGAACTCCACCTTACTGCCGCCCTGAATGTGCAGTCAGCTCTGAATGTCCACTCAGTCGGGCATGCATTAATAATAAATGTGTTGATCCATGTCCTGGAATTTGTGGAACTAATGCCAAGTGTAACGTCATCAATCACAGTCCATTCTGCAGTTGTAATCCGGGGCTCACTGGAGATCCTTTTGTCAGATGTTTTGATGCACCTGTAACATCAATTGATCCAGTACAATCAACAAATCCATGTGTACCATCTTCTTGTGGACCATTTTCAATCTGTCAAAATATCGGTAATGGTCTTCCATCTTGCTCTTGTGAACCCTCTTACATTGGAACACCGCCTAATTGTCGACCTGAATGTACAATTAATTCAGAATGTGTTAGTAATCTTGCTTGTTTGAGATTCAAATGTACCGATCCTTGTCCAGGATCATGTGGGTTAAGTGCAATGTGTTCCGTTATCAATCACACTCCAGTTTGTACTTGTCCAGAAGGATTTACTGGAGATCCGTTTACAAGTTGCACTATAATTCCACCTTCTCAAGATGTGATAAATCAACCAAATAATCCATGTGATCCATCACCATGTGGAGCGAATGCTCAATGTCGAGATGGAGTTTGCACTTGTTTACCTGAATATAATGGAGATCCTTACTATGGTTGTCGTCCAGAATGTGTACAAAATACTGATTGCCCATCACACCAGGCATGTATGAACAACAAATGTCGCGATCCTTGTCCTGGAGTTTGTGGAAATAATGCCGAATGTAACGTGGTACAACACATTCCTATGTGTAGTTGTCCTGCTGGAATGACTGGAAATGCATTTGCTAATTGTATTGTAGCAAGTATAGAAGATACTTCAAGAAATCCATGTGATCCGTCGCCATGTGGACCGAACAGTCGTTGCCAACAGATCAATGGTCAAGCAGTATGTTCATGTGTCGTTGGATTTATGGGCCATCCTCCAGCTTGTCGACCAGAATGTGTTAGTAACATTGAATGTTCTCTTAATCTTGCCTGTATAAATCAAAAATGTCGTGATCCATGTCCAGGATCTTGTGGAATTGCCGCTCAATGTCAAGTGATCAATCATAATCCCATCTGTAGTTGCCCAGCTAGCTTCACTGGAGATCCATTTATAAGATGTTCATTCATGATAATGCAAAATGAACCACCGGAAACACCAAAGAATCCATGTGAACCTTCACCATGCGGACCAAATTCTCAATGTCAAGTCATTAATGGCTTATCTTCATGCTCTTGCTTACCAGAATTCATGGGTACACCTCCAAATTGCCGTCCAGAATGCATTAGCAACAGTGAATGTACGAACCAACTCGCTTGTATCAACAGAAAATGTCAAGATCCTTGTGTTGGATCATGTGGAAGCAATGCTGAATGCTTTGTCATTAATCACACTCCAATTTGTAGTTGTATAAATGAATTTACTGGTGATCCATTTGTTCAATGTACTGTTATGCAATCTCCACCATCCGAATCATCGACTCAACCATGTGTGCCTTCTCCATGTGGTGCTAATGCAATTTGTAGAGATCAAAATGGTGTCGGCTCTTGTAGTTGTATTCAAGATTATATTGGCAATCCATATGAAGGCTGTAGACCCGAATGCATTATTAATACAGACTGTCAAGCAAATCTCGCTTGTATAAGATCAAAATGTCAAGATCCTTGTCCAGGCACCTGTGGACAAAATGCAGAATGTCAAGTCATCTATCACATTCCTGCATGTACTTGTAGATCTGGATTTACAGGAAATCCATTTGTCTCTTGTAGTCCCATGCCACCAGAAAAATTACCAACAGCTGACAGTAATCCATGTAATCCATCACCATGTGGACCTAATAGCCGTTGTCAGGTTAATTTTAATGGTCAAGCAATTTGCTCTTGTCAAGCTGATTTTACAGGAAATCCACCAAATTGTCGGCCCGAGTGCACATTAAGTTCTGAATGTAGAACTGATCTTGCTTGCATAAATCAAAAATGTAAAGATCCTTGTCCTGGTACCTGCGGCAATAATGCACAGTGTAAAGTCGTTAATCACAGTCCAATCTGCAGTTGTAGACCTGAAACAACCGGTGATCCATTTGTACAATGTTTCCCCGTGATGATATCTCCAAATGATGATGAACAATCAAGAGATCCATGTAATCCATCACCTTGTGGACCTAACTCAGTTTGTCGAGTTATTGGAAATAGTCCAATATGTGCATGTATCAACAATTTCATTGGTTCTCCACCAAATTGTCGCCCAGAATGTACAATCAATCCAGACTGTACCAGTGACAAGGCTTGTATGAGAGACAAATGTCGAGATCCTTGTCCAGGATCATGTGGACTCTACGCTGTATGTTCGGTAGTAAATCATACTCCAATTTGTACGTGTCCTCCAGATTACACCGGAGATCCTTTCACCAGTTGTTCACCTACGCCAGCAGCACCACCGGAACCAAGTGTTCCTAAAGATCCTTGCAATCCGAGCCCATGTGGATCTAATACACAATGTTTCAACGGAAGATGTACTTGTTTACCGGAATATCAAGGAGATCCATATGTTGGATGTCGACCTGAATGTGTAGTTAACGAAGATTGCTCACGGTCTCAAGCCTGTATAAATAAAAAATGTAGAGATCCTTGTTCAGGTGTTTGTGGTAATAATGCTGAATGTATTGTCGTTAACCACTTGCCAATGTGTAGTTGCCCACGAAACATGTCTGGTAATGCATTTATTCAATGTTCACCAATTCAAGATATGTCGACATCTGATCCGTGTAATCCATCTCCTTGCGGACCAAACAGTCATTGTCAAGTGACAGTTACAAATAAATTGGCTGTTTGTAGTTGCATAACTGGATTCGTTGGTACTCCACCATCTTGTCGACCTGAATGTATTGTGAGCACAGACTGTCCAAGAAATCGCGCATGTAATAATCAAAAATGTACCGACCCTTGTCCAGGAACTTGTGGACTTGGTGCTCAATGTCAAACTATCAATCATAATCCTATTTGCAGTTGTTCAACTGGATTTACTGGTGATCCATTCATTAGATGTACACGAGTACCAATAATGGCAACAGAAGAACCAGTTGTAAATCCCTGTCAACCATCACCTTGCGGAGCTAATGCTCAATGCCAGGTTATCAATAATACACCCTCATGTTCATGTAATAAAGATTTTATCGGTACTCCACCAAATTGCCGACCCGAATGTGTCAGTAATAACGAATGTGGTTCTCATTTGGCATGTATAAATTATAAATGTAAAGATCCTTGTCCAGGATCTTGTGGATCTAATACAAATTGTGCAACTGTCAGTCATACACCAATGTGTTCATGTCTCAATGGATTTACTGGTGATCCATTTATTCAGTGTAATATCATGCAGGGTAAGTTTCCGTAATAAATTACCCTTTCACACCAAAGAAATCCGAAATTTAAACAAAAAAATTATAATCATGAGAAAACTATTACGATGAAAGTAATAATTTTTTTATGTAAATTGAAATATTTAAAATTTGGCCAAATTTTTGTGAATGTAAAAATTCTATGAAAGGATAATTCTTAAATATTTTAATAGTAATAAGTACAGTTTACTTGACCCAATATCATTTTCAGCTCCACCCATAGAGCCAGAAGTTAGACCAAACCCATGCATACCATCACCTTGTGGTGCAAATGCAATTTGTCGTGAAACCTACGGTACAGCTTTATGTACATGCGCCACTGACTTCTATGGAAATCCTTATGAAGGTTGTAGGCCAGAGTGTGTTGTTGACAGCGATTGCTCTGCTGATCGTACATGTGTTAAATCCAAGTGTATCAACCCATGTCCTGGTACATGTGGTCAAAATGCTCTTTGTCAAGTCATTAATCATCTTCCGACTTGCTCTTGTCTAAACGGTTACACTGGTGATCCATTTAGATATTGTCTACCCGCAGTTGAACGTAAGATAAATTTTTTGGGACTTTGTCAATGACTATTTTGCTTAAAGAACATTAAATTTGTCTTCAATTATTCATTCATATTCTTTTTATACAGAATCAGATGTGCAAGTTGATCCTTGCAATCCCTCACCTTGTGGACCTAATAGCGAGTGCAGGAAAACAAATAATTTCGCTAAATGTAGTTGTCTACCGAATTACTTAGGAAATCCCCCTAACTGTCGTCCAGAGTGTATATCAAATACACAATGTAATCTTAATCTCGCCTGTATAAATAAAAAATGCATTGATCCTTGTCCAGGAGTTTGTGGTATCAATGCTAGATGTGAAACGAGAAACCATAGTCCTATATGTAGTTGTCGACCTGGACAAACAGGCGATCCATTTGTTAAATGTTTCGATGTCATACGTAAGTTCATATCATATTAGGGATAAGCATTTCTTCCTCAGGAAAAAATAATTTTCAAAAACATTATATGATTAATAAAAAAAAAACAATATTTATTGCAACTTCAGATAGATTATTAAAGCTGTTACAAGAATTTTTTCCTGAGATTGTTAAAAATTATTTCTGTCATCAAAATCACAATTAAAATTTACAGAATCAACTGAAGTCGATCGACCTGCAAGCCCCTGTATACCATCCCCTTGTGGTCCATTTTCGATGTGTCAAGATAACGGTGGATATCCATCATGTTCTTGTTTATCAACTTACATTGGTTCTCCACCCAACTGTCGACCTGAATGTACAATAAATTCCGACTGTAACCGAAACCAAGCTTGCATTAGAGAAAAATGCCAAGACCCTTGCCCTGGTTCTTGTGGTATCAGAGCCCAATGCAATGTAGTCAACCATACACCTGTTTGTACATGCCCTGATGGCTATACTGGTGATCCTTTTGATAGTTGCTCTCCACAACCACCACCATGTAAGCACCAGTAAAAACAATTAGCATGTTTAATGAAACCTTATTTTAACTTGATTTAAAAATTTTTAGCTGAATCACCAGTTATCACCAAAAATCCCTGCAACCCTTCACCTTGCGGAGCTAATGCTATATGTCGAAATGAAGGTATCTGCACCTGTCTACCAGGATACCATGGAGATCCTTATTATAACTGCCGACCAGAATGTGTTCAAAACTCTGATTGTAATAATAACAAAGCGTGTAGTAACAACAAATGTGTTGACCCATGCCCTGAAATTTGTGGCCGTAATGCAGAATGTTATGTAATCAATCACATTCCCATGTGTAGTTGTCTTACTGGTTATGAAGGCGATCCTTTCGTACTTTGCCAGCGAGCAGAAAGTAAGTCATCATCGATAGAACATTAATTTATTTGAATTTTTTTACATAAAAAATATTTTCATTATAAATCATGACATGTTGATTTAGAAAATATTTTTTATTATAAAAATTTTTTATATAATTAATATTCTGTCAAAATTACTTGCACATTTATCATTTTTATTTATTTTAATGAAAAAATGTTGATAAAACTGACTATTTTATAATATTAATTAGAACCAACGGAAAATCCATGCGAGCCCTCACCTTGTGGTCCAAATAGTGTTTGTCAACGTTATGGTAATCAAGTATCATGCTCATGTCTACCAGGATTTTTCGGTAATCCACCAAGTTGTCGACCTGAATGTATTGTTAGTTCTGACTGCGAGCAAAACCGTGCTTGTGTAAACCAACGCTGTCAGAATCCTTGTCCAGGATCATGTGGACAAAATGCCCTTTGTGCTGTTAGAAATCATAATCCAATTTGCAGCTGTCCAGAGACTTACTCTGGTGATCCATTTGTTTATTGTTCACCAATCAGTAAGTTCACCATCGCCAATTATTAATTATACTGTATAAACCTATCGTATTCATTAAGTGATCAACAAATTAAACCAATTTTTAATTGATTTCAATAGAAGAACCACCAGAAGATCAGCCAGTAATGAATCTATGCAATCCCTCACCCTGTGGACCCAATGCCCAATGTACTGTGTTAAATAACACTTTTTCATGCTCTTGTCTACCTGAATACCGTGGCTCACCACCCAATTGTCAACCCGAGTGTCGTGTCAACAGTGAATGTCCTACGCACTTGGCCTGTATTAATAGAAAATGTACAAATCCTTGCCCTGGCTCGTGTGGCATCAATGCTCTTTGCCAAGTAACACGCCATCAACCGACATGCTCTTGCCAGCAGGGATTCACTGGTGATCCCTTCACGCTTTGCTCTGTGATACCTAGTAAGAATTATCTTGCAAAAATATACATGATGAAAAATTATTTTTTATCAATTTATTTCATTATTCATCTATTCCAAATTTTTTGAAACTAAATTTTTAATAAAACTAAAAAATTAATAAATTAACATTTATTAATTATTAACAGTTATGTATATATTCTGTATATAGTTATTCATTTGATTATTTTAAACACTGTAAATTATTTGCAAACTTTTTGGCATTTTTTTGCTTTTATTATATTATAAATTTTTTTATTATTATATATTTTTATATTTTTTAATGCATTATTTTTTTTATAGTGTATATATTTTGGCTTAATTGTATTATGTATAGTGTAAAAATATCTTGTACATTTTATTATCTCTGATAGTGATATAAATGTAAGCTTTAACAAAGTATTCTATTTTTACAGATAAAACACCAGATACATCAGTACCGCAAAGTCCATGCAGTCCATCACCATGTGGTGCTAACGCTTACTGTCGAGAAAAATACAACAGTGCTGTTTGTGAATGCTGGCCAGATTATCGAGGAAATCCTTATGAAGCATGTCATCCTGAATGTTTAGTCAATACTGATTGTCCAAACTCCTTGGCCTGTATTAGAACCAAGTGTCAAGATCCATGTCCTGGTACTTGTGGGGTTGGAGCCACTTGTTCAGTTACAAATCATGTTCCTATTTGTTCATGTCCTTATCCAACTGTTGGAGATGCTTTTAAACTTTGTCAGACACCAATTGATAAACAAGAATCAAATCCATGCAATCCATCGCCTTGTGGACCAAATACTATTTGTGAAAGAGCTGGACAACAAGTAATCTGCAAATGTCTTCCCGGTTTGGAAGGAGAGCCTTCAAGCTTAGCCGGTTGTCATCCTGAATGTATTTTAAGTTCAGATTGTCCAGGAAACAGAGCTTGTGAAAACAACCATTGCATAGATCCTTGTTCTCGTGGAGTATGTGGAGTTGGTGCTCTTTGCCGAGCTATCAATCACAGTCCAGTATGTAGCTGTCCAGTATCGCTCATGGGAAATCCATTCATCGAATGTTATCCTAAACAGCAAGAAACTGATCCTTGTAGTCCATCACCTTGTAATATCAATGGTGAATGCAGAGAAAAGAATGGAATAGCTTACTGCGTTTATCCAGAGTGTTTGATAAATTCAGATTGTCCACGAGATCGTGCATGCTTTGCTCAACGTTGTCGAGATCCATGCATAGGTGTTTGTGGTATTAACTCGATCTGTCAGGCAGTCAATCACAATCCAATCTGCTCATGTCCACCTGGCTTTATGGGAGATCCGAAGATTCAATGTAAATTTACGTCAGTAGATGTAATTAGACCCGAATGTACTAAAAATTCAGAATGTACCAATGACAAAATCTGTTGGGAAGAAAAATGTGTTGATCCTTGCACTCTTGGATCTTGTGGACTCAATAGTAGATGTCAAGTCTTGCTTCATCGTGCTATATGCGTTTGTAATGAAGGATACACAGGAAATCCACAACAATTCTGTCGTCAAATTCAATGTAGAAATAATGACGAGTGTCCTTTATCATCAAGCTGTATTAATAATGAGTGTATTGATTATTCACCTCCTATGCAATGTGGAAGTAATGCCATTTACCATGTTGACAACTACCACAAACCACAATGTTCATGCTTGGACGGATATCAAGGAAATCCATATATAAGATGTGATCGACGAGAATGTACTACGACTTTAGATTGTCCACCAACTCTCACATGTCAAAATTCTAAATGTGTTGATCCATGCAACTGTCCACCTTCAGCACAATGTTCAGTAATTAATCATCGACCTATTTGTAAATGTCCTCCAGGCTTCATTGGTGATGCTTATAAAGCTTGTGTTAAAGAACCTTTAGCTCTTCCAGAATGTGTAATTGACGCAGACTGTCCAAATAATCTTGGTTGCTTTAGTGGTTCTTGTAAAGATCCTTGTCGAGAATCTCAATCATGTGTTACGAATGCAAAATGTACAATTATTAATACTCTACCTATGAGGACTATCGTCTGTGAATGTTTACCAAATTATATCGGTGATGCTACAGTTGGTTGTGCTCCAGTTGCTCAACAAGTAGACACGGCTTTATGTCGATCCAACAGCGAATGTTTGTCAAATATGGCTTGCTTAAATAGCCGTTGTGTAAATCCATGCACAACAAATGTCTGCTCAAACACCGCTGACTGTCGTGTTGATAATCATCAACATATTTGTATCTGTCCACCTGGAACAACTGGAGATCCTTATTTAGGATGCCACAGTCATACAATCAGTCTTCCTCAATGTACAAGTAATTCAGATTGTCCTTCTAACTTGGCATGTATCAATCAACTGTGCCAAAATCCTTGTTCAAGAGATATTTGTGGAATCAGTGCTGATTGTATTGTTATTGGTCATCATCCAACTTGTCACTGTCCTCAAGGATATGGTGGAGATCCTCAAAACCGTTGTTTCAAATCAGAGTGTCGAATTGACCATGATTGTCCCTTCGATAAAGCATGCAGAAATGGTTATTGTGCCAATCCTTGTCAAACTGGTGATATGATTTGCGGTCGTGGTGCTAAATGTCAAGTTGTTGAACATCAAGCACATTGTATTTGTCCTCCAGGAACTCAAGGTTATCCGCAAGTGGCATGTATTTCAGCTATTTGTCATTACAATGAAGATTGTGCAGATGATGAAGCTTGTGATAGACTCAATAGAGTTTGTCGACCAGTTTGTGATGATGAAAGCTGTGCTGAAACTGCCATTTGCACCGGAAAAAATCATCAACCGACATGCACTTGTGGAACTGATACCACTGGCAATCCTTACATCGAATGTACAAACATTCTGATTCCTAAAGAAGAGTGTCGAGTTGATTCTGAATGTCCACCACTTTTTGCATGCATTAACAGTCAATGTCAAGATCCTTGCTTATTGTCAGACATGTGTACAGCAGAACAAAAATGTCGAGTGCTTAGTACTACTCCATTACGTACAATGATTTGTGAATGCCCTCCAAATACTTATACAGACATCAATGGAAAATGTCAGAAGATTGTTTGGACTGATGTTCAATGTCACACTGATAAAGAATGTGCCAACAACGAAATATGTCAGAATGGTAATTGTCTTGAAGCCTGTTTAACTGTCCGTTGCGGCATCAATGCACAATGTAAATCAACTTCGTCTCATTCGGCAGTTTGTGCATGTACATCAGACTATACTGGAAATCCATACATTGAATGTTCTGCAATACCAAGAAATCCTCTGCCTCCACCATTACCAGAGTGTTATACAAATAGTGAATGTTCTAATGATCGACAGTGTATCAATCTGAAATGTATTAATCCATGTGTCGCTGGTGATCCATGTGGAAGAAACTCTCTCTGCCACGTTGATGACCACAATCCAATCTGTAAATGTCCAATAAAATACATGGGAGATCCACGAATTGAATGCATACCCCCTGCAATCATTGTGGGCTGTGTTTCTAACAGTGAATGCAAAGGAACAGAAGCTTGTGTTAATGGTCAATGTATTAATCCTTGCAACTGTGGATCTAATGCTAATTGTCTTGTGACAAATCATTATCCATCTTGTGTATGTCATCCAGGATACTCTGGTAATCCTCAGTTAGGCTGTACTAAACTTGAATGTGAAACCGATCAAGAATGTCCTTATGAAGAAACTTGTCATTCTGGTCAATGTATTAATCCTTGTCTCCTTCAAAATGATTGTGTCATCAATGCAGAATGTTATGGAAAAAATCATCGATCTGCTTGCCGTTGTAGTCCAGGTTACTTTGGCAATCCGGAAGTCATCTGTGAACGGGCAGAATGTACCAGTAATTATGAATGCTCTCAAAATCTAGTCTGTGAGAATAAACGCTGTGTTGATCCATGTGTTGATCGATCACCTTGTGCTTCTAATGCTATCTGCTTCGTCAGATCTCATATCATTTCATGTAGATGTCCAGAAAATCTTCCAGTTGGTAATCCATTCTCTTATTGTGAAAGAAGACCACCAATAGTTCTTGTGGATGAACCAGAGTGTACGAAAGACATTGATTGCCCTAGCAAATTTGCTTGCATTAAAGAAACATGTGTAGATCCATGTCAAGTTATAAAACCTTGTCGAGAAAATGCACGGTGTGGAGTTTTGGATACCGTTCCAGTCAAAACAATGGTCTGTACTTGTCCTGATGGATGGATTACAGACACTGACGAAGTATGTCGACAAATCCCGATCACTATTGTTGGAGCTTGTACATCAGACTCAGAATGTCCTGATCAAAATGCTTGTATCAACAGACGTTGTCGAAATCCTTGTAATTGTGGTCGCAATGCTAATTGTGTAGTTCGCAATCATAAACCTATTTGTTCTTGTGAGAGAGGTTATCAAGGCAACCCAGAAGTGGCTTGTTATTCAGTTGAATGTCAAAGTAATTCCGAATGTATGCCAGACAAAGCTTGTATAAATAATAACTGTGTCAATCCGTGTCTTTTCTCTAATGAAAAATGTGGAGTTAATGCAGAATGTATAGCAAATAACCATCTAGCTGAGTGTCACTGCAGAGACGGATATGCAGGTAATCCTTTGGACAAATGTCATGTCATCGGGTGTTATAGCAATGGAGACTGTCCAAGTGAATTTTCATGTGTGAATAAACAATGTATTGATCCTTGTCTTCATGATAATCCTTGTTCTTCGCGAGCTGAGTGCCATGTTAGAGGCCATATACCAACCTGTAGATGTCCATCAGGCTATGAAGGTAATCCTTACCATGAATGTCGGGTTGAGATCGAACCAGAATGTCGAGTGGACGGAGATTGTCCAAGCCTCTTAGCTTGCTTTAATAACAAATGTCAGAACCCATGTACTATTATTGAACCATGTTATACACCGTCAGAATGTCGAGTTCTACCAACACTGCCCGTTAGAACTATGATCTGTATCTGTCCAAATGGATATATTAGCAGTGGAAGTGGAACTTGTCAACCTACAACACCAATTCTGCAAATAGGATGTGCAAGCGACAGCAATTGTCCATTCGACAAAGCCTGCATTAATGGTATTTGTTTGGATCCTTGTGCTTGCGGAAATAACGCCAACTGTAATATCATCAACCACAAACCTATCTGTTCATGTCTTCCTGGATATGACGGAAACGCTGATATTGAATGTTTACCAGTGATTGGATGTAGATCTGACAGTCAATGTAGTGATACTCATACTTGCATACAGAATAACTGTGTTTTAGCATGTTCTGACGTCCTCTCGCCTTGTGCTAAGAATGCTGAATGCTACGGCATCAACCATCAAGCTGTTTGTGAGTGTCCTCCAGGCTTAATTGGAAACCCTAAAATCTCTTGTTCTGTAATTGGATGTAAAACGAATTCTGATTGTCCAACGAACAAAGCTTGTATTAATAATCGCTGCGAAAGCCCATGCTTAAAGAACCCATGTACCGAAGAAACCCAGTGCAATGTTTACAATCATGTTGTCGAATGTTCTTGTCCACCTGGATACGTCGGTAATATCAATGAAGGATGTCAAAAAGTCATTGGCAAATGTAAACATGACTATGAATGTCCATCTCAAACAGCTTGCTTCGATGGAGAATGTATCAATCCTTGCACCAAGATTGAACCTTGTGGAGTGAACGCTGAATGTACAGTATTGGATACTAAACCTGTTAGAACAATGATATGTGAATGCATTCCTGGTTATCGTGGCAATGCTGTTGTTCGTTGTGATAAAACTCGAGTTTGTGAAATAGAAAAAGGTCAAATCAAAGATGAATATGGTAACTGCGTTTGTCCACCAGGTACTGCTAAGAATGAACGAGATATATGCGTACCTTGTCAACCAGAAAATGGTATGATGATTACTGCTGATGGATTCTGTGTATGCGCTTTAGAAAAAGGATTCATAATTGATGAATATGGTCGTTGTGTCTGTCCAACTGAACACGGCTATCAACTAGATCATGAATATAACTGCAAGCTATTTAAAATTATTGAATGTGTACGAGATGACGACTGTCCTGATGATCGATATTGTCAACTAACTACAAAGACATGTCAAGATCCTTGTCTAGAGAAGAATTGTACCAGAAATGCATTCTGTACAGCAACAGGACATCGAGCAATTTGTAACTGTACTGCAGGATACATGGGAGACGGAAACATTCTTTGTATTCCTCCCGAGAAGCCTAAAGATGGTCGAACAGATTTCCCAAGACCCGAAATGGAAGCTAGTTGTTTGTCAGATGGTGTTCAAGTACAAATTCATGTTCAACATCAAGGATTTGATGGAGTTCTTTATGTCAGAGGCAGGAGTAAAGAGGAACAGTGTAGAAGAATTCTTTCGATCCCAGCTGATACCACTGATAGAACAGAAACATTTAAGGTCAACTTTGGTAGCTGTGGTCTTATTCATGTAAATGGGGAAGCAAGCTTCGTTTTGGTCATACAGAAACATCCGAAATTAGTTACATACAAAGCACAAGCTTATCATGTTAAGTGTATGTACCAGACCGGAGAACAAAATGTGACTTTAGGTTTTAATGTGTCTATGCTGACGACTGCTGGAACGATTGCTAATACTGGACCACCACCAACGTGTCTGATGAGAATCGTAACACAAACAGGCAACGAAATTCAATCCGCTGAAATAGGAGACAACTTGATGCTACAAGTTGAAGTGCAACCTTCATCAATCTATGGAGGATTTGCAAGAAATTGTGTCGCTAAAACAATGGAAGATAATCAAGAGAATGAATATATTGTGACAGATGAGAATGGCTGTGCAACAGATCCAACTATTTTCGGAGAGTGGCAACAAGATCATGACTCTCAAACACTTTTAGCCAGTTTCAATGCTTTTAAATTCCCCAGCAGTGATAACATTCGCTTCCAATGTAATATAAGAGTTTGCTTTGGAAGATGTCAGCCTGTAAGTTTAATTATCTTATTTTTAAAACAACTTAATTTTTAGTGCTAATTTATAATCAATTAACTTCTTTTGTTTAATAGGTAAATTGTAGAGGATATAACGCCTTTGGTCGTCGAAGAAGAGATGTCAGCAACGATTATAACGATACGTCATTGTCCAGAACTGATAGCGGCTTTGACGGTCAACTTAGAGAAGAAATTACAATTCAATCTAATTTAATAAGAACTTTAGACAGGCGAGAGGAAAGATACACATCTGATCCTGCTGAATGTGAGTAATTAATTCAATGTATTGTATTATATACCTAAATTTATTAATTATGTAATTTGTATTTACAATGATTCATTATTTTACAGTCCCAGCAGCTCAAAGAGTCGAAGACATATGTGTATCAATGGTAGGCTTCATTATAGCCTTGGTAATAACAGCACTTTTGGCCCTCGTCGCTGTAGCTATAGCTGTATCTTGTTGGCTGATGGCATATAGACGCCAGCCAAAGACTGCCGGACCACTGCCACATCCTCCAGAATTTCCAAATCCATTGTTTACCACTGAATCGGTCGCTGAACCATCACCCGATTATCATCTCTCATAGTTTCATTAGTATTGTTTATTTTTTTAAATGAAAACAATTAATAATTAATTTTGTTAATATGATTATCAATATGAGGAATGCATTCCCGACCACGTTTAAATATAATTGTCTCAATAATGGTCGGCTGTGTATTTCAGGACGCATTTCCTCCAGTGACTAATTTTTTACGCTATTTAGTTAATTAGAATTGTTCTTCCATCTTCTATGTGCTTTCAATGAGGGTTTTTAAAAGAAAAAAAAAAGAATATGAATAATCACTAAGTGATAAATTTTTATATTAAATATTATTGTGAATGATTAATTATTCACAATAATTGAATAAAGAATTGATTGTATTAATCAATCATCTTTCTCTAAGGTGATGGTATTCTTCCGCTATTTAAAAGAAGGAAGAGGTGTGTCTTCCTAATATTTCTATTATATCTCTAGTCAATGGAGGACTTGTCGAAACTAATATATATATAAATAAAATAATAGGTATACAATTAAATAAATTTATAAATAAATATAAAGTAAAAAATGACGGAGAATGTAATTTCTGTGAAAAAGTCAAACGAATTAGTCTAATGTAGTTTTTATATCTTTTTATTGTTAGACAAATTAAAACTTGTACATTGTATCTAAAATTACTCATTACAATAAAGACAATAATATTAATAATTACAAAAAGCCATAATAATAATGATAATAAATATTATTTTATAAAATAAATATTAGAATTATTATCATTGTTATTAATCAAATGCAAATCAATCAGCCTTTTATAACTGCTATAGGTCGCAACTTGATACATTTCTTAGAAATTCCAGCAGCATGACAAGTATTAACAACATCAGTGACATTTTTATAAGATTCAGGAGCTTCTTCCATGACTAGTTTAGGTGATGCAACTCTAATAGATATACCCATATCATTTAATTTATCCAAAACTGCTTCATAATCTAAATTTCTTCGTGATTTAGCTCGTGATAATGCTCGACCAGCTCCATGGCATGTTGAACCAAATGTTTCTTTCATTCCTTGTTCAGTTCCCGTTAAAACATAGCTACAGGTACCCATAGTACCACCAATAAGAACTGGTTGACCAGTGAGTTGATAATCAACAGGAATGAGTGGATGATGAGGAGGAAATGCTCTTGTAGATCCTTTCCGATGAACTAAAAGTGTTTTTAATTTGCCATCCACCAAGTGCTCTTCCACTTTAGCTATATTGTGAGAAACATCATAAATAACGTGCATATCTAGATCATCTGGAGCCATGTGAAACTGTTTAGCAAATGCTTGGCGACTAAGAAAAGTCATTGAACTTCGGTTGACCCAAGCAAAATTAGCAGCAGCTGCCATAGATTTAAGATAATCTTGACCTTCTTGAGATTTAATGTGTGCACAAGCTAATTGCCTGTCATTTGTTTCAATATTATCTCTTTTCATCGCTTTTTCCATTTGCACTAAAGCATCTGTCGCTACTTGATGACCAAATCCTCGACTTCCTGAATGAATCATCACACATATCTGTCCTTTTTCTTCAATACCCATTTTACAGGCAGCTGATTTATCATAAATTTCATCAACAACTTGGATTTCTGCATAATGATTACCAGCTCCAAGAGTTCCTAATTGAGGAAGTCCACGTTTTTTTGCTCTTGTTGATACTTTAGATGGATCAGCATTAAGCATTCTTCCATATTCTTCACAATGTTCTTTGTCTTCAGCCCAACTGTATCCTTCACGTAATGACCAGTCCATACCCATTTCCAAAGCTTCTTCTAAGTCTTGAGCTTTCATTGGAATGATTCCTTTGGAACCAACACCAACAGGAATGTGATCGAACATGCTTTGAGCTATTTGTTCTTTGACAGGCACTACATCTTTTTCAAATAAATTTGTACGTAGCAAACGTACTCCACAATTTATATCAAAACCTACACCACCTGGTGATACAATAGACTTTGGATCGTTTATGTCAAATGCTGCCATATTACCAATTGCAAAACCATAGCCCGAATGTACATCTGGTAATCCTACAGATTTTCCAACGATTCCAGGCAGTGCAGCAACATTTGCAATTTGTTTTACTCCAGGTAAAAAGCCTCCAATGCTACCTGGCCTACATGCATTACGTAGTTCATCCAACATCAGTTTTTCTAGAGTATTATTTACGTAAAAAATTCCTTCAACCTATAACAATTTTGAAATATTTACAATAATTATTTTAAAATGTCATCGAGTAGCACGATTATTCATTCTCAAGCAATACATACCTTCATATTAGGTTGAAAACCTTTTTTTATTTTCCAACAATAATCATTTATTTTTTCTAAATACTGAAGTTCTTCTTGATATTGTCTGACGACCATTTTTAATATTTATTTATACTAAAATAAATAATTAACCTAAAGAAAAGACGTATCGGAGCTTGTGAGGTTATTTTATTGTCAACTTAAAAAATACCGGTTACCCACATGTTCTCATTGATGGCAATCAGTTTATCTGAAAAACACTAGAGAACGCTATTGTGCAAAATCTTGAGGGCGCAATAGTATCTTTCTTGGCGCTTGATTTTATTTTGTCTTCGTAATGTCATTTTATTATTAGGAATTAAATAAATAAAGTTTGATTGTTCAGAAATACGTATGTACAGTTTAAATAAAGATTAATAATTAAAATTTACATAATTTTGGAGTTTCAAATCGAATCAAACACAATTATTTTAAATTAAATTTAAAAAAAATTATAGACTTTTTATTTTTTTTTTCATTTTTTATATTTTATATTATAAACTTACAGAAAATAACATTGTTTCGATGAGAAATCATCACTGATGGAATTATATAAATATTTATAATTTTTTAAACTAAACTTATAAATACAAAGTTGATAACATTGTATCAGGCACATAAATGATTGAGCATCATTATTTATTTATGATTGGAACTGTAAGAATATCAGGGTCAAATGGTATATTCGTACGATTACCAGGCATTAACATGGGAGTAACTTTGACCCTGAATTCATAAGGTAAAAAATCAGTACAAAAATTATGAAAGTCCATTCTCGTTTTTATAATTCCTAGCTGTGCCATCTTCTTAATAAGTTCATTAAGATCTTCTTCATAGCTTTCAAAATTTTTCCTCCTTTTAATAACTTTAACTACGTCAGATAAATATTGTACAAACTTTTCTGATTTTCTTCTTGTATCTAAATTATATTTAGGTTCCATTGTTTTCCATAAAAATTTATAAAGACGATTAGTCGCCCATTTTTGTGGTCTGGGTAATTTTGGTTGTTTATAAAATATTCCATCTACTATGTAAGCTTTGTTGATTGGCTTTTTTGGAGTTTTACTTTTATTTTGAAAGTTGCCATAATTATTACGAACTGTTGATTTTATATCGACAGAATTTTGTAACTTTACAATCTTCTCATGAACTCTTTTTACTTCTTTTTGAGTTATTTGATCGGTTTTTTCTTTAATTCTCTTTAACTTATCTTCCAATGCTTGTAATTGTTCTTGTGATAATTGAGTATCTTCAGTTCGTTCTAATCTACTCCTTGATTTTAATAAATAATTATCAAGAGTATTCATTATTGAAGGTTTAAATGTTTTTAATAATTTGTTACGTTGATTGGTTGATGTACTCGGTAAACGTGTTTGTATATCAGTTGAAGGAGTAGATAAATTTACGTTATTGTCTGTCATCATTTGAACAGGTTCACCATTAGCTATCGTTGGACTTTCATTAATATCATCTGTATCAAACTCACTATAATCACTTCGGGTTCTATGAGGAAGTTCGTAAGCTGAAGGATCAATTTTTCTAATACTACTATGGCTTTCTCTGCTCTTTTCTGATAATTCTGTCATAGTACTCGACCTATCTTCTAAATTTTCTGAAAATAATTTACGGGAAATCGATTGCATCGATGACAATTTTCGTTGTTTTATTGATTCTTGGATCTGTTCAGTTGTATTCTCTGTTTCTTCTGTCAACTCTGATCCTCTTTTATCTTCATCTTCATTAATCAATAAATGTGATTGAGTCTGTCTATTTCTCAACTTCTCCGTTTCATCATTTTCTTTGTCTGATTCTTGTTCTTCATCACTGTAACTTACTGATATTTCTTTAGTTCTTCTATTTTTTAATAACTCTTGAGACTTTTCAGTTTCATTCTGTTTATCGTTGTCGATTAATGAATTTAATGGAATTTGTTTATTTTTAAGAGATTTTGAAATTTTCTCACGTTTATTATTTTGTATATCTTCTCCCAATTCTGAATGTTCTTTATCTTCATGAATTGAAGGTATTATTCGAGACATTTGTTGTTTCAATGAATCATTGTTTTCATTATTAGATACATTTCGTTGTTCAAAACTAGATTCTTTTATACTATTACTGAAAGAGTTTTCTTTTATTCTTTGTTTCGAAGATCTTCGGGATTGTCTATGTAAAATGATTCTTCTTTTTTCTAAATTTGATTCTATTTCATTTTCAACATCATGCTGACTTACTTCAGCTATTTGCTGTTGTGATGATCGCTTTTTTTTATTATTCGAAATTCTAGTTGCTGATTTCTGTATCGATTTGTCATATATATTAGAATCTTCATCATTTTCTACAATCTCGAATTCTACTTCATTCTCACGATCAACTACTTCATCTTGACGTATCAAACTTTGGGAATTTAATTGTTCTTGTGGTGTTTCGAAAATGTGCAATTCAATTTTTTGAACTTCAAAAAGACTTTCTGTTGACGACGTTTTATTCGATAAATTTTCTTGATCAGTTTCATGATTTTCTTGGTTAACTTCACTCAATTTTTCTCCTTGAACACTCAATTTTTCATTAGTTCTAAATAATTCACTATGGCTTTTTTTAGACTTGTCTTTATTTGGAATAATTTCAATGGATATAGCTTCATTCTGATCAGATACATTATCATTTATTTTCTCTGATGAATGATTTGATTTTCGAGTCTCGATGATTTCACTTTCAGAAGATGATGAGTGAGATATGTGTAAACTATGATGTGATCGAATTGGTGATATTTTATTATCTTCTGATATTTTTCCATCAGACAATTGCAATTTAAAATTCTTTTCGCTATCGCTACTTTGTTTACGATAATTTTTTGTTCTTTTTCTTATCGATGTATCCATAATTTTTGGGGTATCTTCAGATATTTCATCATTTTTATCATGTATAGAATTGTCTATCGATTTTTGTGATATTTTTTGTATATTTGAATTTTGAGATAATTTTTGGTCATCTTTGTCTTCTTGGCTTTCAATAATAATATTACTTTTGAATTTTCTGGATGACCTACGTATCTTATCAAACGGTGATCGGGGTTGAGTCATAAATTCTTTCGTCTTGTTTGTATCCTCATTATTTTTTTGTACTTCATTTTCATCATCTAAAGTTTCATTTTCATTTAGATTAGACGATTGTTCAACGGTTGAATCATCTTGTGAAAGAATTTTATCAAAAGCATACGACGATTTTCGTTTAGGCCTTCTGAATAATAATGGTCTAGCTTTAGATATTTTTTCTGTATCAGTACTTGTATTACTCTCTGGCGAATATCTGATATTAGATTTGATGGAAAGTCTAGATCGTTTCGATTCGCGCATTCCTTCTTCAATTACTTTTGACAAATTTTGAGAACTATCTTTTTTTTCAAGTGTTGGTATTGACTCTGATTCACTTGCGATATCTGATGAGTCTAAAGCTTGAGAGAATGGATTATTACGCAAACTTTTCCTTTTTGCTCCAAGCATAACTCTCCTCTTTTTAATAGCTTCAGTAATACTATTAGCATCTGAATGAGACGTAGCATTTGATACATTTGCTAATTCTGTAAAGAAAAATAATAAAACTATTTAAAAATTATTTTATATTTATTGGATGTATTCGAATTGAATTAAATAAAAATGAATATTAACCTGAATTAGAAATTTCAGTTCTAGCTGTTTCTTTAGGTATCAAAAGATCTTGACTAGTTTTGTGTAAATGATTCCACCATTCTGTAGCTTCAATGTCATCATCATCGATAATTCTTGAATTGGAGTTCAAAAAAGCTTCACTGGACGCCTGTACACTTGCCCTATTAGAATATCTTGTTTGGTCTGGAAGGTGTCTCCAAAAAGTGTCATCTGCAATAAAAAAGAATTTTATATAATATTTTGATGTATAATTCTGTACACATAATTAATTTTATATTAAATACAGTTAACTTACCTTCTTCATCAATGTAATTGGAATCTTGATCAAGAACTGCAGAATCATTTATTGATCTACGCGACCAGCGACGATTTAAACTTCTTCTTCGAGCCATTATTATAAATTAATATTTAATATACAATAAATAATATTGAAAAAATTTTCAATAAATATAATTTCAAATAACGATAACTGTTTATATTCAAAATTTGTAAACTTCTATATAACCTCAAAATCTTATTTGAAAATATGGCATATGTTCTCAATAAAATCATACATCTTTTAGTGAGCTTATTTAATAATTGATGAAAAAATAATTAGTTTTATAAAAAGTTGAATGAAAATATATTTCTAATAATTAAATTTATCTCTACCTCTAACAAAATAACTGAATCTATTATATACACACACATCCAACAAGAGCTTTCGCGCTAAAACCTAAATTCTATCAACAACAGTTGATATAGTAGAAATCTGATTTTAAATTATCGTTGAATGGTACATAATTAATATTCCAGAAGTAGAACCTCTAAATTTTTTTTAGAAAACCAACTACGTGTGCTTTTCATGTGCTTTTTTAATCTATGCCTGTAAGCAGCCAATTACACATCCAAAAATTGGAATGACTGATTGTCAGCATAAATTCGCCAACCAATTACTACTAATTTGTCAATATGATGAAAATTTCAGAATTTACATTATTCATGATAAAATAAAAAAAATGAATATTCAAATAACAATGAATCAATCAATACAAATAATAATTATTAATAACAATAGACTGCTCTATTTTATATATACATATCAATATAAATTTTACGTCAATAAAAAATAGGTACAATAAAAAAATTCTTAGTTTTTTCAACAATATCGATTTATTCCATGGTAAGAAGCAGATCTTCTCCTTCTATTCTAGTATTTAGAGCAACATCTAGAGTCTTAATTTTCCCAGCTTTAGGCGCTTGAACAACCATTTCCATCTTCATAGCTGAAATAACAACGAGGGCAGCACCTTTTTCTACTGTATCTCCAACTTTGACTCTAATATCGATTACTGTTCCTGGCATTGGAGCTCCTATTTGGTCTTTATTTGATTTATCAGCCTTAGGGTGAATATGAAGTTCCTAAAAATATGAATTAAAAAATTAGAACAATCAATATTGACTATGAAAAATATAAGAATATATCAGTATAATCATCAATATACCTTTACAGCTTCTTTATCTTTAATAAAAACAGATCTAAGCTGTCCATTGAGTTCAAAGAAAACTTCACGCTCTCCATTTACTGTGAGATCTTCAGCCATTGCAAGTGTTTTAATAGCTAACGTTTTACCTTTTTCAATAGTCACATCGAATTCTTCTCCAACTTTTGGACCAGTCAAAAATATTCTAGTTTCAAGCTTATCAACTGGTCCAAACGTATCTTTAAATTTCAAGTAATCATTTGTAACTTGAGGATAAAGGGCAGCTGACATGATGTCTTTTTCTGTAATAGTTGGATAAGTTTCTCTCAGTTTCTTTTCTAATTCACAAAAATCTAGAGGTGCAAGACTTGCACCAGGTCTCCCTTTTACTCTGGGCATATCCTTAAGTATTTTAGACCTCAAAGGCTCCGGAAAACCACCATGGGGCTCACCAATAGCACCTTGAAAGAATTCCACAACAGATTTAGGAAATGACAATTCCTCTGCTCTATTCATTACATCTTCAGGAGTTAATTTATTTTGAACCAAAAACTGTGCAAAGTCACCAACAACTTTAGAGCTTGGTGTAACTTTAATAATATCACCCAAAAGAAGATTAGCTTCTCGGTAAGCTTTTTTAATATCTTCAAAAAATTCACCAAGTCCTAAAGAATAAGCTTGAAATTGTAGATTGGTATATTGGCCACCGGGGATTTCATTTAAGTAAACGTCTGCATTTCCAGATTTCATTGTAGTTGTACATTCGAAGGGCGCATAAAGTGTTCGAGTTTGTTCCCAATAGGCAGAATACTCCGATACATTTTTCAAATCGAAATTAGTATCATAAGGTGTGTCTTGAAGGCTTGCAACAACCGCACCCATAGATGGCTGACTTGTCATACCTGACATGCTGTCGACAGCAACATCAATAACATCAGCACCAGCTTTAGCACACTCAAGCATTGAAGCGACTCCAGCACCGGCAGTATCATGAGTATGGATATGAATTGGAATGTCTGGTTGTCGTTGTCTGATAGCATCAATAAGTATACCTGCTGCTTTAGGTTTTAATAATCCAGCCATATCTTTAATAGATAATACATGAGTACCTGCTTTTACTAATTCATCAGCTAGATCTGTATAGTATTTTAAACTGTATTTAGTACGCTTTGGATCACTTACATCTCCAGTATATGATATGGCTGCCTCTACAACACCACCAGCTTTTCCAGCTGCTTCCATACCCAAAATAAGATTTGGCAGATAATTAAGTGAATCAAATACTCGGAAAATATCCATTCCACATTGAACTGATAGATCACAGAATTTATATACAACATTATCAGGATAATTGGTATAACCGACGGCATTAGCACCTCTTAGAAGCATTTGGAAAGGAATATTTGGAATTGCTTTCCTCATATCTATTAATCTTTCCCAAGGACATTCATGTAAAAACCTCAGTGCAACATCAAACGTAGCACCACCCCAATTTTCGAGAGAGTAAAGATTGTAAAAATTGTGCGCGACGTATGGTGAAATATTCAAGAGATCATGTGTTCTAATACGAGTGGCTAGAAGAGACTGATGTGCATCTCTGAATGTGGTATCCATTAATAACAGGCCTTTGTGCTCACGTACTGCTTTAGCAAAACCTTCTGGTCCTTTTTCTAATAATATATCCCGCAGTCCTTTTGGTGGCTTCAAAATATCTATAATATAAAAGTTAATACATAAAGTCTCTAATTATTATTTTTTTTCTTTTAATTAAGAAAAAAAAAACCATTGAATCATAGTAAAGATTGAGAATGAAGTGAACAACATATGTGAAGATGTATACACTGTATTAGTAATTAAAAACATCGCAAATAAAAGTGAGACGTGAAAAAGTGAATTATTTACAAATGAATATAAAATAGAATTTGTATAATTAAATGAACAGATCTTTTTCGTCGATTGGCTATTATCTAAACATACCTGTAATATCCACATCTTCGTTGTCAAGCTCTGGAATTTTAGAATAGTCTAAGGAAAAAAAATGACAATAAAAAAAACTTAGCGAATCATAAAGCACGCTAAAATAAATATAAATCAAAATGTGTGTGGTAATTTATTTTCCAGGATGTTTATAACTTGTTTTAGTATACATATAGAAGATTGTGCAAATGTTTTAATGGTTTGTGATAGTACACATATAAATGTATGTAATTTATGAGCAAATATATATGATAAAGCAAAATTAATTAATTTAATAATTATAAATTTAATTTATGATATAAAGCGAAACTATTATCTAGTTCATTATCGACTTACATTCATTAATTTGTTCTATTTTTTTTTTAATTAATAAAAATAAACAACTTTTTTATTTTGTAAAAACTAATTATTTTGAGAGTGTTAAAGACAATAATAACATAAAAATTTATGAAATTTATATGTGCATAGGCATATTTAGCTAAAAGGATTTATCTAAAGGTTGGAACTTTTGAAATGTGTGCAGGTATAAAAATTGTCAACATTCAAAATATAAATATGTCGAATTAAGAATCAACTTACCAACGTTAAGTGGAGGAATATGAGGTTTAATTTCAGCAGGTTTCAGTGGGGTGGCTAAAGGAGTACTGGGTCCATTAACGAGTACCGTGCCAAGATAATTGAGCAACTTTTGTGCGCGATTTTGGCTCGGAGCAAACTTGAATAATTGTGGATTTTCATCAATGAAATAAGTATCTATATTCCCATTCAAAAATTTTTGATTTTCCAAAACATTGAGAAGGAAAGGAATGTTAGTTTGAACTCCACGAACTCGGAACTCTCGAAGAGCTCGGTTCATTTTTGCGCAAGATGATTGTAAATCGGCAGCATGAGCAATAACTTTAACGAGTAAAGAGTCATAATAAGGTGAAATAATGGCACCAGCATAAGCCGAAGCACTGTCAAGTCGAATACCCATTCCTTCTCCGGATCTAAACACTTCGATTCTTCCAGTATCAGGTTGAAAATTTTTAGCTGGATCTTCGGTTGTAACACGACACTGAATTGCATATCCCTGAGGTGATATTTTATCTTGTGTCAGTCCAAGTTCAGGTAATGTCATGCCTTCAGCTACACGAATTTGTGATTGAACTAAATCTATTCCTGTAATCTCTTCTGTGACAGTGTGTTCTACTTGAAGACGAGCATTAACTTCGATAAAATAATAATTTCCTTTATTATCACAAAGAAATTCAACAGTTCCAGCATTTGAATATCCTACATGTTTCGCTAATTTAATAGCATAATCTGTCATCTTCTCTCGTTGTTTAGAATCCAAATTTGGAGCTGGTGCTATTTCGACAACTTTTTGATGACGACGTTGAACAGAACAATCTCGCTCATATAAATGAACAACATTTCCGGCTGTATCTCCAAGTAACTGAACTTCAATATGTCGTGGTCGCTCAATGAATTTTTCTATAAACAATGCACCGTTTCCAAAAGCAGCTTTAGCTTCTGAAGATGCTCTTCCAAACATTTCGACAACTTGATCCATTTCTTTCACGACTCTCATACCTCTTCCACCTCCTCCATACGCAGCTTTGAAAATAACTGGAAGTCCATGTTTTTGACAAAATTCCATGGCTTCTTCAGCGGTAGTAACTGGTCCATCAGTACCAGGAACAATTGGAACTCCAGCCTCTATAGCAGCTTGTCTGGCTGCTACTTTGTCACCCATTTGCTGTACAACTTTTGGACTAGGTCCAATAAATCTAATGCCTGCATCAACCACTGCTTGAGCAAAGTCTGATCTCTCGGATAAAAATCCATAACCTGGATGAATGGCATCAACTCCATTTTCTTTAGCAATTTTTATTATTTCTGGAATGTTAAGGTACGCTTGCACTGGTGGAAGACCACGTCCAATCATATAACCTTCATCAGCTTTCTGTCGATGCGTTTGCATTTTATCTTGCTCCGAATAAATAGCTACTGAGCGGATTCCCAATTCGGTACATGCTCGAAATACACGAATTGCAATTTCCCCTGTAAATTAATGAAATTGTGAAATTTTTTTTAGCTTATTAACAAGTATAATTTTAAGATGATTAAAAATCAATTTTACCTCGATTAGCTACTAAAATACTTCGAATTGGTTTATACTGGACATTAGTTTCATAATTTGCCTTGAAAATTCGAATAACACTTCTTGACTTTGTCAAGGCTTTTCCGGCTCTATGCATAGAGTACATTTTTATTTTGTTTTATTTTCTTCACTCAATTATGTAATCAATTTGTTTTTTTTTTTAAATTTGTCTTTTAGATGTGATAAATATTTTTCTTAATTAATACTATTTATCATGATATATTATACGTTATTTTTCTATTTATTGTCGTCAATTTTTTAATGTAATTCTTCACAGCCTGTTTTGTCTATGTTACATAAATAGTTGTACTTAAAAATGTATTTATCGAAAATTTTTTTCAATTTCGTACGATTTTTCCTTGAATAAATATTTTCTTTCGTTTCTGCTCATGTATCATCTCTGTAAAATAAAATTAACAGCAAATATTATATTTAAAAAATACAATAAGAATAATAATACTTTCTGCACTGATATTTATCAGACTTATCTTTATTATTCTGATTACCCGTTTTCTAAAAAATTATAAACCATAAAACAAACATAAAGATTACTGACTATAATGCACTTTAAAAAATTAACAATACTCCATTCTTAACATAAATGTACTAATACAGAAGGACAAGACATATTTAATATTCTCTTTTAAGGCTGAACTCTAGAGCTAATTAGTCGTTAAAGTTTACTAATTACTTAGTCTCCATTTTAAGAAATAGATAGAAATAATTACGAAAATATTTCTCAACAATGATAGCTCAAGGACAAATTCTATTTTAACTTCATCAAGCACATTAAAAAACTTTTTTTGTTAATAAATGCACTGTACGCATTTTTTGAATGTACTGAGTTAAAAGTCATATGATAGCTTGTTATATCAATCGATTTTACTTTTTGTGTCATTTATTGAGTAATATTATATAATATAATGAAATAAATTTCGCTCTTTATTTGACCATATTTTTTATAGTGTTTGATTAATTTTGCAATAAAATTTAAGACTGTGATATTCTTTAAATCGAAGATACAATGCTATTCTTTATTTTAGTACAGTCAACGTTGGACATGTAGAGATTTTGCAATGGAGCGTTGACCTATAAGAAATTTTTTTTGTGAAAGTACACACCAAAAAAAAAATATAAATATTATTATTATCATGATGGATTATAAGCATAAATGCGTTGAACTTATAATTCTTTAATGAAGTTAAAATCAATAAAAAATTTACATCGTCTAATTTTATAATAAGAATATGAAAAATTATTTATTAATCCTTTTCAATCTGAATGATGAGTTTTTTAATAAATCTACAACAACATATTAATTTTTATTTTAAAAATGCTAATATGTAAATCTTTTCGATATCAAGAATGAATAATAGTAAGATATATAAATTATTTTAAATAAAGTTTATAGAATAATTCTAAAGTTAAATCAAATTTTTGAATTTATTTAATGAATTTACTAGTACCTGAACAGGTATATTCAACGTCATACATGAAACCAGCTAGAATTTTCAATCATTTAAATTTTTATTTATAATCCAACTCACAATGACTTGCGCTATTACAATCTGTACACTTTCCACTTATAAAAGGATATTTATTACATGCTTAGAGTTAAAAAAGAAATGGCATGAAAATCTTGATCTTAAATGTACTATTTAAAGAAGATGACATATTTTCATTCTGATACATAAGCTGTTAATCATGTTAAAATGGTATTACGATTCAGCATCCATAAATCATCACAGAAATAGTAGAAAATTGTTTTAATAAAGATGTCAATGAATTATGAATGAAATGATTAAGACTGCAATTAAGGAAAAAAATGATAATAACAATAAACGATGAAAAATATAATAAAAAAAATAAAAGTAATGAGAACAACGAGACTATCGTCGGTGTCAATTATGCTAAATCAAAACATATGTACGTATATCTGTATGTTGTGTCTACTCAATGTAACAATTATAACATATATATCATACTTAGTTTCGTTCAAATACTTTAACAGACATACATATATTCATAAATATTCAAAGTCCGAGTTTGTTCAACTTTTTTCATAATTCTGATTTTATCACGTGTGTAAATATCAAAAAGAAAACAATTTTTTTTTCGTAGCAAGATACAAAATTATAGTTGTGCAATAGTAATTTATACATATTTTTAGTGAGGGTAATCATGACTTAAAGTCATGGGTGAAATAGCAAACAAATATTCATTATCATTATTTTTTATACTTGAATAACTTGAAATTAATTTATTCATGAAATGTCTAGTCTTTATATATTACCTAACTAAAGTTCATATAAATCAAAAATTTCTCATTAATGGATATCATTTATTTCACACAAAAGAGAATATTTAATTTACACCAAATTAAACTTCTTTTCTTTAGATAAAAGTATATTTTATAATCATTGTAGACTCCAAGTATAAACATCTTAACGTCAGTATGTTGGTAAATAAGCATGTCTGATTGACCATTAATAAGAAAAAATTATCAGACAACTAAAGCGATTCATAAAAACTGTGTTCTATTAAATTTTGTAACACACAAAGTGAGTGATTATTAAATGAGTGACAATTTGCAGCCGTTAAATAATAGATGTACATGCGTTCAAATCAAAATATATCTAAAAAATATATACTGCTGATAAAATCTATTGATTGCATTTATTTTTTGTTTTTTGTACTGCACTGATGATTTTCAGGTCACTAAACTAAATGAAATTATTCAAATGAAAAGTTGAAGACAGTGAATTGATAAGCTTTCAGACACCATCAAATTTGAAAGTAGTTTTTTAGTTTTTATATATTTATGAATTTTAAGAAAATTATATACACATAAAGATTATTATGCCTACTAATTTATTGACTTATATGCGGCCAAGGATTTTTGCTGTGTACATGTAAATTAACCAACATTTCTATAAAAGTCATGGTTAATTTGAAAAATGATTTTATCACATTCAATTGGTTAAGTTTTTTTGTTACATAATGAAAATAAATTTATGAGAAAAAGTAAATACTTTGTAAACTGTGTAGTTTTTTTGATCAAGTTTGTTAAAGCATAATTTAGTCGATTAAATAAACATTGCAATTCAACTTTGATGCAAAATATAAAACTCACGATTCAAAATTACACGAAATAGAATATATGTAAAAATAGACTAACATTTATGCAAAATAACATAGTGTGAATAAGATCTGATTGTATTACATATACGTATATATTTGTTTATTATCAATACATACATATATGTCCAACTCATATTTTTCAACGTATAAATATATTTAATTAAAATATTTATGTATGTATATGGTAAAAATTAGATAAACAATAATAAATATCTGTGTGTGTATATATCACGCATCAATGAAATAATGTACATACTGCATAGTTACAATTATAATTGACAGTAAATTTTCACTAACATTAATCAATAATCCACTTGTAACAATTACACTTTAAAATAAGTAAGAGTCACAAAGTTATGTCATAATTAAGGAATCCTTCAACAGGAATAAAGTATTGCACACCACCCGATAAAAGGCCTAAATCGTACTAAAAAATGTTTGGCACACGCGCCCGGCCTCTACTTCAGAAATAAAACGGCAACAAATTCGCGCATGTGCAGCTGATATAAGTGATCTTTTCCCTTTCTTTTTTCCTTTTTCTCTCCTACCGCTTTTGATCTCTATCAAGCCTATCTCGTCTTGAATCTTTAATTTTACATTGCTCATTCTACTTTGTCATCACGAGTGTGACGTTTTAAGCTTCTTTAAATGACCATAATCGTCATGATTGATAAGATCTTTGCAATTCATTCTTAACCAGGGAAAAAGTACCGGCGAAAAACGTTTTACAAATTAGTCATGACAGGTTCTTCGTGTTTGTATATTCAGAACTAAGATAATCGATAGAAGAATTTCTAGATTAGAAGTAAACTTTTTTTTTTTAATTTTGGTACAACATTGCCAATCAAATGTTTACATTCCAAGTAATTTAACATCGTATTTCCATCTTACAATTGTTCAATAATATATCGTTAACATATACATACACGTATTTTAAATATTCAACCATCAGTCATATCATGCGAATCTCTCGCAACATTTACATGGGCTCTTATTGCGTTCATTTTGTGCATTGTAATCACATGAATTAATCTGCACACAATGTGCGAATAAAAGAAAGAGGGCATAATCAATGAACTTTTTAATAGAAATTCTATAACGAATGTTGTCAATTGATACTTTTTTTATAAATCAAATCAACATAATATATATACAATTATTTCAAATAACAGAAGTTTATACATTATTTTTTTAGATGTAGAAAGAAGCAATATAAAAAGTATGCTATAAAAATAGTGGAAGACATAGTAATTCCTTAAAAATTCTGTGAGAAATATTCATGACACTCACTGAGAATATATGTATATGTTCATCAGTGAATATTTATTGCATCGTAGGCATAGCTGTTGAAGATGTAATATCAGTGGAATCCTCAGATCTCCATAACTGAGTGATTGTCTTAGTCTGAGTATGGAAATTTATACCCTAAACAAAATATTTAAAGTGTAATTTTGAAAATTCAACATAAAATTAATTTTAATTTAAATTCATAGTAATTTTCGAACGTACGTATTTTCCATAAAAGTGGTTGTCACCAAGAAATGATCCTTTGTTTCCAGTAAAACTGAACATAGGTAATGGCACTGGAATGGGAACATTGACACCAATTTGTCCCGCTTCAATGCTATTCACAAATTTTCTAGCCGTAGCACCATTGCTGGTGAAAACAGCTGTGCCATTACCGTAAGGGCTGCTATTAATTAAATCAATAGCTTCTTCTAAACTATCAGCAAACATGCAACAAAGAACAGGTCCAAAGATTTCTTCGGTGTAACATTTCATGTGTTTCTAAAAATAGTAATTTTAATTATGTCAAAATTATAATAAAAATTTAGGATAATATGAATTCATTTAATATGAATAACATACCTGTACTCCGGATAAAATTGTTGGTCCAACAAAATTACCATTTTCATAGCCTTTAACAACAATACCACGACCATCGAGATCTAATGACGCTCCTTCATCTACACCAGATTTTATAAGTTGATGAATTCTTTGTTTTGATTGCGGAGATATAACCGGACCTAAATCTGTGCCAGGGATATGACCTGCATTAACTTTTAACTGTTTGGCAGCTGCTGTCAACTCTGGTAACCATTCTTTGGTTTTTCCGACAAAAACGGCTACTGAAAGAGCCATACAACGCTGACCAGCAGCTCCAAAAGCTGCGCCAATGATTTGTGAAATAGTTTTATTTTTATTTGCATCTGGCATTACAATACAGTGATTTTTTGCTGCCATGTTACATTGAACACGTTTTCCATGAGCACTGCTTTCTTTGTAAATATATTTTCCAGCCTGATCTGAACCAACAAAAGAAACAGCTTTGATATCAGGATGTTGGCAGATAAAATCTACAGCTGCATGTTGGCCGTGAATAATATTGAGTAGACCTGGTGGTGCTCCAGCTTTTGCAAATAGTTCAGCCAAAATCATTGATGCTCCTGGTACTCTTTCAGAAGGTTTTAATATTGTTGCATTACCACAAGCAACTGATACAGGGAATGACCAGAGTGGAATCATAGCAGGAAAATTAAATGGACAAATTGATGCTGTTACACCTAATGGAACTCTGTATGATATTATATCCATGTCAGTAGCTATATTTGTTGATGTTTCACCCATTTGCAATGAAGGAATTGATGTACAAGCATCTACAACTTCTGTAAACGTAAATAAACAAATGATAAATAATCAACTGGATGCTATTTAAGCAAAAATAAAATATGAAGCTTACGAAGCCCTCGCAGTACATCTCCCTCAGCATCAGCCATAGTTTTGCCATTTTCTTTTACAAGATTTTCAGCAATAAGTTTCTAAATTATATTATTGAAAAATATTACATTCATGAATATTAATTCATAATATCAAATATTGGAATTGATTTATCTTACAGAGTTTTCACGAATAAGTGCTTGATATTTTAACATTAGTGTTTGTCTTGTTAAGACACTAGTGTATCTCCATTTTTCATAGGCTTCTTTAGCACTTGCGACAGCACTTTCCATTTCACCTTTAGTAGATTTGGGTGTACGACATAACAATTGATTTGTAGCTGGATCATGAACTTCTGTAAACTCTGTACTTTTTGATTCTGTTTAAAATAAAAACATCAATATTTAATTTTAATCAAATATTTCCGAATACATTTAGAAGTTATATGATTTTTGTGAATCAAAAAACATTAATTAAAATGTATTTGTCAATAATATTAATTACAAATGTATTTACCCACGAATTCTCCATTTATATACATTTTTACAGTAGGAGCTGCAGTACTCAATGTCCTTTTGATGAGATGAAAATTCATCTACAAAAAAATTATTTGTACAAATATTTATTTTTATTAAATAAATTAAATTAAAAAATTACTCTTAGTTTAAATAAATGAAAAATCTATAAATTAATCAAACAAACTTTTTAACTTTTTGTGTCCATAAAACTTTAATAGGCTCATCGTTAATTGAAATATAAAACTACTCATGATTTAAATTTAGTCCAATCATGCTCAAAATTATTGAATCTATTACTAATATAATTTATAATAAACATTGATTTTTATTTATTAAACAAACAATAGTAAAACAATTATGAATTTTTATAATACCTTACAATAACTATGAATATGCAAACCCATTTTTTGAAAATTTCTTCCGATGTCTTCCAATCCCAATATGTGTCCAAAAAATAATGATATTCAGTGATGAAGATGATAACATAATGATAACAAGGTCAAAACAGAGAGCAGACTTGTTTGGTTTCGTGCAAGTGTCGCCTACGGAAGCCTGGTTGGTTCATTTCTTAGTGTGTCACAAGTGGCGCCGTTTCTCGTCAATTTTCAAAGTGTGTTTGAATCTCACTCTCATAGAGAATATATTCTAAAGTTTGAATGTCTCCATGTCTGCTACCATAGAAATTCAACCCTGGGTTAAAAATGTGAACAAAGTTTTGGCATACACGTGTGAAAGCTCTGCCTGTAAGCGCCCATTTAGCCTCTATATTCGTCTATCCTCTGTAATCTGAAGTGTACTTTTCTCTATTTGACTAGCTAGAAATTATTATTGACAGGAACTTATTCGAACTAAGTATACTTAATAAAATATTATAAGTAGCTCGCAGATGGCGAAGAAAGATTACAACGAATTTTTGTCCTTGAAGAAACACATATTTCGTCTTTTAATCGAAAAGAGCATTCCCTACAAATATTAAAAAAATTGGCATTGATTCAATGACATAAACACTTTTTTTCAATTTTTGAATTGTTATTTAAAACTGCTCAGCCTAAGAATTCAGTCATGGGATATTAAAAAAAATGTAGATATAAAACTGTATAAAAAATACCTAAAGGGACTTCGTAGCCTACAGAGTTTATTTGATAAAAAAAATTTTTATGAAGACACTCCTGAGCCAAGACAACTATACAAAAAATGGGTCACAATTTTAAACGAACTATTTATTTTTCTTACGAACTATTCAGTTGTACTATCGGTATAATAGTAGATATGAATTATGCATATCAATAGTAGTAAACGAAGACCTCTTATACACCGGCATAAAGTTTCGTTATGACTAAACATACACATATTATATTTATGTGATATCAATACACGTGTAATTTAAAATTACTTTTCGAACATAAACCAAACATCATAAAAAATTCTCGATAAATAACAAAACTAATGTAAATATTCATACAGTATTTTTATAGTTAAATCCAGATTCAAATAAAAGTAAACAAGGAAAACAAAAGAAGAAAAATCATGTGTAATAAGGGGAACAATGAGTAGTTAGTCGCGTTCCTGAGTGAAGGTTGAAAGATGCGCATGCGCAAGTTTGAATTTACCAATAAGAACAATTGGTTACACGAAGTGGGGAACAACTTGGTGCACTCCAGAAACAAGGTCTTGGGCAGTTCTGGGGTATTCTACGCTACTTTAACTGAAACACCATTTTGTATTTATCATTGATCCCGGTTACTCGACGCCCGTGTACAATTTAATATACACGATTCCGAAAAGTGAATTGCCAGTGGCTGTCTGTCTGCGGATATTGCTGCAACTTTTGTCACGAAGTGAAAAACAAGATAACGTACGGAGGCTAAGTGAGAACCCGGCAGTGGCGGAGGTAGTGGAATTTTAAGTTACTGATAAAAAGAGATAAGAGAAACATATTCAGGTGAGTAAGAAAGATGAAAAATAGAAATATTATCAGGGCTGTAACCGACAATAATGTAATTTGGTTAATACTTAATCAATAATCATATTTATTCACGATTTAACTGGTTCACTATGTTTAGTTAGGTAAAAATGGCGGAACTACAGGGGACAACTGTAGGCCAGGACGCTTTATCCGTGGGACAACTTGAACTTGGAGGAAATCCTAATGCCCTTGCCTTGCGGAGGCCTTTTGATCCAGTGGCACATGATCTTGACGTAACTTTCCGCCTTACGCGGTTCGCCGACCTGAAAGGATGAGGGTGTAAAGTCCCTCAAGAAGTTCTTGGTAAACTTCTCGAGGGACTTCAGGCCGACGATGGTAGCGCTCAAGATCATGAACATGCCCACTTTATACATATGGCTATTCCGCGAATTGGTAAGTTATAGCTCGTTTTTATTCATTAACAACAATTACATCAATAATTCTATGAATTTTTCTGTACTTCATTTACTGACAATATGGAAATGAGGAGACAGTATGAAATATATTAAAGCCAAGGAACCTACATTTTTTCTACATGGCGTCCCACATGAAATTAAATTTGATACCGGCTTTCTACATTATACGCACGTGTTCAATGTTAGATCAATATCTTAATCATTTCTATAATTATTATTAAATGTTTCATCTACATTATTTAAATTATAATCATTTTTGTTAGTTATATCTATATTTTCAGACACATAATTTTTTCAAAAATTCTTTTCTTTTATATTTATTGAAAATATCAGCGATATTGTATTGAAAGTCTTTTACACACTAATACAATAAAAAAAAATATGGCTGCCACGTTGGCGCCTACTGAATATAATGCTAGGGTTCTCAACTTCAATCATCAACTTGTTTTTAACATTTTTTTAAACACAATTTTATACAAAAAATAGACTGAAAATTTTTTTACAAGGAGCTTCTTGATTTTTTCATGTTATATAATTAAGTCCTATTAATCATTCCTGTATTAAACGTTAAAAATTAGAAATCAAGTTGAAAATTCAATAACATTGAAAATATCATAATCGATTATACTTAATCAATCATTCCATTTAAATATTACTTGAAAGAACATATTACAAGAAATTGTATTCATATCGACACAAATAAAGATAATTTATTAGACATTTTTTCGAAATTGACTCTGGCACTTGATACAATTATTATGAATCAATGACATCTTCCAATCGACAAGTATTAATAAATTACTGTTTTTCTTTGTAGGCATTGGTATGGATTCTTCTGTAACACCACTCAGACATGGCGGGCTTAGTTTAGTTCAAACAACAGATTTCTTTTACCCCCTAGTCGATGATCCTTATATGATGGGTAAGCTAAATGTATCAAGCGATTAAGGAGAGTATAACAATTAGCAATGAATAAGGTTTGTTGACTCAAAGAAATGTCATACATTTTTACTGTAGGTAAAATTGCCTGTGCAAATGTTTTAAGTGATTTGTATGCAATGGGTGTAACTGAATGTGACAACATGCTTATGCTTCTTGGGGTCAGTACAAAGATGACGGAAAAAGAGCGAGATGTTGTAGTACCTTTGATAATGAGAGGATTTAAAGATTCTGCATTAGAGGCTGGAACAACAGTTACTGGAGGACAAACAGTTGTAAATCCTTGGTGTACAATAGGAGGTGTTGCTACTACAGTCTGTCAGCCTAACGAATATATCGTGTATGTGAATGTCATTTAATTGCTTGATAAACAAGGTTCAATTATTAATTATCCTGTTAATACAGTAGGATATTTTTAAATTGAATAAAATATTCTAAAGAACAACAGGTATATTAAATTGGGAATCTACCCATTTCTGGTTTCCACTGTTGGAAATTCGGAAAGAATGGTTTCCAACAAATATTTTGTTTATATAATTATTCATTATGTAAAAGTTTTATTGAATATGTTTATAATTATTACAGACCAGATAATGCTGTTGTTGGTGATGTCCTTGTTTTAACAAAGCCCTTGGGTACACAAGTTGCAGTGAATGCACATCAATGGTTAGATCAACCAGATCGTTGGAACAGAATCAAACTTGTGGTCAGTGAAGATGATGTACGTAAAGCTTATCAACGAGGAATGGATAGTATGGCGAGGTTAAATAGAATAGGTACATTTTTGCCATTAAAATAACTTGCTATAATAATTGTCGTTGTTTTTAAAATTAATAATAACATTTATATTCGTATTTAGCTGCACGGCTGATGCACAAATATAATGCTCATGGAGCAACTGATGTTACTGGATTTGGATTGTTGGGTCATGCCCAGAATTTGGCTAAACACCAAAAAAATGAAGTTTCTTTTGTTATTCATAATCTCCCTGTTATTGCAAAAATGGCAGCTGTAGCTAAAGCATGTGGCAATATGTTTCAACTACTTCAAGGGCACTCAGCTGAGACAAGTGGAGGGCTTTTGATTTGTTTACCGCGGGAACAAGCTGCAGCTTATTGTAAAGACATTGAAAAGCAAGAAGGTTATCAAGCATGGATTATTGGTATTGTAGAAAAAGGAAATCGTACTGCAAGAATAATTGATAAGCCTCGTGTAATAGAAGTGCCAGCTAAAGAAAAAGATGGAGAACTTTGGTAGAATAAAATGATTCAACGTTATCCTTTAGCTTTTGTGTCACTAGAAATAAAATAGGCATCTTTTTTATGGATTTCAAATAATGTAAATATTGAAAAATGTCTAAATAACTGTTATAATTTGGGTTTAAAATTTTTATTCTTTAATGTATTAGCATAAATAATTGTCAAATCAATTATTTACACGATCCAAAAATATTCAATTTTTTTAAAAATCAACTTAAATACAAACAAAAAATAGTAGAACATTCCTACATATTTATGACACATCATTATTTTTTTTTTTTTTGTATTTTTTAAATATTTTTATTAAAGTTATGACAACAATATTTTTGGATTTATAAAGAGACACAAAAGCATTCAAAAGGCACAATTTGCTTAATCATATGGCACATTAAATAAATCATGAGCTCTTTAGAAAAGTACACATTAAGCAAATTTAAGCAAAGTTCTGAGTAACATTTCAGTCATAACGATTCTCTATCAATAAGAGCCTATTCATAATTAAAAGTTTCATCAAATGAAAATAAATTTCAATATAATAGAAGAATTTCAAGTATTGGATGCTTTATAAGTTCATGAGAGTTTTACATTTATATTTGTACACAATTTATATAAAAAACAAAACTAAAAAAAATTTATCAATGACAAAAAGTAACAATATAAAGATAATCCTATTACACTAAATTTTTGTACCAGAAAATTATATTATGTATGAATTAAAAACTTGTACGATTTTTGCTAAAGACGTCTTTAATAATTTAGTTTATTTTTATGAAGACGTACAAATTAATGAACTAGAATCCTCATAATGTATTAATTTTTTATAAAAATACAACACTACTTTGTCATTAAATTCTACTTGATTTCTTCATTTCCTACTTCTTAGTTATAACAAAATTTAATGTTTGAATCATTTTGGCATAACTACATAAGACTAGTGAGATTGCGTGATGCAACATACACATATATACCATTGTTAGTAATCTATATCGTATTTTAATCTTCGGGTCAAAGATTAAAAACCATTCGCTGAACATAATTATTATAAAAGGAATACATTTCATTAGTTAAACGTTCTATGGTCGAATCGTATGCTGAACAAACAATTTTATCTCTCATAATCAAATTAAGGTAAGCAAACATAAACCACGTGAAAGTATGAAGTGACTCACATGTTAATATAGAAAAATTTGAAATCAAAGAGATTTCATAAATGATAAAGATTAATATAACTACATACTCCTAAATAAATAGACACTATGTACATATGACCATGTGGCTCTATATATTTTGTTTATCTTTAATTTTAGATTTAAATATTTCAAGTGATTATCAAATGGTTAAAGTATCTAATAGTTTTTTCAAGGCCGCGGCCTTTAGAGCAGTAATTTTAGGAGCTCCAGGATCAGGTAAAGGAACAATTTCTTCAAGAATTGTCAAGGCTTTTGGAGTCACCCATATCTCCACTGGTGACAAGCTCCGAGAAAATGCGTTGAAAAGTACAGGTAATTCACAAAAGTTCTTACTTTTAAATTTATATATTATGTTATATTGATTAATTTTGATTGTTACTTCATAAGAATTAGGAAAACAAGTAAAAAAATACATTAATGAAGGTATTTTGGTGCCAGACGAGACAATGATCAACATTGTTACTCATGAAATAGAAACCAGTAATGGAGCAAATTATTTACTTGATGGTAGGTTATATTTATCTCATAAACTGTAAATATAAATTCTATTAATTTTAAAAATTAATTGAAACAACTATTTTCCAGGATTTCCAAGAACTTTGGTTCAGGCAGAAATGCTTCAGAAACAATATCCAATCAATTTCGTGTTGAATTTAATTGTTCCTCACTCAGTAATTATTGAAAGAGTAAAAAATAGATGGGTTCATCTAAAAAGTGGAAGGGTTTATAACATAGGATTTAATGATCCTAAAATACCGGTAACTCATTCTAAATTAATGTAGTGATAAATACTCATAATGATTTTGCTTGTAGTTATATTTTTATTCACTATAATTTTCTCTCAGGGAAAAGATGATGAAACTGGTGAGTCTCTTAGCCAAAGAATTGATGATAGACCTGAGATAGTGGCAAAAAGACTTAACGAATATTCCGCACAAGTAAAACCAGTAATTGAATATTATAAAAAATTAGGAATTTTGAAAACTTTTGAAGGAAGCAGCACAGATGAATTGTGGCCAAAAATACAAAAGTTTATAAATCAGCATATCAAAAGCTAATGATATATTTTAATCATTACATAAAACCAAAGATAGAATTACTTTAATAGTGATTAAATTAACAATGGTATAATGATAACTATTATCGCTTCAAAGATTAAATATTTTGTATGATTTATTTACTCTGACATTTCGGAGTGCCGTAATAAGTATTCATAATTGATATTTTTTCTGAAATGTACATTTAGATGAATTTTATTTAAAGAATGACAATAAATAGGTAGAATTTTTGGATTGATTTATTCGTTAAATTTTTTAAATACATTTACATTTTTCATCTACAATATGATAATTTACATTTTTTTGTCTTTGCAAATAGTGTATTCATATATGACCAATATGTTATAAATAGTTTATATTATTTATAAGTAAAATTTTAATAATAAATAGCTTAACCAATAAAAATTGAATCACTTTATAACGAATGAAAATGAACTATTTATTCATAGTAACACAAATAGGTAATAATTTATTATAAAACAAATTAAAAATATTTACTTAATTTAAAATATCGCAATTTTCCATTCACAATTAGTTTCTTTCTAAACAATATACTATATTCTAAGTAATACTCCAAAAATTATTATATTAAATCCTGTTTTTGTCAAATTATAGTCTTTTGAACTTTCCTACCGTAGATATGCATTAATAATTTGCATTCCATAGTACGGATATATCAATGATATACTTTTAATCCTTTTTCAATGATTTGAAAGATTAAGTAGTAACTACGGTAGGAATATACTCTATAAATATTTAATTTATGAACATAATTTCACAAACTAAATGCTTTTTATAAGGAGAAGAAGATCGTATAAAGCGTTTAATTCATTTTATGAATGAACATTTTTAAGTACATGGGTATGCTAACTTATTTTCTTTTAAAAATTATGAAGTTTAAAGCACTTCAAATTCTTCATATTCATAAGGTATTTCATCATCACGTAAAGTAGTTCCGCTCACATTATTTATTGTGGACGGTATCATGCTTTCTGTAGCTTCATATCCTTTTCGAATTTCATCGCTACTTCCTTTGCAAAATAGAAACATGGGATAATCTACTTTCTGATTAGATGGCACTAGAAACTGAAAATAAATTTTTTTATACTTTTATAAAAAATAATAAAGATAAGAGTAGTATTTAATAATTAAACTTTTTTTTTAATATCAACAATATAATCATATAAAATAAACAGTGATATTACTTACTTTTTCGATATTTGTCACAAATTTATCAAAGGTATCTTTATCTTGAAGATAAAATCCAACACAACAACTTGGATCCATTTTTGAAAGTAGCATTTTTCTAGGTGAAGAACAATGAAAACTAGCTAGAGGGAAATTTTCTTTCCATATATCTACAGCTTCTTGGCAGTAATGAGGATCCAAATGAATAAGTTTGTCTTCTTGGTATCCAATAAAATACAGGGAATGTCGAGGACGACCACCAATAACGCCAATGCAAACATCGAGTTGCAATAATGCAGTTAAGCAAGGGGCATAGTTTGGATTTAATTTATCAGCTCCTAGCCTAAGCGGAACAAAAAGTATAAGAGATCTCCAACTTTTATCTGGTTTTTCACAAACTCTTCGAACATCTTCTAAGTAAACTGTAATTTTAATCAATGATTAATTAATAAATTTAGTTAATTCTTATTACTATAAAAAATAATTCGTTACCTGCACAATCTTGAGCTACATATACAGCCAAGTCATCAAATTCTTTATGACTTTGAGCTGCATTTACCACTGCTTGGCGAAGAAGATGAGCAACAGATGCTGGGCCATACCAATCACCAGCTCTTTTACCACTTGAAGCACCAAGCTTAACAAGTGTATGAATAGATAAAGGTGTCTGTTCCATAGGTTGATCACCAAACCATTTTATTATCATTCTATGTTTATTCTCATCCTGTTGAAATGTTTCATTCGGTTGATCTGGTCGCCATCGCCAATCTAAAAACATTATAAATTATTATTAATTTTTTTTTTAATTTTATACAGCAAATCATCCAATAATGTAGTAATATACATTACCCCGTCCAAGAAAATGACAAACCAAAGCTTGAGCCAACATCATTTGACCACTTCTTAACATACAACCCCATCCGCAATCAGTGGTAAATGAAGAACCATTTAAAATAGGAAATTCTTTGCGATAAGTTAACCATAATCTAGATACGAAATCTCTTTTAAAGCTTTCCATGCCATCATCCAAGCTGGTGGCATCTTCAGCCACTGATTCATCACCACTAGAATCCATATCCAGTCCAGCTTCTGAAGCCTTGTCAAAGGTAAGTGCTTCATCAGGTTTTTTATAATAACATGAACCTAATAGCCATACTGGCGATTCTTTGGAAAAATTTGTCTTCATCTTTGACGACCATCCTGTGATAAATTTGATAATATATAATGAATCAGTCATAAACTAGTTTCACAGTCATAATTCTTTAATAATTTACTATCACATTATTTATTGAACTAAAATAGTCAGAAAATGTATATTTTTATAGCCTTCGAATTTTGCTTAAAAATATGATGTTGACATTTTCATCATACATCATCAATTACTGGTGAATGCTCACACAAACCGTATTTAACATTATTCCACATTGTGAGTAACATGGTTTTCATTTTGCTGTCCACATCTGCGGTAGGCACTAGACTAGTGTCAGCATTTTGGAGTTGATGACTTTCTTCAGTGACATGAAGAATGTCCGGCATTCCCGCAACATAATCCGGAGGAATTAAGTTTGCAAACCAACTAGTTGTATTGCCACTAATATTACCTTGAAAATAAATATGATAAACATATGTTTTCAAATTGTTTTATCATCATAATTTACAAGTTTTCTAGAAACTGCTCCAATTAATTTCATTAAAGTGTTTTTTTTTTTCACTAAACTATGAATTTTGTGAGCATTAAATATAAAAATTACAATATTCATTTTAAAAGTACTAGAAAATTTGTGACAAACTATGAACGATAACTTTTTCTCAGAATAATATTCATTGTTTAAAACTTACTTAACCTCTCTCGAGACGATTTAACTTGTGCATTCATTATTAAAGAGTTGCAGTCTTGTAGTTTAACTTTTTTCAAGTGCAAAAATAAAAAGTTGAATAAATAAATATATTTTTATAAATTTTAGAAAGAATATAGTTACATTTTCACGATCATAAATGAGAGCACGAATATGAGAAATTTGATACTCTAAGCTTGAAGGTGTGAATACATAACATTTTTATCATGTGTTCCCAATCTTGATCATTTATTGTGTCTAATGGGGGCGTTGACGTTTTTTTATGAATGGCGGGAGCTTATCCCGTTTGACAGATATTTAAATACCTTTAACATCTGTTGATTAGATACTCAATTTATTCAATTTTTTAGCCCTTTCCTTAACAAGTAACCAAAAAATAAGATATAATAGTCATATCTAATAATAAATTGTTATAGCCCTAATTCACTTTTATATAAAGATTAGATGTTATTCAACTTGATTTTATATTCGTTATTAACAGTTAATTATCTCTCATTGTCAGTTTATATGAGAAAAAAAATCTTTCGACACAATTTTCAAATTACATTAGAAATCATACCGTTTAATTGTTTAAAATTTGAATACTTGTAATGAAGAAGTTTTAAATGAATCGGGTAATAAAAAAATTTTCTATTTGCCGAACACTAGAATAAAGTAACAATTTGAGTATTTATTTAATTATTTTATTTTTACAACCAATGTATTTTATTGAAAATTTTTATTAATTTGTCATTAAATTTTATTTTGTTATTAAATTATTTTCTTCATTCTAAAATAATTTTTTGATCAATTTCTTAATGAAACTGTGAATTTCAACAAAATTCAATTTGTTTATATTTAAAAGTATTAGATTGAATCCCTGACATATTTTATTTATCATCGTTAGTATTATTACGTAAAAATAAGATTGACTTGGAAGATTTTGTTTATTGGACAGCTAAATGATTTTTTTAATTTTTGATGATCTTCATGATATTTCCTAAATATCAAATCTGTAATATAAATTATACACAGTGATATAACAAATGATTCTACAATATTTTTTTAAGTCCATTCAACTTAAAGGAATAGAATGGAGTGATATGTTGAACTGTGTAAATATCCAATCAAGATTGATCAATAAATATATCACCGATGATCTTTTTCATGTGTACATGTAATAGATATGTTTAGTTTTAAATAAAGTAGAAATATTGTTTGATTCACAGGAATCAACAATGAATGATTAAATTTTATACAAACATATTTTGAATTGTCATATAGAATTAAAATATATTTTTCTTCTTATCATGATAAATGGCAGAAAAGTACTGAATAATATAAGCAATTGTAGATCCCAAAATACTTAAAAAAAGTTGTTACTGAGTCCCATGTTTAGTGCGGTATAATTGCATTACTGATTGTTGATGTGATATTGGACAAAGTTATTGGACTTTCTGTAGTAACATTAGGAATATTACTCCCTATAAGTCCAAAAGTTTGATTCGCAATGACGGAGGTAGTCAAAATAGTTGTTAGTGAAGAAGCAGTAGTTCTAATGTCTGGTATTCTATTACTAATTTTCATAATAGACGCAGAAGTGGTATTAGCTATCGTACTTGTCAAAACTTCCATTGTTGTGAGCTTTTCTCTTACGTCTAATTCTGAAATTAGTTGATTAAAACAAATCTGATGAGCATTTACAGATACACCGAGACAAGCATCTAGCATGTAAGCCAGTAATGATCCAAGCGCAAGTCCAAATGTGTATGACAACGTCATGATATTTCCAGCAAGTTCTCGATGTTCTTCGGGAACTTTACTTGGTGCTTGGATCATTGGTACACTGCCGACAATTCCATTAGTCAAACCAAGTAGCCAAGAAAAAAGCACCGGATAAACTTCACTAGAAAGTATTGGTGCATGTCTGGGTATCGCACAAAGTAGGAATAAAGGAATAAGAATAATTCTAGCACCAGAAAAATATAGAAGCTGTGTGCGTGTCCATTCATATGGAATAGATGCTAAAATTTTTCCCAATAAATCAGCTCCATTAAATGTCGCCATCAGTATCACTGGCATCCATGATTCAAATTTACAAGATTTTATTTCAGATACTATTCCAGGATAAAGGCAAAGAGTGACAAAATATGCGAAACCAATGCTAATCATATAAGGATAAATGAGTTTTGCAACTTCGTATCTTGCTAACAGTCCTCCTGAAATTATAAAGAAATTAATAATTATCAGTAATTATTTTCATACTTATAAAATTTAAAAAAATCCGATTAATTATCACACTTACGTTTAATTCCAGTCCAAGGTTTACTTTGATTTCCATATGAACCTCCCATAACTACAATATCTTCAACTTTGTAAGTGGGGCCAGTAACTCCAGCCTGATTTACAGTGGTAGAGTTGGGTTCATATACTGGATTACTAAAAGAAAAAGCGGAATATTGTGCTCCAGTTACTGGATCACAGGAATCTATACCTAGAGGACTTGTTTGAAGTTTCAGTACTCCATATTGTCCCTTAGAATCATTCACTTGGTCTAGAGGATCCATCAAACCAATATCTTCTGTAGGTTCTAGTGTAATTTTACTACGTTCTTGACAGAGTTTGATGTAAAATTGAACAAAATCAGTTTTTTTTATAAGAGTATTGAGAAGTGAGCATACGGCAATAGTTATTATAGAGAGAATAAAAAATATAGAAGTATTGCTACGTTGATTACTAGTTATTGATTTAGTAAGTACTCGATTTATTGATACCCAAAAACCAGCTAAACTTTCTCCAGCCATAACTGCCTGAGTATAACGACTTGGTAACATAGAAGTATAACCATAAAAGCTCGACTGTTGGACTATAATTAATGAAAAATAGTTTTATTATTCAATAGTAGTGTGTTATTTTTATTCAATTTGATTAGAATTTACCTGTACATCCTACTGAAACAATTGCTACTGCAATTAAATTAATTGTATATGATGTAGAGTTTCCAAACATTTCCCACCATATTTCGGACATAACAACGAAGGCAAGTGTATTAAATGAAATTACGTAACCTTTAAAAAGATAAGAAATAAATATAAAAAAATGCTTTAATTATAAGAAAACGAATGACTTTTACTTACCAAACCTTATTCTTGTATCAAGGGATATTGTCTCCACTAAAATATTATTAGCACACACAGCAAAGAATGCCATAGATATGTAAACAACTGTCATATCAAATACAACTGTAGTGCCTGGATAACGATCTTGGAAATAATCAACTGGAATTACAAAGCTGAAAACATAAAGTAGTTTATAATATTTTCAATATTCTAGTTTAATAAGTGATTAAAATTTGTAGTTATACCTGTTATAGGGTAACAAGAATCCTACACCAGCGAGCATTAAAGTTGCATAAACTAAATTATATTTATCTTTTGGTGGTGTAGTATGATCAGTTCCATTTACTAATTTGAACTCATTCATCCCTCTCAATTTCCCCAACTGCACATAACCCCGACTAAGATTTTCATCCATATTGAGGAGGATTTTTAAGTATCTATTCTGTACTATTTAAGCTCAACAAGTATAGTTCAGGGGTGCAAGTTTATAATTTTGAATTTAACACTTTATGCATATTTCTTAAATTTATCACAACTTTAATGTTAGAGTATTGTCAGGTATGTAATTTTGGTGCAGATGCACCGAAATTCATTTGAGGAAGCTCAGTACTTCCTTCACTAATGCGTTGTTTCTTGATAAAATATTGAAGCGCATGCTTTGAATATGCCGGCATTGATTTCTGCGCACGCATTCGTTTGTTATGATTGTTTTTATGGACAACGAACACGGCCAACGGCACTCTGAAAAACGCATGCGCAAAAATTATCCTTAAACTCCATTGCGCATGTCTAAATGACATTCTGAACATCATATGAATCAGCTGATCCCAGTCATACTATTCTGGAGAGTTTTTATCAGCAAGTAGTGAACAATCATTGAATATTTATTGAAGAAAAAATTTAAAAACATCATTAAAGATGTCATTAAATACAGCACATGCCCATAATGGTGTTCTCCTTCATGCCGGAGAATGGTGAGTACTCAAAAAACGAATAGTTTGTTGGCACCTGCTCTAACGCAATTCATACGTGAAATTATGAAATCGTTTACTTGTGCAACGTAGTTGTACAAAGATGACCTTGATTTTATCGTTCAACATCATCTAATTGTCCCTTTATGTCATTTGCACCATTTTCATAAATTGCATCCTACGTGATACTGGGCAACTATGATGATGTTGAATTATTTTCTCATTTTTATTCACATTCAAATGGAGCTAACAGTTGACAGAAGATATCAGTCATTGGTCTTATCTTCAGGTTTTATTTTATTTGCAATTCTTTTTGCATGATAACAATTTGTTTATTGAAAGAATTGTTTTTGATGAAACGAAAATATGATTTTTATCAAACAGCGGATTAAATGAATTGTTATTGATAAATTCCAAAAATCTAACTTTGTTAAATAATTGATGTTTCAAGAATGTTAATTATGGATCAGTAGAATATTATTTATATTACCTTTCCATTTTTTCTTTTCATTTGTTTCATCTGATGAAACATAACCTATCAATGGATTTTATTCTATTAAGTCACAAGTTGTAAAAAATTTTTGTGTCACCATCTTGCACGTGCGTGAATAATTGACTTACGAAACTTTCAAACAATTAATTATTAAAAAAAAATTTTTTTATGTTGTAATGCTAATCGTCATGTAATACAGTGAGATTGTTTAGCCTCTCACTAGAGAAATACTTCCTATCAAGGATAGAAAACTTTAGATATATTAAATGAAGCATAACTAAAGCAATTACATCACTTATTTTATATTCTTATTTCAGCATTCTCCTTTTCTGTGACAATGTCAGTATGGAGTTTCATGGTCAAGAACAACCAGAATTCATGGGTAATAAGAAAGGACGAATATACTTAACTACACATCGAATGATTTTTAATGCAAAAGATCAGAAAGAGAAAATGCAGTCTTTTAGTTTCCCTTTCATTACCCTGAGCGAAGTAGAGCTTGAGCAACCAATGTTTGGAGCTAATTATATTAAAGGGAAATGTCGTGCTCAACCTAACGGTAATTGGGTAGGAGAATGCAAGTTCAAGTTACATTTCAAAAATGGTGGAGCTATCGAATTTGGTCAAGCGATGCTTAAAGCAGCATCAATGGGTATGTTGTTTTTTGAAAAAAAAAAAAAAACAACAAAAATTGATTTTAAGAGAAGGAATAGTTTAGATAAATATTGAAAATTTTTAAACAGCTCAACGCAATGGACCTGGATATGATGTACCACCGCCTTATCAGCCACCGTCATCTGATTGGTATGCAGCTCCTCCACCAGCTTATCAAGCTGCTCCAACAGGATATTATGGTTGGGTTCCGCCAACTAACGTATTTCCAGATAGACCAGCGGGTTTGTTGTTATCACTAATAATCATAAAAATGATAACTGTTACATAGTCACTCTATTTTAAACTTTTAATAATAATTATTTTCTTCACCAGCTAATACAGTGTATATGACAGATATGCCTCCACCATACCCAGGAATAAATGCTCCTTATGTTAGTGGTGGAGCTCCTCAACAACAAGCTTGGGGTAATGCATCATTCCAACAAAATGGTGCTCCTGGCTGGGCTAATCCTAATTACAATGGTCATCCAAATTCTCAAGCAGGTGCGTATCCTGGCTATCAACAACCACCTTATAATAGTTATCCACAAGCAACTTACAATAATTATCCACAACAACCACCACCCTATTCACCTTATCCTCAACCAGGACCACAAGGGCCTTATGCTCAATCTTATAATCCTTACAACCAGCCTCCATATCCGGGAATGTAATATATGAATGAATATGGCTGTCTCAGTATTATAAATTTTTAATAATATGCAAGAAATAAGTTTTATTAATTACCATAAATACAAGTTAATTAATTCAAAAAAACGAGGTTTTTAATAATTCAAAAATAGCTTCGAAGTGATTCATTTTAGTTATTGAGACAGTTGTTGTTTAGAGAAATATTTGATTATTTTTTATGTATAACCATTTCCAGTAATTTTGAAAATACACTGAATATCTTTATCAAATTATAATGATGATGCTTTAAATGTATAAAAATACTTAAAATGTGTTAATGAAGTTTAAAACACTGAGATTTCTATTTTTACTAAATAATTGAAATGTAAAAGTTTATAACATTAATGAAGAATTATTGAACTGTTACAATTATTTCAATAATTTGTCAATTTATCACTATGAAATTATCAATAATTTCTTTATAAAATGATTTACGAATGCTTATTAAATAATCAATAATGCTTGCTGTTTTTTTATTTATATAAGCCCTGCCAATATAGTAATGAATTGAGTTGAACGATAATCTAATAATGAGTAAATTCAATTTGAATATTCTTACAAATTGAATCTTATATCATAGAAATTTTTGTAGATATTTTATATAAGTGGTCCTATATTGCTTGAGGAAATTTTTTAACATTACGCAAGTAAAAATATTGCATAAGATATGTTTGGGTGACTTGTGGTAAGATTGGCTTTCACTGAGCTCAGTCATCTTTCGGTTCGAGTCTTGTGAATTATAACGTGGATTCTATCTTAATTTTTCAATATAAGCAATTCTATGAGAAACCGCATCATTTTTCTCTTAGTTTTGCTCAAATGGGTGAAGCTTAGAATTTTTAAGTTAAATTCTAAAAATGTTAATTTGAGTGCATCAAGTAATTATTAAAGGTCAATGGTATAATATCGACAATGCAGGGTGTAGATTTCAAGCCTGTCACTCGTATTCACTTTACTATTGCTGCATAAATTCATGCATCAAGCCAGTGGGTAGGCAAGTGGATTCTGTGTCTTCGAGACAGTAAATTATTGATTTATAATTTAATTGCTAAACAATGCCAAAGACCGACAGGTGCAGTGTAACAAAAGTGTATGCTTGTATGTAATCCTTACTTATCTAAAGACGTTTATAGCAACTTTAATATACATTTAACAGATTCTTTGAGATATAATGTCCTTCACTTGTTCACTTTTTCGTGTAGATGCCAAGGCCGCAGAAGCTGCACAAAGTGCATATTATGATCCCAGCAGACCACAATGTGCTTATGTTCCACCGCCTGCATACTATGTGAGTTTTTTATTCAAACAATTATACAAGTAAATAATTCACCAGAAAAAAATTATTAATCACAATTAATTTATAGGAAAGTCCACCAAGTTTCCAACAAGCAACAGAGAAAAAAGATCAATAAATAATTACAACTATCTTCGGCAATCAAATATTTTCAAAGTATTCTCAATTTTTTCACAATCTTACTATTTTTCATATCTGTTTATTATAAATAATTAACATATTCTGATCAAATTCTACGTATTACTACGTAATGTATTTAATTTGTTAAATTATTCTTGCATAAATCACTTTGCATTTTTTGTTCAAATTTTCAGTTGTTATTTAACAAATGTAATTAAATGTCTGTTAGGGCCAAAGAGAATGTCAGTGATACAACTCATAGTATGTTGAATAAAAAAAAAATTTGCAGTTGAAAAGAACTCATGAACATTAACGAAACAAAACTAAAAATAACAATAATTAAAAAATATTTTATAATTTAACATTTATAAGTGATTTATTATTTATTTTTAAGCATTTTATGTATTGTCATGCATTTCTATAAATAAAACACGCTGCATAGCAATTTGATTAGTGTTTTTATTATTTAAATTATTAAATTTTATATAAAAACTGTACAAAATCTGTTTTATATGTACATAATATGCATACTCAAGAGAAAAAACATTCAATTCTATCCATATTCTGATGTAATTGTAAGACTTAATTGATCATTAGAAACGTAAGTTTTATGATACCATATTCGAGTATCTAATAAAATAATATCGCCTGTATCTACCGAAAAACTAAAACTGCTACAAATATGATCACATTCAGGTGTTGGTGCAACCGTCCATATCTTCTTTCCAATGATCTGTCCTTGCCACATAAGACGTGGAATGTAATCTAACTGTAAAACCGAGATGATTATGGCAATAAAATCTAGGATAAATTCTAACAGTCTTTCAATAAACGTCAGCCAACAAATAACTAGCTGATGAATGACAATTTAAATAATTCATACTTACATGCATCAATGCTCCTTCGTGATATCCCAAAAAAATGTAATTTGTTTGTGGAATTTCTGCATCGAGTGGGAAGAAATTCGGTGATTCATAATATTCTTTCATTATTTCTACCACTTGAGGATGACAATTTTTCCAGCCCACATACCACGAAGACTCATTTAAAACGTTTCTAGCACGACGATCACTCATTGTTAGAACGTCTCTTAATGACGAAAAGTTACTTTTGAAAGGAAGAAATTGGCACTCCTCTTCAAAGGAATCATAAGCACCTTCTATACTTTCATAAAGATCGTGGAAAAATTTAAGACTAAAATCTTTGGAAGCACGCCAAGACTTTGCTGCACCTTTTATTACAATAGGTCTTGAAGAATAAGCGTATGGTTTAAACTCTTCTCTTGTTAAATTTGGCAAAATTAAAGCTGAGTCAATACCCTTACAGAAATTACAATCCGATACTGGTCGTGTAAATTCCCATACTAGATAATTATTTGGAATAAGACATCGTCTTTCATAAATATATTGCGTTATATTATTCATTTGTGGAGTATAAATAATTATCATTAAAGTTAAAGGTATAAATATATAAAAAATATACTTCTTAAAATAAAATGGATAAAAAATTGAATACTTTTTAAAAGTTTCATGATTTCTAGATTTGGCCATTTTTTTTAAACTTTTTAAATTTACACCTCGGTTCAAAAACTCTTCATTAATTGCAAGAAACATCTCACGAATAATTTCTGCACTTTTTTGATGTTGATCTTCTTTCATCTTCGCCATAATTCAAAATATTATTAAAAATTTAGAAAATATTTGTCACCTTTGTATTACATTACACTTTATAAATTTGATTTGATTATAATCATTACGTGCGTCATCCATTTCTATATGCGTTATCTGACTTTATTTAATCTTTACTTTACATGACGTCAAATTTGTTTCATCTGATTTACCACATCAAAACATGTTTTTTCTTCAATACTCATTACTGAACAGAGAGTGTATTTAATATCACAACTTAAGATTCACGATTTCAATGCATTACTTTTGAAACTGAAAGTTTCTCTTGTAAATGATGCTATTTGTTCCTTTTATGGAATTTTTAAGAAATTGTTTATTGTTAAAATTTATGTCTAACTTTTAAGTAACGCAAAATACGGGATGTTCGTCCTTGAGCCGCTTACGTTTGACTGAAAGAATAAGAAGAGTAGGGGAATATTGATCACACGTGGTAAACTTTCTTCTTGCGATTGGTGGAATGTTCTTGGTTTGTGCTGGACCTCTAAACGCGCTTTGCATCTGCTATGCTAGTTACTAAATGAAGAAGAAGAACGAAGATGAAAAGAAAGAATAGGAGAATGTTTGAAAAGACTACGTTTTGTCAACGCTCGGGTCTGGCTATTTAACAGCATGATGAGGCGTTTCCTGCAGCCACATGGATGACAGATGCGGTTATCATCTTCCTTTCTTTTTTGCTTCTTAGCTGCATATTTCAGTTTTGCTTTTCTATTGTAGAAACTGTTGTAAATTTTAGCCTATTCCTTTTTAGTGTGCCTATGCACACAGAAGAAAGTTAAATGAAATATTTTCAGGTAAAATTTTGTATTGACAGTAATTTTTGAATTTTCTAAAATAACATGAAAAAAATAATTTAAGGAATATAGTAGAATTCAGCAATAGAAAAATATTAAATATAGTTTTGTTTAATTGGTAAAATACAAATGATTGTATCTTAAACATTTTAGTTTTATTCCTTTATTTTTTAAAATCAATAACAAACTTTTTAAATACTTTATTAATAGTGTTTATCCATAAATTTTATATTTTAATTCTTTTCAAATGCAAATAAACATTTTTTACTTCTCCATATGTAAGATCTTACATTACAAAAATGTGTTTATTATTGAATGATTTGGCAACGCAGTTATCAAATATGTGTAAGAGACATTTATAAACGAAATAATTTATAAACTTACATCAAAAAATGCGTGACTAGCATAGTCAATAATGACAATGTTTATATTCAATCGCACTTTAATTTTCTTGTAATTATCGAAGTTTTGATATTCAAGAGTTAATCAGAAATAGCACCATTTACCAAGAATCGCTTCTTTTATCGCTGCTATGTATTGTGCAGGAACCCAATAGATCCAATATCGAGAAGCTTCTGTTGTACCTAATTGAATACCCTGTAAAATGTATATTTTTAATGTTAAACATGTGTTTTTTAATTGTACTAAATCATTAAAAATTTTTAAAGTAAAATTTGAATAACAATACCATGACATGATATTCAGGATGTTCTGAAATTGCTTCACTAATAACCCCTTTTATTGAATTCATTGGTATTTTATCAGTCCTTTCTTTTGTACCAATCCAAAGTTGATCTTGTTCTAATTTAAACGTCAATCTTACTTTACCTCCTGATTTATTGAGCATGCCCGATAATGGAAAATCAGGTAAAGGATCCTAAAAAACGAAAAGAAATAATTAATTAAAGAAACAACTTTGCTGATATGAATCACTGTTAGATTGAAATGTTAAATTAATACGTTATTGAAGTTTACTATAAAAAATGTACTCAAGTTTTTTCTAAAAAAATATCGAGTTCAAGTATAGTTTTATCACATTTCCAACCCGAAAATTGATCAAAGTCATGTTACCTTAGTGTCTAAAATACCAGGCATAGCATCTTCTGGTATGCCTTTATCCAAAACTTTTCTGTGTATTTTTTGTTGTGATAAAGGTTCTTTACTGGAAGCTCCTTGAGCTTCATCTTGAACTTCTTGTTTACTTGGAACTGACAATGCCAGTACGTCATTCAATTTCGATCCTACTATCATAACTTTGGCTCCTGGAATCAAATATAACTTTCAGTATTATGAAACTTTGATAATAAAATGAAGGTATTTTTATTAAAGATGAAAACAAATATTTACCACTGGTAACTCCAAGACTCCTCAAAGTATCATGATCTTTGGCTAAACCTTTGATCATAACTTTTTGCATTTCTTTTGGAACTGATATAATATTTTGTAAATAATCTTTCAACTCAGCAACTGTTCCATCAAATGGAAAGGTAATATCAATTTTTTTCTTATTATAAACTATTTTAAAATCTACATTTTCTTTAGGTTTATTTGAACATTCATTAATTATATTATCCATTGTAACCTTTATATTTTGTAACTCTTCACTTGATGATTTGTTATTAGAATCCACATTTTCTTCTAAATGTGAACTACTACAATAATTTTCTCTATGAGCATCAGCTTTTTCTGCGTCTGTATCATAAAAGAATAAAACAAATTAATAAACTATTTCTATTTATAAAAATGTTACATTCAAGGATCTATAAATATGAGAATTTTTAGTTAATATTCTCTTTGTTGTCATAAATCCAACCTATCTGGTGTTTATTTCAATTTGAATGTTTCGTTTTCAAAAATATCTGAATTAGTAACTATTAGATTCCACCAATTTTTAAAATTTTCAGTTAATTAAGTTACAAATCAATATTATTCATCATTGAATTTATGATGTTTAATAATAAATGGTAAATAACACCTTTACGTACCAACAAACTCCATGATGAATTGAGTTTTGTTGTATAGTCACTCGTAATATCACTACTACGTACAAGAATAAGGGACAGACTGGCGCATGTCTCTCTAGAACTTGCTTATGGCGACCAAACTTTCGTAATGCTAATAGTTTACTCATGAAAGAGCATGCAACGTGCCGATCTTCAAGGACTTCATAAACAATGCAATAGCTAGGTCCGTTACTAAATGACGCATTTACATTTGTAGAGAGATACCTTATTTTATTGAGTACAAACTAAATGTCTTTTTGACTTCTTTAAATATGTTTCTATGCATTCGTGGCATTTAACTTATACTAAATAATACTTTTTTTGTTTATTTATTTATAATATTGATTAGATAAACTTTTTTGTACACTCCAATAAAGTCAAAAACGTAAGATTTTAATCTTTATATTTGATATACATTTTATCATAAATAATTGTAGTGTCTTTTAATAGAATAATGAAGACAATATTTTAAAAAATTAGAACAAAATTTGAGTCTGTTTATAATTTCAAATTGAGCGCTTGTATTCAAAGTATCGCCCTCTGAACCATTTGTACTGTATATTTCAGCACAGAATATACTATCGGATGAGTACTATAAGCAGCATTGGGCAGTAGCAAGCACTTTAACAGTATCAGCAGTAGTTTTTCGCGCGGGTTAGGTGTATCTTTTTATTTTTTGGGTGTGATAGGCGAATTTGTAGTTATAAGCACGTGAAGGAAATAGCAAAAATGCCGCCTAAAAAACGGGACAAAGATCTTGAAAATCAAAAACCACCACGAATGGATCAAATTCAAGCAGATCACGAGCTATTTCTGCAAGCATTCGAAAGTGAGTCTTTGTTTAAATACCTCTCTCATCTTTCACTTTTACTTTTTTCTGTTTCAACTCATCGTTTAGTTGCACTTATCAATGTTTCTATTACTTATAATCTTATCGATATAGTGCAAATTTTATAATTGACAAAGCGTCTAACATAACCCCTATTAACAAAGATAATTTTCAAGCGCCGTCGCGCGCGTCGGGTCACTTACCTTCTGTCTATTAACATTTAATGTATAGACACCTGTCACATTTTGATTTTAATAATATTCTGAAGAGGATATGATTAGTCCAATTATTATGTTATTGAAATTTATATTTAATTTTATGATATGAATCATTCGATGTAAGCAACTTCTTCAGGAAACCTCCCTAATGATCTTCAGGCCAAATTATTCATCATACGCACAGACGTACAAAATAATATGCAAGTACTAAAAAAGAAAATATAAAAAAACATACAGAATATAATACGGTGTTAGCTAAATTAAAAGTTTTTAGAAATTATTTCTTTATTTGCGGAGTTCTTTTAATGTTCACAGTTGAATAATATATTACAAAAAATAATAATGTTCCAATTATATGACTCTTTAGGATTTTTTGTAGTGAAAGTATTTAGTAATTAATTGGGATTTGAGTTTTTTAAAATAATCCGAAATTTTTAAGTAATCAGTCTAAGGAAAATAAATAATGAAAGAATTTTACAGATGATTAGTTATTATTTATGGACAATTACTTAATTCCCATATGCGAATTGAATTGGATTAATGTTGCAAATTTCATTTTTTTGGCTCAGAGTTTATTGAAATCTAACGATCTATTTGTGTGTAACATTGTAATATTGATTTTTTTGTCTTGACTGATGTACTTGTATTGAACTTTTTTAAATAATGTGTGTGAATCCTCGTTTTATAAACGAGATCAGAGCCGTTTAGCCTGCTGAATCGTAACAAGTTTCCGTGCAGGCTTCTCGTATGTAACGAGTCCTAACGAATCATCATCTCTCGTTTTGAATCGCGAAGGATCAAATGTACTTGCTTTAATTTTTACTTTTACATCATACGAAATCTACTTTCACTTTTGAGTATTATTTCTTTGCTAGCCATCTGGTGGTTGGTTTCTTTGTTATTGTGTCTGTGAATTATCGTTGAAAATAATTATTTTAAACAAAATATATTCTAACAATAATCTTCATTAAATTACAGAACCAACACAGATTTATCGTTTTCTACGCACACGGAACCAAATTTCAGTAAGTTCTTCACAAATTTTTCTATTATTATACACTTTATGCATTCTTATGTTATATCTGTCACTGGAAATGTTAATCAAATTTTGAAAAAATAATTAAGACAACTCTAGCCATTTATTTATTTCAACGATCGTTACTAAATTTTTGGTTCAATTGGTGATTAATAATTAGAAGATATCATATTAATTTTTCTTTAATTTTTTAACGGTATGTATTATTCTATAATTTCAAAATTATTCTTTGTTTTTTTTTTGTTTTTTGAATACACGTGTTTTTAAAAAAAAAATTCTACACGTTTTTTCTTCATTAATCAAAGTAATTTGAATAAATCAAGGATTACTGTTTTTAAATAATAAATATTCTTTCAGCCAATATTCTTATATAGAAATTTGACATACATGAAAGAACGTATGTCAAGAACTCATAAAACTCGACATGGATTCAAAATTGATACAATTCTAGAAAAAATAATGATAAAAAATAATCTTGAACAAAATCCAGGTCTACGTGGCTATATGACTCTTACCTTTCTGGGTTTTTATGATAAAAAAAGTAAGTTAAATAATTTCTTAATATTTTATACAATTATTCACTGTATTTTCTCTTTGTTTTACAGTAGAAACATTGCAAGATTCTGTTAAAGTCGAAACTCTCTTGTTAAAAATATCTCACAAGAAACGTAAAGACGTGAGTTCACCAATATTACAGGTAACGAAATGAAATAAAATAGTGTAAATATACATGAAAAAAATAACAATAACATGAATGTTTTTATTGAAGGTATCTGTGGGAACTAGTGAAGTTCCAATAAATCCATCAGAAAATCATCCTCCACCAAAAGCACCTACTGTTTCTATACCTAATGAATCATTCAATTTGAACAATGGCCATATTGCAAAAACTTACATGCTGCTTTTAAGAGTTTACTGTGTATCTAACAATGGCTGCCTTATAAATAACTGTGATTTAGATTCAGGTCAATGTCTATAATAATATGTATTTACATACAGATATTCAACGATACTTTGAGCCGTTAAATTATTTGTAAATTTATTTAATATTTACAGAGCCAGCACAAAAAAGGCGGAAATCTTCGCCCGCTAATTACAAAAATTGTGGAGAAGAAATGAAACTTTATGGCTCAGAATTAATTGTATATGATAAACATAATCGCTGTTTATTAACAGATGGAGATTATGAATTAGGATTGCAAGAAGTTCAAACAAATGTTAAATCAAGTCCTAAGAAGCATAGTTCTTGGGAATCAATTGTTGATATTAAAGAGTGTGGTCCTTTTGAAGTGTTCAGTCGAGGCCCGACGTTAAAATTTAGACTTAGCTGGACGACAGAACCAAGTAATGGTCTTGTCGATCGACCTACACTCATTCATCCACTGCCTAATGGTGATAATAAAGAAAATCGTCCAGGAAACAGTAAGTTTCAATTGAAAATAATTTATAATTCAATGAACATAACCACGAATAATTTGTAATAATAATAAATGTTTTACTACAGCTGATCTGGATCGTTGTGCCACAAATAATAATAACAATAATAGTAATAATAACAACAATAATAGTAATAATAATAGTAATAATAGTACGAGTAGTAATACTAATACGACACTGCCAAATCCTAGTCTGTTGACACCGTCAAAGATGTCTAGTACAGCTGAAAAATGTGATTCTGCAGAAGGGATGCAACAAATTGTTTATCAATTTTTATATAATAATAATAGTCGACAGCAGACAGAGGCATGCGAGGATCTCCATTGTCCTTGGTGTTCTCTGGATTGTGGCAAATTATATTCTTTACTGAAGCATCTCAAACTCTGCCACTCACGATTCACCTTTACCTATGTGGTAAAATTTTTTATTTTTCTATTATTCCTTCAACATTTTCAAACATCAATGTATCATTATTCCGTATTACAGCCAATACCACAAGGTGCACGTATTGATGTCGCTATTAATGAGTGTTATGATGGCTCTTATGCTGGAAGTCCTCATGAGCTTATCTCTCAACCTTCTGGAGTTGCATTTTCACGTACTGGACCAACAAGACGGACTAGTGTAACAAATATATTAGTATGTAGACCAAAAAGACCAAAACCAAGTCTTTCAGAATTTTTAGATTTTGATGAGAATGAATTTGAAACACAGAGACCTTATATAACTGGTCATAATAGGTAACTAATATTGTAGTTTTTAGAGTATAATTTTTGAAAAAATTCTAATAGAACATATTTTTGTTCGATTTAGGCTTTATCATCATACAGTAACATGTTTACCAATATATCCAAAAGAAATGGATATTGATTCTGAGGGTGAAAATGATCCTAAATGGTTGCAAACTAAAACAATGATGATGATTGATGATTTTACTGATGTAAATGAAGGAGAAAAAGAGCTTATGAAAATGTGGAATCTACATGTAATGAAATATGGTTATGTTGGAGACTGTCAAATTCCACTGGCCTGTCAAATGTTCTTAGAATTTAAAGGAAAAGAACTATTAATGAAAAATTTATACCGTAATTTTGTTTTACACATGAGTAGTCTTTTTGATTTTGGTTTAATCAGTCCTGTGATTTTATATCAAACTATTCAAAAGCTACAAGAAATTATGAAAGAGGGCGGTGAAAATGGGGATATCAGAAAAGTTTTGCAAAAATCTCATGAAGCTCAAGTAGAACATTGGCTTTCAACAGGAATGCATAGTTCATCAGATAATACAAAACCAAATAGTATGCCTATCAAAACGCACTTCAACAATGAAGTATCAAATTCCAATGCCAGACGAAAAACCTCTTTACCACTAAGCTCGCCACCGGCTTCTCAATCAGTTAAGACAGTTCACAATACTGTAAGTAAGCAAGCAAGTATGGGTAACACACCATCGTCAAAATTAGTTATGACAAATGGAAATAAAAATACTAACTCTTATGCAGTTCAAAATACATCCAATAAAATAAATGGCGATGATGTTGCTATAACAAATAGTAATGGAACCAAAGTTTCAGAAAACGATTCAAATACAAATGAATCATGTCAGAATAACAGAAAAAATGAACCACCAACCAGACGTAAAAGTACAAATTCTATTGTTGTATCTACAAATAATGTAGCATCTATGAGAAGAAAATCTATGGCTAGCGATAATGTCAACAATGAGTATCACAGAAGAAAATTAGTACTCGATGCGATACCGTCCGGTGGAGTTGTCAATTCTAAAATATCTCATAATGACGAAAGCTATTGAAAATCGCTGGAAATAAGTTTGATATAAATTTAAAATAATATTCAGTCAAACCTTCGAAATTTTAGTCATTCACAGCAGCTAATTCTTTAAAAAAGGATACAATTAATTAAGTTACTATAAATATCGTCTTCTTCAGTTATTACTGAATAAGTATGCAAGAGACAATTAATTCGAAAAGACTAAAATTAAGAGTGTTTGACTGTATCCTTTTCGATTGCGGAAATTGTACTTTTTTGTACAGTATTTGTTGTGGATAATTAATATTGACATCGTAGTGATGATAGTTTATAAAAAATTATTTGTCATTACTCTCCCTGCTAGATGATTTTTAATATAGAAATTTAAATATACAAAAAAAAAATTGATTTTTAAAGTCTAAAAACTATCTATTACACGACAATTCTAGGTCCCCAGCATACATTTGAAATAGATCGATAATGTAATCCATATCTTATATTTAATTCTATTAAACAGAGCATCAGATAAAAATTTTTTCAATCACATTAGCAATTCTATTAACTCTAGTCAAGTGTCCTACTTTCCATTTTTACAATTGAATCTGTTTCTTATTATTATTTTTTTTAATTATATTCTTATAGTTGGCTTTGATTCATTGATAATTTTGTATAAGCTTTATATTTTAAATGTTTTTTATGTACTAATTAAGCAATGTATAGTTTGCAACTTAATTGCACAATATTTCACTTATTGTTGTTCTTATAAAAAAAAATCATTTACAATAAACCTCAGGGAAATTCACTGCTGGGGATAGGTATTTGATTTACATTCTTAAACTTATTGAAATAAGTTTGTAATTTTTAAGTCGAAAGCGAATCATTTATAATAGAAGGAAAGTGCCTTCAATTAAAAACCCGAGATTTCATAAGTAGAAATAGCAGTCAGCAATACTTACAACATTTAGTAATAAAAATGCTCTCTTTAATGTAAAAAGGATATATCATTATATTACCTTTAATTGTTGACTGTTTTTCTCAGAGACGTATTCGAGGACTGTATTTCCTCAACGTTCCGTACCTTAATGATTGATAATCGTATCATTTACCTACACATTTGACAACCACATACGCGTTTCTTTCACGAATTTATATTACAAAATAATGATAAAATTATAAATCATAATAAACAGCAATAAATGAAAAAGACATACTCTTTTTATGAGTTTCATTAACGTTCTTTTAAATAACTATTATTTGTAATAGTTACAAATAACAATAAAATCTGTAAAAATTAAGAATATTTTCGTTTTTATTTTAAGTATTTATACAATTTGTTGCAAAAATAATTTTAATTATTATTATCTTTTAGTTTAATACTTATGAAAATGATTAACTTATTGTTCGATATAAATTTTCATAAGAATCATGTGCGATACTCTGTTGTATTGAAAATATTGAGGAAAATCAGTTTTTAACATTTCAATTTTCCATTTTAAATTTTTTCTTTTTATGCAATAAATGAACTCTTCATACATAGGAGCCACAGAATCTAAATCACTTATTGTAAAAACAAAACGTTTTTCTAAAGCAACAAAAGCTACTCGACGATTATCAGAATTAAAAAGTTTTGCTAATGTATTAACGAAACCCTCAGTTATATCATTATCGTAAATTACTGAAATGAAAGTAAAGACTTGAAATAATATCTATGTTTAATAATTAATTCATAGATGTATATATTGTACTAACCATCTGCAGCTAATATAATTGAAGTTTTGTTCAATCTCTCCATAAATCTTGGAGACCAATTGGTGTCCAAAAAATTGAGCTCCATTGTCTGTACTTTTGCTTTTACATATTTACTATTACGTTTAAAATTTCTTTTTATAACTTCTATTATTCCATATGAATCAATATCTGTACAATAAAATAATGGATTATTAGTTACTTATTTATTTCATTAATTATTAAATTATAATAACTAATTGAATATTGTTATTTTCTTTTACTAATCTTAATACATACCAGTACAGATAACTTCCTTGGCAATCATACTTGCCACGATACTTGTTAATCCTACACCTGAACCTAATTCTAAGATATTTTGATTGTGAAAAAGTTTAAGATTGGCAAGAATATAATCTGCTAATAATAATGCACCTCGCCAAAGTTGAAGACCAACCAACGGAAGTTCTGTATTCATTTTATGTTCTAAAAAATTGAATTAATGAATTTTTTTGTGCAGGAAAGTAAGTCTAAGTATTCATTTCTGCTGATAATAATACTAACCAATCACAAGTTCTCCTTTTTTATTTCTAGGTAAAACAATATCTCCATCTTCATCATATTTAATTTCGTTATCTTCAGGATTTAATAAGTTTGAAGGATATTGGAATGGTATTTTAGTTTCAGCTGGAAAAACCGCATTAATTTTTTTTATGTTAAAAACAAATAAAAAAGAGTCATTATAAAACAAATGTTGATTGATTAATTAAACAGATTCTTATATTAATTGGAAGAAGATATTATTCGTGTTAATATTGAAATAAATGATCAATAAACACTCATTTCTATTAATTTTGAAAAATGAAACAAGACAAATCGATAAAATTAATCTTAAAGCATTTTTATCAAAACAGAATGATAAAAATTATTATTGATAATTTAAAAAAAGTTTTCAGCCTAAGAACGTATAAATATCATTATTAGAATAATTATTATTTTTTATATTATTCTTATAAACATTTTATGCTTATATCATCTTTAGGTGTAAAAGCAATTAGGCGGTTACGTGTATGAACGTGTACATACAATATTGTAAAACATTTTTGTTCTCATTAAAAAATATGAAGCTTTTCTAAACTTACAAATTTTATATTTAGATACTGGAGGAGTATAAATTTCTGAATTTATTTCTGAAGTGATTTTGTGGTATTCCATTCTGAAAAAGAATGAAAAATATCAGTGTCTACGCATGCATTATTTTAATGATAATTTAAAAAATTCCAATTGTAACTTACTTGAAAGTTATACAATTAGGTATATTACAAATTATCTTCTACACAAAATCTTAAAATTATAGATTTTTGGCACATAAATTGAGATATTTTAAAAATTATTATCTGAGATCAATTTTTTTCTTTCAATTGATAACTCAAATTTGTTAATTGTTTACTTCATCAATAGCACCTGGTAAAACAACTGATATATCGACAGATTTGTTAAAGTGACTGTCAAGTGTTGATAGATTTTAATATAATTTTCATTACATAATTCTAAATCATATATTATTATCTAGCTTATTGGTTGCCAAATAAATTTAGAAGGCCATATATTGAAATAGTATTATTTCATATGTAATAATATCCATATGCTCCATTTTTAATTGTTACAATAGGTACATATTCAAATCAAGTTTATTCTTGTTAATAAAATAATATTCACTTGCTGTCTTGAAAACAATTCTTGATAACAGAAAAACACCAATTACTTGTCATTTAATTTTGAATGAAGTATTTTTTATCGGAAGTTTATAAATGTCTATCTCTCGGAAAATAGAGAGAGCGCATGTATAGTAGCCATCTTGAGTAAGCATGCACGCAATATATTTTCATCGAAAACTTCACCTCCAATTTCTCATCTGCACAATTTATTCAATGTGCATTAGAAAAAATTTTGCGCGCCAACTTTGAGGAGATAATAAATTATAACTTATCCATACCTATCACAATTCTAAGCAAGGTTTGTGATTAGGTATGAGGTGTCTTTTATTAATGACAAAACTTCAATACAGTTTTCTTTTTTTGCTTACTTTACTACAAGAAATTACTTTTTTATCTGACATGCATATTATCATCTAGTTTTTATTTTTTTTTGTGCATAAATTAATATTTATTTTTATAGTTATGGAGCAATTGCTTGACCAAGTAAAATAGTCACTTTGAAAAAAATAATTAAGCATAACAAAAAAAGAAAAAAGATATTACTTAAAAGTAATAATTATTAAATAATTTTCCACATAATTCAAATATTATTATCTAAAACTTTTTTAATTCTGTTTTGGAGTAATGAATTAAATAATTTTTTTTTTACTTATATTACGAACATTTTCACAGTAGAAAATAATGATATTATTCAGCTATGAAAAAGAGATAATGTGATTTTTTACGTCTCAATCTATATTTAAATTTGTGATTAAGCCTTTCCTTTTTCGGGGAAATTCTATTATTTTTTAAATTACTAGAATTATTTACTAAATTTTTTTAATAAAAAATCTAATTTATTTCAAGATTTAATTATGGACTTTTAATCATTTATAAATATTTTGCTAAATTATTGTTTTTATTAAAAATATTTTAATATAAATAATAAAATGATTGATAAGTTAAATAAGAATGTTATATCATTAAATATAAATATTAATTTAACTTTACGAAGATTAAAAAAAATTGTTTTTCTCAGTATTTAATCCTTTAAAGATATGAATTTTTTTTTTATTTTCAGTCATTTAATCAATTCAATAAGTTATATAAGCGTTATCACAATAATCCGTCCTTGTTTTTTTTTCATTCATAAGTTTCATTCATTTTAGTAGTTATTAAAAAAAATAATAGTTAAATATTAGTAATAACGATAATAACTAGTCAATTACACTACAGTTCAATGCTCATTCACAGTCTATGCATTTTTCCCGCTCTTATTTGTATAGATAAGTTACAAATCTGCTCACATTAGTAATATATTACTAAAAAAAATCGATACTTCTTTTTGATAATGCTACGAATATATAAAGATTACTTCAACGTTTGACATAATCTCATAAATTATAAAGATTTATCATTTTTTTGTAACACCCATGTATAAGCTCTGAAATTGGTGATGACTTTTCAACGTAGACAATCGGCCAATCAGCGATTACCACGATGAAGGCGATCTGCCACGCGTTACTGTGATGTTCCGCCGGAGTTCCTTCAAACTTGTGGCGTGTACATAACTCGTCGTTCCGTTGTATCTCATCCTCCAGTCAGTTGAGTCTGAACTTGTGTCGTTAATCGTACGAATCGTTCTGTACTCACTAGACGATTCTATTTTTATTATAATTCTATTAAAATTTTGATTTATTTATAAATTGTTTATATATATATAAACATAACTTTAATTCATTTATTTTGGATATTCCATTTTTCATCTAAAAACTAACTAATAATGAGCGTCACCAGTTTGATAGTCGTGGCAGCTTTGTGCATCACCACAACTGTTGCCGACATTGCTACTGAGGATGGAGTTCTCGTTTTAACAAAAGAGAATTTCGATCAAGCCATCACTGATAATCCATACATGCTTGTGGAATTTTGTAAGTATATATTATACTAATAATAATATATATTATATTTTAACCAATTATTAGTCATTATTTACGTAGTTAGAATAAAATGAACTTCAAGACATATGGAGACATGTTAATAATACTTTTCTACAAAAATGGCTTTCTGATCATTTATCTTCTGTGAATATTTGTGGTCATGAGTAAAAACAACAAATTATGTAATAATTCGTCACGTAATTTGTAGACGTCTATAGGGTTCATTGCTCTTTAACTTTCTTTGACTGAATGAAGCATATGATTCATTATTATGATAATAACAGTAATAATAATAGTAATTTTCGAGCTAAGTTCATAAAGGATTCTACATAAGGTATCAATTGCGAAAAGAACAAAAAATAAATATAATTTTTTTTGTAGATGCACCATGGTGTGGTCACTGTAAATCATTAGCTCCAGAATACGCAAAAGCAGCCAAAGATCTTGCTGATAAAAAATCAGAAATAAAATTAGCTAAAGTTGATGCTACTCAAGAATCAGGTTTAGCTGAGAAACATGGGGTTAAAGGATACCCAACTTTGAAATTTTATCGCCATGGAAAATTCATCGATTACACCGGTGGTCGTGTAGCTGATGAAATCGTCAATTGGGTTACTAAAAAGACTGGTCCACCTGCTAAACATTTACAATCTGTTGATGAAGTTAAAGCTTTACTTGATGCTCATAACGTGGTTGTTATTGGATTCTTTAAAAATCAAGAATCTGAAAATGCTAAAGTATTCTTAGATGTCGCCAATACCATTGATGACCACGCATTTGGTATTTCTAGTAATGATGATGTATTCGCTGAATACAAAGTTGAAGATGGAAAAGTCCATCTTTTCAAGAAATTCGATGGTGGTCAAGTGATACCTTTCGAAGATGAATGGACCACAGAAAAACTTCAAGAATTCGTCTCAGTCAATGCTCTTCCATTAGTTGTTGATTTCAATCAAGAAACTGCACAAAAGATATTTGGTGGTGATATTAAGAGCCATCTTCTCGTATTTTTGAGCAAAGAAAAAGGTCATTATGATCAATATGTTGAAGGAATTAAGAAGCCTGCTGAAAAGTTCAAGGGAAAAATCTTATTCGTTACCATTAACGCTGATGAAGATGATCATGAACGTATCCTTGAATTCTTTGGAATGACGAAAGCAGATGTACCTGCCATGCGAATTATTAAATTAGAACAAGATATGGCTAAATTCAAACCTGAAAACCCCGATTTAAGTGGAGAAAATGTAATGGAATTCGTTACTGCATTCCATGATGGTAAATTAAAGAGACATTTGCTCACACAAGATCTTCCTGAAGATTGGAACAAAAACCCTGTCAAAGTACTTGTGGGTACCAACTTCCATGAAGTTGCATTCGACAAGAGCAAAAGTGTTCTCGTTGAATTTTATGCTCCTTGGTGTGGACATTGTAAACAGCTTGTTCCAATTTATGACCAGGTAACTTATAGAAGAATTATTTATCAATTATATTGATTTCTTTTATTATAATATATTTTTTTATTTAGCTTGGAGAAAAATACAAGGATAACAAAGAGATTGTCATTGCTAAGATGGATGCCACAGCTAATGAGTTGGAAGAAGTTAAAATAAACAGTTTCCCTACCATCACCTTGTACAAAAAAGAAACGAATGAGGTGTGTATCAATAATTAACTCCGATTTAGTTATTTATTTAAAATATTTAATGATTGAAAAATATATTTATTATAATATAAATATTAATGCATTAATAGTGTTTAAGACTATAGATTTTTTCTACGTCACTTATTTTTCAGGCTGTTGAATATAACGGAGAACGAACACTTGAAGGTCTTTCCAAGTTTATCGACTCTGATGGAGTTTATGGACAAGCTGCCGAAGAAGCTCAAGAAGTAGATGAAGATGACGATACACCAAGAAAGGATGAGTTATAAGTCTTGAGCGCACAGAAAAAAAGAAAAGATACATTGCTGCGGGTTATATTTTTTCCGCTTTATTAATTAGACAGTTATCAAGAGATCAAATCAATTCTCACGAAAAAAAATTATGATCACATGCTACATATGATGTATCTTAATATCTTGCCAACAATTCAATCACATCAATGATCTTTGGCGTGTGGTATTACTTACACATGTGAATATTAATTAATATTTATATTTATAACAATACTAAGACATTCGATATGTAAAAATCTTATACTTTTCAACAGCAGACTTCACATTAACAGTCAGGGTGGACATAGAATCTAAATAGATTTTCACACTTCCAAATGAAGTAAAATTGTTCCTCAGTTCACTTTAGCTTATTTACTTTTAGTATACTTACGTCTGAAATTTAGAATTTCGACTTCGAGTATCTTTCGACTTATTTTTTCTTGAATAAAACATTTATAGCATTTTTAATGATACAAACGAATTGTTACAGAATAATCTGTGAAAAAATAGCGAAAGATATGTTAATACTATTCCAATTTTTTTATTCTTTTTATAAAAAAGTTATTCTATTTTCGCAAGAATGCAACAAATTTAGGATAATGAAACAACGGATTATGTTAAAAAATTATATATATATATATAGTTATTTGATCTTATTGCATTCCGAAAGGACTGAAAAATAGAATGATTTAGAATTTGTATTTAAAAATCGTTTACTTTATGAAAAAATTTAAATAAAATGACATTAAATTCAATTTTTAATCAAATTTATTTGTACTTGAATTGAAGTTATATATTCCAGTCTTGTATGACTGAATATTGTGACGTGCAAAAAAACCATTGTGATTTACATATATAATATAAATATTTTTAATAATGAAAAAATATCGAGATCCATATATTGTAATTTTTTTTATCACTCATTTTACTCATGTGCAGAATCTACAAATAGCTAACAATTTATAAAAATAAAAACGATTATTAATATCAAAAAATGCTTTAAAATTGATTAACACTTCCAGTGCACAGCAAAATTTTGCCGTTAATGTCTAATATATCTCACTGATTATTTTAATATTTTTTATTTGAAAAATTTAGCAGCCAGCAGAACAAGACATAGCTGTTAAAGATATTAATTTAACAACTTTAAATGAGTTTTTGGATTCTACATTAACTAGAACTAAGCTTGTTCAAAATATGTTACAACTTGAATGCAATCAAGCTAATTATATTTTATCACCTTGGACAATTGAAACAGAAATTGATGAAAATATTGAAGAAAAGTGTACATGCATAAAAGTGAGTTTTATTTTTGATTTGTCATTAATTGATTCTTAATTTAATTTTATTATTATTTTTTATCAATTATTAATGTTCAGGAAAAAAATATAACTGAGCAAGCAACACAGATTGCTGATGAAATAGACAAAACTCTTGCAAAAGTTAAGGAATTAAGACAAAAAACAAAAGGATCTGGAAATGATTTTCAACGTAAAAATATTCAAGTTCTAAAAAACACTTCTTCAAATACAAAAATATGTGATAAAAGCAGTACTAAAGCTATAAATTGTTCAGTTGTAAGAAAAGCCCCTAACTTAATTACAAAAAAATTATCACCAAAGAACTTTATAGCGCAAAATAAATTACATGTGAAAGAAGTAAGCAAACAAAATTCTAAAATGATAAAAAGCCGAAATAATAATAGATCTGATGATGAAATTTCTCTAACTAAAACCATATCTGGTCTTGATACTTTGATTAAAAAAGTGTCGATAAATAAATTGGAGCCAAATGTATCATCATCATCGTCTACAGAAACAAAGAAAAATTGTTCATGTCAAGGAAATAATGAAAAAGTTATTAGAAAAAAAGTACAATTATCTTTGAATATGAAAGATTTTTTAAATCAATATGGTATTCCAAATGATTTATTGAAAACATTGAAAGTTCATCATTCTTTTTTGGATTCATGTGTAAAGGAAAACTCCGAACAAAGTCAAACCGCAGCTCAAAAACTTCTTGATGTTTTGGACAAAAGAGTATGTTCAAATCATATATTTATAGTAGTTAATAGTGAACGATATTATTTTAATAATATTAATGTAAATATATTTTTCAGAATGAAATCCAGAACTCCAAATTGTCAAGTTATATAAATAATGTAGGAAAACTAATTCCAAATTTTTTCAAATTATATCAAGATTTAGATGAGATTAGATTTGGTCATTACTCATCATTGAAAACAATTAAAATAAGATACCATGAATTGAGTAGTTTAATGAAAACTTACAATATAGATAAAAAAAAATATTATCAAGCTATTAAAAATTACGAAAAGAGAGAAGATTATCAACGTATAGGACGAGGGTGGTTATCAAGCGGTCTTTGGAATTGGCCAAATAACAATTGTTCCATTTTTTCTCAAATAGAATCTATGAACTATTCCAAAGATGAAGGAATATTAAAATTCTTTAATTTAATTCAGCAGTATCAACTAATAGTATTTCAAAATGATTTGCATGACATAATTCTTTCTACCATAATTCCAAATATTGAACAAAATAAAAGCCTTACTAACGAAGAAACTATAGAAATATGTAAAATGATATATGTAATTGTTCAATCATTAAATCCTAAAACTCTAATTGTTGTAAAAACTGAACATTAATTAAATGTAATTATGATAGTTACACAACAAATACATTGAATATTCATTCATAACTTTGTACATTATTATGGCTCGTTTATTTTGTTTGAGTTAGTTTATTTATCATTTATCTTTATTACAGAATACATAAATTACATAAATGTATTGGAATATAAACATTTTACTCATGTGTATTTACAAATCTTCAGATTCATTCACTACGTTTGTTTGATTTTGATAAACACTTTACTATGTATTCTCTTTGTTTACCTTCCATGACAACACAATGGAAATGTCTATCGTTATATCATTACTCACGTAACGCTGAATTTGTAGTTTGAGTAGATTTTTGCATTTAAGTTGAAAACACAAAGAGTGTAACATTAGCTTATTATACAAAAAAATAGTAAAGTTATAATTTAAAATATGTCAGATAAAGAATCTAGTTTATTGAATATTGATGAAGATAAAGAAATATCTTTACAATCGTCCATTCAAAGTTCTACCATTAGTAACGACACTATTGTAGACTATCGGTAAGATTAATGCCAATTTATTGTTAAAAATCCTTGATATTTAAATGTATAATGTTATTCAACAATAAATATAAGTAACACGTTTTTTTAGATTTTTATGGATTTGGGATAAGGTTATGAAGTTTTTTCTTCTTGATAGTAGCCATCAACATCTTTTTGAAAATTTACTTAATGTAATTATTATACGTTGTATTATTAAATATACTAGTTAATATTAACATTTATATAAATGAAAATTTTTTCAAATTAAATTAGGAAAATGACGGTTATTTTAATCGTAAGCTCACTGAGTTTTTTAACTCAGAATTATATGGTGAAATGAATTTAAAAAAAAAAGTTATCTACTTTTATAAAACTTATCGAAAAGAAATTGTTCAAGAAGAAATATTAATTTGGGAAGAAAGTATGTTTTATTTTAATACTATTTATTATTTACGAAATATTTATTTTTTCTCTTGAATCTAATTTATAAGGTATAGGTCAGAATGAAAAAGCTCCAGTTACTTCATTTTCCACTAAAGGTCGATCTCAACGTCTCACTAAAAGTGCTCCAGGTAATAATTCATAAATAGTACGTCGATAAATTGTTTTTTAGGTTTAATTTTTTTGAACTCAATTATTAATAATATTTCGATAAAGGAAAGGTTGAAAAAGTTGAAGAAGAAAAGAGTAAAAATAAAGGAAAAAAAAAGAAAGGAAAAAAAGAAGTGAGATCTGATGACAATAGTATATCATCGAGTAATTTATTTACTGGTGTATCTGCTACTAACGTTCACATAGACATTGATAATGAAGATGAGGAAGAAATAAGCCTGCATGAAGATAATGAAATCATAGATAATCAATCGAATTTACAAAAGATAAAAACACAATCAAAAAGTAAAACTTATATTCAAATATTAACTCTAAATCGCTTTCAAAAATGTAGCATGGTTATTTTTTAGGTTCATCATTTGTTCCTCCTCCTGGAGAAGAAAATAAATATGTTCTAACGAAGGTATATGATTGTATGATTAATTGTAATCATTGACAGTTAGTTATATAGTAAATTTATTTCTTTTATTGATGTACAAATAGAAAATTGTTGACAAAGAAATGGAGCTTCCTGTATTACATATAATTTTCGGAAAAATTCCGTTGAATGATAGTGAGAAAATGGAAAATTGTAATTTCATGTATTTTTCAAGAACGAGTGAAGAAGAAATACCGGAATTCAATTCACAACAAGAATGTAATGACCGTATTACAAATTACCTTATAATAGGATCTTTGAATGGACCATTTTTAGAAACTCTCAACAGCATGCTACTTTATGTGAGTGAATACTTTTCCCACTACCTGTACGAATTTAATCTGATTATTTCTCTTGATAAATATTAGGTTTTTAAGCCTCTGGTAGAAAAGCAATATCGTGGAGTTAGTGCTGCCTTGAAACAAATACAAAAACATAAAGAAGAATCCTCTTTAGAACAGATGAATACTGTCGAATCACAAGTAAATAAAAAATTCATCAATAATCAATATATAACCAATTAATTGATTGTTTAATTTTGTAGAAATCAGAATTTACAAAGGCTTCAAATTATCACAAGTTATCTACTAGAATTGAAAATTTAGATATAAATTTGCAAAATCAATCTTCATTAGCAACTAATTTAACTGATACGCAAACTACTTCCATTAAAACAGGTATGATTTTTGTTTTTTACCGAATAGTGATCTATAAAATAAAAAATTTTTTTTAGATGATACATCACAAGTACCAACAGAAAGTAGTAAATTAAAATTATTAGAATATCTTGATAAATTAATAACTTCTGTTGAATGGACCCTCAAACATGTGGAAGGGGATGTTTTATTACAACTGCCAAGAATATCTAAATTAATAGATATGGATTTGATGAATGTTGATCTTTCAAAACTTGAAGAAAATAAAATAAAACAATTGGAAGAAATTATTATGGGCTGGGAAAAACACATTGAAAAAGTACTGGATACATTCGTTAATGAAATTCCCCAAGGCAAAGATCCTCTTGCTGAATATAATTATTGGCATAACAGAGAAACTGGATTATCAATGCTAGTCGAACAATTGAATCTTCCTGTTATTAAAAAAATATTATCGTCTAATGAAATTAATTCATCAATCACTTCATCGTTTCGCTGGTTTGAAATCGAACTTTGGAAATTGTATACTGAAGCACGAAATAATAATAAATTTTTGATTACAGTGCTAAGATACTTTGAGGTATAAAACTTTTTTCTACTCTTGATTGATCATTATGGCTTTAGTTATACAAATATATTTTATTTAATTAGTTGATGGCAAAATCAAATAATTTTGAAGCTATCAGTGCAATTATTCCTTCATTGATGAAAGGAATGCGAATGATTTGGATTTTGTCTAAATATTATAATTCTGAAGAAAAAATGACGGCACTATTGGAAAGAGTTTCATGGCAGTTATGTGAAAATGTTAAAAAAAATTTATCAATAAAAGAATTGTTTAGGTAATCTTAAAATTTAACCAATAATTTAAGTTAAAAGTTGATAAACGATTTCATCGGAATGATAATTTATAAATTGTTTAGCAAACCTTTGAAAGAAATTTTAACAGAAACAAAAAATGCACATGTTATGATGAATAATTGGAAAGCTTCTTACTTGGAAACACGAACTACCATTGAATTAACTGAAAAAGGAGTACGTTGGGAGTTCAATCAATCGCAGTTATTTAAAAAAACCGATTACATTGCAAAAGTATGTGACGATTTAAATAAAATTGCTAGCGTTCTTGAAGATTTCTACAATATTTTTGGACTTGAGTTAAAGTCTATTGTTATTGACCAAATACAAATAGATTTGATTGTCGAAAAAGTCGATGAGATGATAATACCAATTCAAAATTCAGATTTCAATATTTTTTCGGAGTTTAATAAAGAAAATTGGGATGCGACAATGGTGTGGTTTTACTTGGAGGTTGAATCTTTGGAAAATGAAGCTAAGCATTTGATTGATAATTGCTTCACCGGTTTAATAAATGCTGAACAAGCTCTAGAGCTTCTCATAAAATTCAAAAATATCAAAACGAGACAAGCTATTCACGAATGTTTATTAATGAAGTTTGATGTGATAATGCAGCAGTTTATAAAAGAGATGAATGAAATAGAAAATATATTTAACCTAGGTATACTTTTAAAATTCAAGATCAAGAGTATTGTAATTTCGAAATTTAAATCTTTATTATTTTAACAGAAAAAAAGGATCCACCGATATTAAAATATCATACTCCGACTGTCGGTGCAATATTTTGGGAACGTCAATTATATAATAAATTAACACGATCCGTTATGGCATTTAAAGACGTACCAGAACTTGAAAACAGTCATATGAAATCTTTAGCATTTGACCAATATTCTAAAATAATAAAAGAAATAAAAGAGTATGAAAAATCCAAATATACTTCTTGGATTGAACGAGTTAAATCTCTTACGAACAATCTTATGAAAAAAAAAATACTGAAAACGACTATTAATGAAAACCTTAAAAGTAAGTTTATATACAGAGAAGAAGGTAGGATTATGGATTACTTTTTCTTTTATTCAATTACATTTTACTTTTTTAAATTATCATCAATTGTCATTTTTCGAAGTTTCTTTTTATTTTCAAGAAGTTATTTTTCAATATATTTGTGGATTAGCTGATGGAAGATGCATGGTGATTGCATAATAAACGAATGGCCCATAATCCTACTTTCTCTTTTAGTGATGAATAATAAAATTTTAGTAGTACTAATAAATTTTAATTTTAGTTACCGAAGAAAAAAGAAAAATAACAAAAGTTTTGGATTCTTTTACACAAAAACCAAAAGCTGAAGGTTCCCAATTAAAATTTTCTTTGAAAAATTCTACTGATAGAAAAAGTATTTGTTTTAGTTCTTCAAAATTAAATACGAAGCGTGCTACTAAATCATCATTATTCGATGATGATAGAATGATTAAATCTTCGATCAATTCAAGCCGTTTGGAGGAAAGTAGTCATATAACAAAATTGACTTGGGCAGAAAGCCTTGATGATAAAATAATGGTTCAAAAACAACTAAGCTTTCAAGTAAACTTTGATCGTCAAATTCTGGAATTGATTGATGAAGCAGAAGTATTGGAATTATTAGGATTTGATATACCACTTCCATTTAGAGATATATGTCTTCAAAAAAAACGGCTTATGGCTGATATTTATGCAGTTCAGTCCGTAATTGATCAATACAACGAAATTATGAATAAATTAGACTTTGCTGATGTAAGCCTTACTCTTCATCAAAAATTTTTTTTAGAAGTTAATTTCTTAAATTTTATGCTTCAGATAAAATTACTTATGAAAGAAATTAAATCTATGGAAAAATATATTGAATCAGGAGTCTTACGAATTACCTGGTCATCTTTGGGAATTTTAGATTATTCTGCTAAATCCGAAAAACTTTTGAGGAATTTATCATCCATCGTTTGTCAGTTGAATCAAATGAAAAACAAACTAAATAATTTAATTGAAGATGAAATTAGTCTATATAATTTATGCTCCACAACTAGTGATCCTAATGATCCAGAATATAAGCTAAGTTTATGCAAGGTATCAAATGTTTATAAAAGTGGTATTAGCTTAATAAAACGAATTGAATAATGAATGACTATTTGGTTGTAGGCGTATTTCCTGGATGTTGAAGCACAAAGGTTAGAGTCAGTCAGTAAGATGTTGAAAGCTTATCGATCTGTTTCTCCTTTATTGATGAAAATTGAGAATCTAGTTGAAAGCACTTCAACAGGAACAAGTGAAGCAATGCAATATTTTTATATTTCTTATGAGAAACAAATTTTTACTGCACTAATAACGTAAGTGATTTTTCATAATAAACTCAAAAAATAAAAAAGTAATAGAATCCATTCATGTATTTATACTTATTATTTCAATTTTTAGATGTTTTATCAAAAATCTAGAATATTTCAACAATTGTTTAACCGAAAATAAAGCAATATTTTTAGTAGACGCAGTTCTTTTATCAACTGAAGTAATTCTTCGACCATCTCCTAGTGAAATTAATGTTTTAATTTTAAATGATGTAAAAAATTTATTAGAAAAATTGAAAATGTTTCCAAGGTGGAATGATAAAAGCTGTATAGAATGTGAACCTATCAAAAGCACGGACGATGATGATCCTTTTCTCTACACGTTTTTTGATGACATCGTGCGTATTCAAGTAAGTATTGAATTGAACTCAAATTTAAACAACTCATGATTTCAAGTATCTTTCAAACAGTAAAATTTCATTGAAAGGTTATAAATATAAATATATTCTTTTCATGAGACTTTATTTTTTCAGGCTATCAACGATCTCATTAAAAATATATACGAAACTACACAGAAATTGTCTACAGAAATCTGGAAATATATGTATAGATGGAAAAAGTATTACAATTTATGGCGATTTGATAAAGTTCAAATTTGTGAAAAATTTGCTAGTCAAAATCCAACTCTCAGTCAATATGAGGAAAAATTTACTTTTTATGATTTAATAATTGAAGAAGTTGATGCAATGACTCCTTATTATGATATTGTTAGTATTAGGTAATTATAAAAAATATTGTATTAATTTATTACTATACTATCCCTATATTATTCAAATGAAATTTTTTAAATTGAATAATTAGTTACTAGTCGTAACTATTACTTTTTTCAGGATTAATTTAGTCCCTTTAATAAAAAGTATTAAACATCACGCCCAAGAATGGAAACAGATTTTAGGAAATTTTCTATCGTCTCACGTGCAGAATTTAATGAAAAATTTGCAAACAAAAATAAATAAATTCCGTTCAGAAATTGAACTTGTCATTACCGGCTTGAGTCGATTTAAAACTGTTATGCAATCAATAACAAACATAAAAAATATGGCGATCCAAGCCGAATTAGAATACCTTGAATATCAAGAAACTTTTAGAACTTTGAAGTCTCATGGAATATTGTATCCAGAAGAAAATGAAGTTCAAGCTCATAAATTAGAACAGGACTGGCAATCAGTTTATTTTGGAGCACTTTTTCGTTCAACGACCTTAAACACTACCAAAGATTGTTTTCGTGAAATGAGTAAGGAGCAGATTTTAACTTTCCTGAAAGAATGTGCAGAATTTATGGAATATTTCAAGAAAGACGGACCTGGGAGTATTGGAGATAATTTTGAAGCTGGTTTTAAAAAAATAGAAGTATAAAATCGTATCAAAATATTCTATAAATTATCATTTTTACACAAATTATTAATTTAGAAATAATTTTGTTAGGAATGTGCTCAATTAATTGCAGACATGGAAGAACGAAAAGACGATCTCGTAAAAGCTGAGAGAATGTTCGATCTTCCCCCAACAGATTATTCTATTTTTACAGAAATAAAAGCAGAGTTTGAAGCCATGAAATTAATTTACGTTTTGTATAGAAAGCAGCAAGACGCTCGAGATGTTTGGGCAAAGACCTTATGGACTGATTTAAATCCTCAACAGCTAATTGATGGAATGGAACAATTTATTAATGAATTCCAAAATCTTCCTGAAAAAGCAAGACAATTAACTATTGGGAAAACGCTTGAATCAACAATGACAGCTTTTAAAGATTCAGTACCACTTTTTATTGAATTGAAAAATGAAGCCATGCGTGAACGTCATTGGATGGAACTGATGAATAAAACAAAGCAACACGCTGATACGTCTTTACCCAAACTCGATGAAATCTAAATTTAGAAAATTAAATAGTTTTTAGTAGTTAAGAAATATTTTTTAAAATAATAATTAATGGAACAAAAGAGAGTTGATAGTATTAATTGAAGATTGGTGCAATCAATTCTCTACTTTTATGTGGTTAAAATGATGGATTTTTTAGCTTATTAATTTATTTTTAAAATGGTTTTTTAATCATAAATTATTTCTTCTACAAGCATTATAAATAAATCAAGATGGAAGGGTAAGAGAATGTTTGTGAATAAAAATGATGAACGTCACTTAGAAAATTAAATGTATTTATGGTAGATTTACATTGGAAAATATGTTTGCCTTGGATTTTGCAAATTTTCATGATATTGTCCAAGGAATTGTTCGGAATGCAGTTAAAGAAGCAAAAATAGAAAAAAATCTAAAAGAAATAGTAGAATTTTGGAAAGTAAAAGAATTCCCAGTAATTAAACACTATAAAGGTACAATAGTGCAGAACATATCATTGGTAAGTATTTTATATTAATGTATCATTGTATCTTTTTTAGGATCAAAAGACAGAGGATTTATACTTGGATCACTTGATGATCTACTTAAAATGATCGAAGATAATATGGTGAATTTACAAAATATGGCAGCATCACAGTATGTTAAACCATTTATTGAATTAGTACAGCATTGGGAAAAAATTATACAAACGATATCAGAAGTGATTGAAGCTTGGATCGAATTACAAAAAAAATGGCTGTATTTGGAAGGAGTTTTTATGGGGGAAGATATTAAAATCGAGCTCCCTGATTTGGCACTTAAGTTTGAAGATGTTGATAAAGCTTTTAAACAAATTATGTTAGACACTTCAAAAAGATTAAATGTTTATGAATGCTGCGTAGTTCCTGGGCGTAAAGATAGGTTTAAAAATCTTATTAATGATTTGGATATGTGCCAGAAATCACTAACAAATTATCTTGACAACAAACGTGTGGTTTTTCCAAGATTTCATTTTTTGAGTGACGATGAATTACTGGGAATTTTAGGGACTAGTGATCTAGAGTTAATTCAAAAATATATTAAAAAACTTTTTTGTAATTTAGAAAGATTTGAATTAAACGAAGAAAATGTCGACGGTGATTTTAGAAAAGTTGTTACTGCTTTAATATCATGTGAGGAAGAAATAATGCCATTCAAAACACGTGTAGTTATCAATAAAAAAATAGAAATATGGATGACAGATATCGTAGAGGAAATGAAAAAATCTCATCGCTATTTAATAAAAAAAGCTGTTTATGATTATGGGAAAGCAAAAAAATCACGAAAAGATTGGCTACTTGATTTTCAAGGAATGATTATTCTCGCTGCAAATCAAATCTGGTTAACAGTGGAGATTGAAAATATTTTTGATAAAATAAAAGACGGCTTGAATGATGCAATGAAAGAAGTATTATCAATTTAATCATATCAAATAGCCATTCATATTTATTTATATAAATTAATTTTAATACTTATATTTTCAGTATTTGCAACTATTGAATAATCAATTATTAGACGTCATAACGTTAATGAAAAATGTATCTCTTAGTAATAACGATAGAAAAAAACTAGAAATGGTTGTGACGGTTGATGTTCATGCAAGAGATATTTTGAGTAAATTTGTGAAAGATGGAATAATTAGTAGTCAAGAATTTGCTTGGGAAAGTCAACTTCGATTCTATTGGATTCGTCAGTCAGATGGATTATGGATTAATCAAGCTTCAGGATGTTTTGAATATTCTTATGAGTACATGGGATTGAATGAAAAACTTATTATCACACCATTAACAGATCGTCTTTATTTAACAATAACCCAAGCTCTTTCGATGTGTTTTAGTGTAGCGCTTTCAGGTGATTATTATTTTTTATTAATGAAATGAAAATTTTATCTTTCATTATAAAAGTTAGCAATCTAGCCAGCACAATAACAGTATTATAAGTTATTTTGTCATGTACACATTGTATTGACGCCTGTATAAATCTTGACGCACTCTCTGTACTAGCATTAAATATTTATGTTTTCATGTCTAAAACACGAATCAATTAGAGAATTCTTTTTTTTTTACAAGTTTCTCACGAAAAGTATCCTTTAGTTAATATAAACTAAATTAACTTACACATTTGTAGAAAGAGTTTAAAAAACACTGATGCCTTAATGTGTTCTACCAGACAGACAATCAGAAGTTTCAGTAGATAAGGTCGCTACGAGGCAGACGTTCAAGGTTGCTCGACAGATATGAATTCTACTGTCATTCAATATAATCAATTTTTTTTCATAGGAACTTCAGCAACTGGAAAAACTGAAACAATAAAAGATTTTGCAAGAATATTCGGCCGACTATGTATCGTAACAAATTGTTCCGAACAAATAGATCACATATCTATTAGTAAAATACTGAATGGATTGGCGCAATGTGGCACTTGGGGTTGTTTTGATGAGTTCAATAACCTTAGTGAATCGACTCTTTCTGTCATTTCAACACATCTTTATGTCATTCGTCATGCTCTCCAAGCTAAATCTAATATATTCATGGTAATGTTCATCAATAATTTATTCTTAAAACATTGGTTCAATTCAGTTGAATATTTGTATTTTCTTAGTTCGGCGGTCACAATATTGCCCTTGATTCTAATATTGGGATATTTATGACCATGGATTTGAAGCATTCGAGTTCTAGAAAAATTCCTAAATCAATAAAATTATTATTCAGATCTGCAACATGCGTGGCACCGGATAATGAATTAATTTGTCAAGTTAAATTATACAGTTTTGGATTTTCATCGGCAATAGTTTTAGCTAAAAAAATAACAACTTTCTATTCTTTCGCAATGAAATTATTAAGCAAACAACCTCACTACGACTTTGGATTAAGATCTCTAAAGTCAGTTTTACATATGGCAGAACGGTTAAAAAAGCAAACAAGAGATCTAGATGAAAGAATAATTATCATGCAGGCTCTTAGAGAAATAAATTTACCGAAACTTGTTGATGATGATGTTGCTCTTTTCATTGAACTTTTCAAAGACATTTTTCCTGGATTAGATTGCCCAAAAAATGAATATCTAAATATTAAACATGTGGTAGAAAAAGTGTTACGAAATGAAGGATATACTATTGTTTCTAATCAAGTTAGTAAAAAATTCTAACATGCAATAAAATTTTGGTATTATTAGCAATTACTTCGAATAAAATTTCAAAAAATTCAAGGTGGAAAAAATTATTCAACTTCATGAGATAATGTTAACACGACACTCAACAATCTTAGTTGGTTCAACTGGCGGTGGAAAATCACAGATCATTAAAACTCTTTGTAATGTCCGTATAAATTTAAATGATCCAACAAAATTATTTATATTAAATCCCAAAGCATTTACAGTATCTGAATTGTATGGGTTTTATGATCCAATCAATCGAAAATGGACTGATGGAATTTTAAGTAACATTTTTCGTGTAATAAATAAGCCATTAGAGCCCTCTTTGCAAAACGAAAAAAAATACATTGTCTTCGATGGAGATGTGGATGCATTGTGGATTGAAAATATAAATTCAGTAATGGATGATAACAAAATATTGACTCTTGATAATCAAGAAAGAATCATGTTACAATCTCACTGCCACTTATTATTTGAAGTGGGAAATTTACAGTATGCATCGCCTGCAGCAGTATCACGAGCTGGAATGATTTATGTTGATCCAAAAAATTTAGGCTATCAACCGTATTTAGACAAGTGGATAAATACAAGACCGGAAATTGAGCAAGAAGTATTTCGAGAAACCTGTGATAAATTCATTCCTGGTGCTATCAGCTTGATAATTGACGGTATTCTGGGTTTGCAGCAAGTGGTACCATTGGAAATGATTATTCGTTTAACTGCACTAAATATGGTAACTAATTATCAGTTAATTATTGTTTAGATTAGTTAAAAGATCTTCTAATTCAACTTATTATTTTCAAAGGTAACACAATTTTGTCAAATAGTTGATTCTCTTTATCGCTGTCGTTTAGAAAAAAATGAGAAAGTTCAAGAAAATATTCCAGGAGAAACACAGGTTGATAAAGAAGAAACTCCAGAAGATGAACTCGATTATGAAAAAGCTTTAATTCAAGCAGTAGTTATTCAGGCTTGCTATTATTCTTTAGGTGCTGTTCTTACTCTCGATTCTAGATTAATATTTGATGAATATATAAAAAAAACTTCTGGACTTATGCTAGTTGAAGATACTACTGAAAAATTAGCTAACATACGTAAGAAAAAACAAGAATTAAATATATTAATAAAAATTAATCACTTTTCTTGGAATGAAGAATAATAGTAGCCAGTAAATAACAGCAATAATTATTAAACGTTTCCAGGATATTTACCTATTACATATCCATCTCTATATGATTACGTATTAGATATGGAAAATAAAGTATGGAGACCTTGGAAATCTTTAATTCCTGAATATGTACATAACAGAGATGAAAATTTTTGCAAAATTTTAGTACCTATTACTGATACATTACAAGCTCATTGGTATATTAAATTAATGAGTAATGTAGAAAGGCCAACTTTATTCATTGGAGAATCAGGAAGTTCAAAAACTGCGATTATTCGTGATTATTTAAAATCATTAAATAGTGAAAAATATGTAAGTTTTTCTATGGAAATTTTAATATTTCTCTGTTATGATTTTTTTAAATTTAATTGATCGTTAATTGTGTTTTTTTTATTGAAGAATCAGTTGTTGATTAATTTTTCATCAAGAACAAAATCCATTGACATTCAAAAAAGTATTGAAGCAATTCTGGAAAAGCGAACAAAGGACTCGTATGGACCTTTACCTGGCAAAAGTCTTATAATTTTTATTGATGACTTAAACTTGCCGTCACCTGATTGTTATGGAACTCAACAACCAATTGCATTCCTGAAACTTTTGTTAGAATATAAAGGATTTTATGATAGGACCGATGATTTAAATTGGAAACAAGTGAAAGATGTTTGTAAGTTCATTGAAATTGAAATTTATCTATCAATATATTGATAGTAGGTTACTTTCGCGTGATAGTAATTACAATCACAATATCGTGACGATATTAATGGAAGAATTCTTAAACCGGACTAACATTACAGTTATTCTGTAATTACTTTAACACGAGTTGTCCTAATTTTTTTGTGATCTAAAGATTATTTGACTGCGATGGAAAAACCGGTTGGAAGAAGAACTAAAGTAGATCCTCGCTTCATTTCTCTATTTTCGATTTTTATGGTTGTTACTCCTACTGATGAAAATTTAAATTACATCTTTAACAATATTTTGGCTGGACACTTAGCCATATTTCCTGAAGAAGTTCAAGAGATTACTACAACATTAACTGATATGACAATAAATTTATATAAGGTAAATGATTAATTATATATCTTCACCACAAAAATATTAATCTAAAAATTCATTTTATTATCTAGATTGTAAAGACATCATTGCTTCCCACTCCATTAAAGTTCCATTACAATTTCAATATTCGAGACATATCAAAAATATATGCCGGTCTTCTTCAAAGTACTCCTAATTATTTTTCGAGCGTTAAACAGTTTTTAAGATTGTGGAGAAATGAAGTATCTCGAGTTATATGTGATAGGCTGATCGAAGATGAAGTAAAAAATTTTATGATTCTATAATAATCATCAGTGACATGTCAACTAATTATTTAATTTTAATTAACAGGATCAAACTATCATAAAAAATTATTTAGAATCAACAATAAAGTCAATATGGGCTCAAGACCCAGAAGCAGTTAGATATAGCCTCAGAGACCCACTTCTTTTTGGAGACTTCAGAAATGCCTGTAATGAAAATAGTCTTCGGTTTTATGAAGATGTTTTAGACTATGAGGCAGTTTATAATTTATTCATGGAGGTGTTATTTAATTGAAATTAAGCTAAATGAATGCAGGAATTATAGTATACTTTAATGTATATTAATTTCAATATTTTTCTAGATTCTTGAAAAATATAACGAAAAAAATTTTAAACTCGACATGGTACTCTTTAATGATGTGCTTGACCATTTAACACGAATTCATCGAGCATTAAGATTGCATAATGGTCATGTTCTCGTAATTGGTGTTGATGGATGTGGAAAACAATCCATTATAAAATTAGCTTCATTTGCAGCTAATTATAAAATATTCGAAATCCCTTTACATTATGGATATAATGAACACAACTTCCGTGATAAAATGAAAAAATTATACAATTTAATCGCTGTAGAAAATAAAAAGATATTGTTTTTATTTAATAGCGCTCAAATAATAAACGAAAGTTTTCTTGAGATAGTGAATAATATTTTAGTAACTGGAGTCATACCTGCATTGTTTATTGATGATGAAATGAAATTGATTATCAGTCGTTGTAGGAGTCACGTAACTAAAGAAGGACATAATATTACCAAGTACGTAAACAATAGAGAATATAAATATTATAAACCAATATTAGACATTATCAAATTAAAATACAATAGTTGTGACATTGACACAAATGATGGACGATAATATAATTTACTTAATACATTATAGACCTTGATTACATAGATATGATTATATAATATATGCAAACTTAGCAATCAATGTCCTGCATATTAAAACTAAATCTATCATTCTTTTCTTGACATTGGTTTATGAATTCAATGATTTTCCTATATTTATTTTCGTCCACAGAGAAAACCTTTGGCTGTACCTTGAAGAGAGACGTGCTGAGAATCTTCGTATTGTCTTATCTATGAATCCTGTGAATAATAATTTCAGGGATTACTGTCACAATTATCCGGGAATTCTTCGTAGCACGACAATTGATTGGATTTTTCCTTGGTCACCAGAAGCTTTTCAAACAGTAGCAAATGTTATCTTAAGAGACGTAATTATTAATTCTGTCGTAACATATAAAGCTTTTCTATCTTTATTAGCTAATTAAATTTTTTAGAATATAAATATACCAGAAGAATACCACAAAGTTGTTGTCGAACACATGGTTGAAGTTCATGCATCTATGAAAATGTATTCATTAGAATTTTTTAGAAAAACTAAGCAAAATATTTATATCACACCAACACATTTTATTGGTTTTATCAATAAATTTACAAATTTATTGAATACAAAAAAAAATTATATCAATTTACAGAGTGATAGACTAAAAAAAGGTTTAGTAAAAATATCTGAAGCATCAGAAATGCTTGTAAAACTAAGTGATACTTTAGCCGTGCAGCGTAACAAAGTAATCGAACAAACTGATCAGTGTGAAAAATTATTATCTTCCATTGAGGAAAAAACTCAGATAGCAATGGAGAAACAAAGAGTTAACAAAGAAAGAAAGAAGGAAATTGAAGAAAGAAAACAAATAATTGCTAAAGAATCTGCTGTTGCTAGAGTAGTTCTTGCTGAAGGACAACCTGATTTAGATGCAGCAAAAATGGCTTTGAATGAGCTTGAAAAAGGTGATATTGTAGAATTACGATCTTTTGTCACACCTCCAGAGTCTGTACAAATAGTAGGAGAATGCATTACTATTTTACGAGGAATGAAAGAAATATCATGGAAAAATGCTAAAGGACTGATGAGTGATCCAAGTTTTTTGCGAGTTCTTCAAGAAATGAAAGCAGAGGAAATAACAATCAAACAACAGCAATTAATAAGAGCTCACTTAAAGAAGTCAGACAAATTACATCAAATGGAATCAGTTAGTAATGCCGGATATAGATTGTATAGATTTATATTAGCAATGCTAGACTATTGTACTATTTATCGGGAAATAAAACCTAAAATGGAACGTGTAAAAGAACTTGAAAGAGAAGCAATGCATGCACAAACCATTTTGGAGAAGGAAGAAATAGAATTCACAAAAATATCAAAACAATTGGATGATTTGAATTCTGAATACGATATGATCATGTTCAGTAAACAAACTTTACAGGATGAAACAGATTCACTTGAAGGGCGACTGATTGCTGCACAGAAATTAATTAGTGGACTGTCGACAGAGAATATTCATTGGAAAAAAGATGTAGAAAATTTACAAAATGAATTGGAATTTATTATAGGCAATTGTCTTTTATCTGCTGGTTTTACAGAGTATTGTGGACCATTTTCATATGAATTCAGAAACACAATGATTTACAACGATTGGCAAAAGAATTTGATATCAAAAGATATTCCATTGTTACAACCATTTATAATAGAAAATCAATTAGCTAGTGATATTGAAATTAGAAGCTGGATTTTTGAAGGATTGCCCTCAGATAAATTTTCAATTCAAAATGGAATTCTAACTACTCATGCTTCGAAGTTTGTTCTTTGCATAGATCCTCAACAACTGGCTTTAAACTGGATCATGCAACGGGAAAGTAAAAAAAATCTGAAAATCGTATCTTTTTATGATAGTGATTTTATTAAACAGCTTGAATTAGCTATTACATACGGATTTCCAATTATATTTCAAGATGTTGATTACGTTGATCCTGTTGTGAATAACGTTCTTAAAAAAAATATATTTAGTAAGTTATCTAGTATATAAGTTTTTTTTCAGATATTTAAATTCGTTTATAAGAATTGATTTTATAAATAAAATTGTATTATAGATATAGGAAGTCAATCTTTTGTAATGTTAGGGGATAAAGAAGTAGATTATAACACAAACTTCCGGATATATCTAACAACAAAACTCTCAAATCCTAAATTAAACTCTGTTATATATTCTAACACTACAGTGATTAATTATACAATAACTACAGAGGTAAACAATAATTCTTTTAAAAGTAGCATTTATTAAATAAATATTCTCAAAATTAGTGAATTATTTTATGTTTACAGGGATTAATAAATAAGTTGTTGGCAACAATAATCAGCTATGAACAACCGGATGTAGAAAATCAGAGAGAACATTTGATAAGTGAAGTTAATGATAAGAAGACTCTGCTTCAAAAAGTTGCGAAAAGTCTCCTCAAAGAGATATCGATGAATCAAGGCAATATGTTAGATAATATTGATCTGATAAAAATGTTAGAAAATTTAAAATCAAGTGCTAGTGAAGCAGAAAAAAAAATATCTGAAGCTGAAGTGAATATTGAAAAGATCAATAAACTTCGAGATAAATATCGCTCAGTAGCTGAGAGAAGTGCCCTTTTATTCTTCGTACTTACTGATATGGCTATCGTAAACCCTATGTATCAGCATTCTCTAAAAGAATATATAAAACTCTTTACATATTCATTGAAAAAATCGTTGTCCGATGTATCTCTGGACAAACGCATTGAAAATATCAATCAGATGCTGACAAAGAATTTTTACCATTTCGGATGTATAGGGATGTTCGAAAAAGATAAATTATTATTTTCTTTCCGAATTTGCACAATAATAGAGCAGTATATGAATAATATCACCCAAGAAGAATTGAATTTTTTTATAAATGGAAGTGAAGGACAAAATGATGAGTCTTTACCAGAAAATCCAATTGATTGGCTTCCTTTCTCTCGGTGGAAAGATTTATTTAAATTGTCAATGGATTTCTCCGTTTTTTCACAGCTGTGTGATAAAATTCAAAATCAATCTAGCGATTGGAATAAATGGTTTGAACTCCATAATCCTGAAATTGAAAGCTTCCCCAGCGATTATTCTACGAAATTACGACCTTTTCAAAAACTTATGCTCCTTAAATGTTTTAGAATTGATAGACTTTATTGTGCAATTTCTAATTATATTTCTGATTTGATGGGAATTGAGTTTATAACATCTCAGAATATCAGTTTCGAAATGATATTGAAACAAAGTGCTCCAACAGTGCCAATTATATTTATTTTAAGCCCCGGGGCCGATCCAACATCAGAAATTATGAAATTTGCCGATCGTTACGATTTTAGCACTGGAAGGTTTAAGTATCTTTCTCTGGGTCGAGGTCAAGAACAAGTAAATTTGAATGAATAATTCTTTGTTACATATGGACAAAGTGGAAGATAATTATTTCTATTTATTTGGATTTTTCAGAATGCTTTGGCTCTGTTTGATGTTGCAGTAACCAGAGGACAATGGCTAGTTTTAGAAAACTGTCATTTACTGTTGAATTTTATTCGAGAACTTGAAAAAATATTGGAAACCATCACAACACCTCATCCCGATTTTCGGTTGTGGCTTACGACTAATCCTATTGATAATTTTTCCGTTGGAATGTTGCAACGATCAATAAAGAGTAACGTTCATCAATTAGTTGTTTACATTTTTCGAATGAATAATTCGGAGAATAAAAAAAAATCTCACTAGAATAATATTGTTTGAGTGATAGAGTATTTATATTTTTTGCAGTTGTGACGGAACCGCCAAGTGGATTAAAATTAAATCTTAAAAATACATATTCGAAAATTGAAAATGAAACACTGGAATGTTGCAATCACGTGCACTACAAAGATCTTATTTATGTTCTTACATTTTTTCATGCAGTTATTCGAGTAAGATGATTAATTTTAAATATATTTTTGTTTATAAAAAATTTTCGCATACTTTTCCACAGGAAAGAAAAAAATATGGTAAAATTGGTTGGAATATCAATTACGACTTTAACGATTCTGATTTAAATATTTCTATTTCAAACCTCAGTACATATCTTACTAAATCACTCACTTTTAATAATGGTATAATTCCTTGGGCAAGTCTTAAATACTTTATCACTGACATAATATATGGTGGAAAAGTGATTGACAGTTATGACCATCAAATTATGAAAACTTATGTGGAAGAATATTTTGGAGATTTTTTATTTGATAAAATTCAACCATTTCATTTTTATAAAGACTCCAACATTGACTACATGATTCCACCACCTGGTCGTCAAGTCGATTATATCGAATTCATTGAAACTTTACCGATGATAAATAACCCAGAAGTTCTCGGTTTACATTCTAATTCTGAAATGAATTATTTTACTCAAGAGATTAAAACGATGTGGAAGAGTCTAAGGAAAATTCATCCTCTAACCAGTTAGTCTTATTATAAAGTTATTACGTAACGAAATTTTATATCCATTTATTTATAAACTGATTAGTATATTAAAATAATGACTCGTAAATTTTTTAGATTAATTTATGATATAAAAAGATTTAGAGAATTTTAAAAATAAGTTTATCAGTGAATGAATAAGTAGGTTGAAATATTTTTAGTAAATGTAATTGAGTTTGTTATCAGTTTTGTATTAATTAAATGTATGGTGGACAATCGTCAATCTTAAAATGTACTAACAACTAATCAATTATCATTATCAAGATACTTTCTTTAATTTCTATTGAACTGTCTATTATTCAATTATTTCGAGTAAACGGCATTTCTGATTAATATCTAACTCACCAATCTATTCATTCATATCTTTTGATACCTTATTCTTTCATTCTTGAAGAATTTTAATGAAAAAATTTTCCGTTCATCAGGTGACAATACTACTAATTTAAATCGTGATAAGTGTATCAATAATATTATTGAAGATATTCGAACCAAAATTCCTAAGGAATATAATATTTCAAAGATAAAAAAAATTTTTAGCCTCGATATATCTCCATTGACCACTGTTCTTTTCCAAGAATTAAAAAAATTTAATAAATTAATTCAAAAAATGGATTATTCTCTAAAGCTACTGACACAAGTAATTCATTAAATATTATAAAAATGTAATATTTTTATAACTTAAAGTAATTATTAATAATGAAAATAGGCTATTGCAGGAGAGATAATAATAGATCATGATTTAGAAAATTTATGTAATTGTCTTTATTATGGAATTTTACCGGAAGAATGGGCATCTTTAGCTCCAGAAACTGAAAAAAATCTTGCAGATTGGATGGATCATTTTTGTAAGCGAACGATTCAATATACAGAGTGGGCAGGTGGTAATGAACCTGTTGTAATCTGGTTATCCGGATTGCATGCTCCTAAAACATATCTAGCTGCTCTCGCACAAATGATATGTAAAAAAAATAATTGGTCTCTAGATAAAATTTCAATACATACTGAAGTCTCAAAGTTTGTACAAGTAGAAGAAATAGAAGAACGTTTAGATCAGGTTCGTATGATAATTATATTATTGATAACACTAATACAAACCCATGAGACGATGTCATGAAAGAAAATGATTAAATTTTAATTTCTTTAAAGGGTTGTTATGTAAGAGGACTCTACATAGAAGGTGCCAGGTGGGATATCAATGAATCCTGTTTGAAAAAGTCATATCCAAGAGTGTTAGTTGAAGAATTTCCAATATTAATGGTAATTCCAATTCAGTCTCATCGATTAAATGTCCATGTAAGTACTTATTTAATTATCGACAATGTTTAAAATTAATTAATCATAAATAATAATTTATTGTTAGAATATTGTGAAACTACCAGTTTATGTAACATCTAAAAGACGAAATAAGTTAAATAATGGTTTAGTTTTTGAAGTTGGCCTTCGAACATGCGAACATGTATCTATATGGATTTTACAAGGAATTTGTTTGCTATTGAATTTAAAGTAATTTTACTAATCATCTAGGCAAGGCTATTTATGTTAAATTAAATATTGAATTTTAATTCGTAAAGTAGTTAGTGTATTTGAGGTGTCCTCGATTAGTTAATAAATTTGTTTTTATGTTTTACACGTCCTTTAAGTATTTATATCACTGTTTCATAATTTATCTCGAGTATTTTTTCTATTTTTAAATGTTATTTTTCCGTCTAAATGAGTCGACAGAAATTCATAGATTTCAATGCTTCAAGGTATTGGACTTGTTTTAAAAGATATTATCAGTGTTCCAATGAAGAAATTATCAATCAAGATCGGAATGAAATTAATTACATTGAGTAGGTATGATATGATATTATTTACTTTCATTTGATGAATCAATTAATCAAAAAGTACTCATTCAAAAACGATATTTGTTATTATGTAAGATGATTAATCATTCTGATATCTGCAGAAAAGAACTTTCTAGTTAGTCAAAGTCTCTTAGAAGTAAATACAATTGATTTTAATAATTTTATCATTTGATTATTATTGAGCCAATGACCTCAATATTAATACAGAATTCCAAGCCAATGACTAATATTTTAGAGAATTTATGTTTGAGTCATCCCATTCGGCAACATTCAAACACAATTAGAAGAGTTCTCATGATATAACGGGACTGTTATAAAATAATGGAATAAATAAAGACAAATAAATATTTTCATTGATCAGTTTATTCGCGTAAACATAAATAACTTTTTATATTTTTTTTTTCAGAATATACCGTAAGTATGTATATAATGGTATATACATGCATCGGTATGTAATATTTATGGATGTGCATATAATTATAATCATATAGCCACAATAGATTACAGATGTTTTATATATAATAATTTTATGTAATGCATTTATATAAACGTTCTCTTCGCGCTTTTATTTATTTTCTTTCCTTTAAATTATTTAAATTTTTTCTACTGTGTAATTTTAACTGCTTCATAAAGCAAAAAATGATTGATTTTTACAATACTATGTATGATCGGTACATAATTTAAATAGTAAATAAATTTTTAAAAAATAAATATAATTAAATGTGCGACGTACACTCATTATATTGCATGCCTGCAAAAATAAGTAAATTATTCTATTTGTTCCTTCTTTTTTTTTTATACTTTCACTCATACATATGTATTCATTACTTAATCTTACACTCTCTTTTTACTTATTGTTAGTAGAATAATATAATTCTACATACATTTAATGGTCCGCGAGTATCGATTTTTACCATTAATTTGATGAAATATTAATTTATTTTTGCAAAAATATAAATGCAATGACATTTGAACATAATTTTCACTAATGACTAAACCTCATTAATGATGGTTACCCTCGGAATGATGAGAATGTTAAAGTAAATATCTCAGTTTCGACGAATTGTAATCATCTGTTTCTTCTTCTTTAATATTATTAAGTAATATTTATGCAATAAATATTGTACGAAATATAGATCAATAGATTTAAAACAAACATTTATTTGATAATAACGGTCAAATGTTTTAAATGATTAGTATTTAATTGTACTAAAAATATTATTTGTTTATGAATATTCAAAAAATCGAATTTTCTTACGAATGATAATGATAAAAATAATGATGATAACAATAATGAAGTGTGGGAAAAAAAAAAATTAAATAAGATACTTAAGACTTTATCTACGAGTTAAATACTGCCTGAGATATTTACCTCAATTTAAAAAATAATTACAAATTCAAAAATGTCAATAAAATAATCGAAAAATCCAATATTTTCAGAGTAGTACTTGTGGACTATTTCAGGAATAAGATTCATTTATGAGAATAAAAACTGTTTGTAAATGTAAAATGAGTTAAATATAAAACTGCAGGCTATATTGTTTTTTTTTTTTTCAAGACTAGTAACGAATATAAGAATTAAAAATGTAAAGTAGAAAATAAATACTGGTTTTGGAATGTATTCGATCACCCGCGACCTTAATAATTTTTTCATTGTTAATTTTTTATATTAATATTATTGAATTTAATAAACCGCTCAGCGATAAAATTGAAAAATAATAAATAAATACTAAGTGTACAAATACTCAATTTTGTTTCTTTCCTAATTTTTCTTTGAAAACAATACAATAACATTAAACTTTGTCTATATTTACATAGTAAAAATAATATCATAAAAAACTGTAATACTTAAAAATGTCAAATCATTTCTGACATTTTTTTTTCATTCTCTTGAAATGTCATGCTAATAAATGTCATTATCGATATTCATTGCGATAGTACTAAACTTTAAAAAAGTTAAACTAACAATAATAATAATAATAATAATAATAATAAAAATAATAATATGATATAATATATAATATAATAATAATAATAATAATAATAATAATAATAATAAAAATAGTAATAATAAGCGATAATAAACTTTACCTAACAAATTTCATGCGTTACATACATGTTCACGTTCAGTACTCAATTTTCATTCCCTTTTCTTGCATTTCTTTCTTCTTATGATTTCCTTTCGTTCTCTCAATACTTAAATTAGAGTGTATATGCATCTGTATGTATGCTTGTCATGTACATATATCTATCCATTACTGTCTATTGTTTAGTTGCGTATTTGTGCTACTTATTACATTTAAAAAACAATACGCTATAGATATATTTTATTGACTAGAATTTGTAATATGGGATGTATAGTCCTTTTTATATACATATACATATATCGTTTCGTTTAAGTTGCCGGACACGACGAAACTGGAAGACTCATCAAGGGTATCTTTTAACGGGGTTACTTATTGCAAAGCGTCATTTTTTATTATTCCAATGTCATATTGTATAACAACTATGACTGTTATCCAGATTTGATGGTTATTCATTTTGCACCCATATGACAGACTTCTCGTTCCTCGCACCAGCGTTTTTTCTTTATAAGTATTTCTCTTTTATTTTCTACGGCCGAGGTATTCCGCCATCTCTTGAAACTTCTCCATTTCATCTTCAAGCAGCAGTGCCTGAATGCAACTCGTAAAGTATTTGCTGCTAAAGCATTCCTGCCTAAATATTAACAGAAATAAATATAAATTAGTATATCAATTAAAAAATAAAGAGTCAAGTGAATGACGTATTTTATTTGATTTATTGAATTTTATGTTAACAAAAATATTTGTTATTTGTTTTGTTGGAAGATAAAGTGAGAAAAAAAAACATGCGTAGCGTTATATTCTTCACTATCTAATAGATGTAATGGCTGTGTTGCGTGGTGAAGAGTTAGTATAACTGCTAGGAAAGATTATTATAATATATTTCTGAAAAATATCATCTAAAATGCATGCACCATTTTTTATTTTCTCCCACTCATCCATTTAAACTGGGATTGTTAATCTCACACTCGTTCTCGGTTACTCTCTGATATTCTAAGAAAGATAAAATAGATAAAATATAACGCATTCATAGAGAATATTTTTAAAAATATATGTTAGTGATGCGTAGATTAGATTTGAGTGTTATTCTTTCATCAGATACTAAATTACCTAAGATTTGAATATAGTTCTAAGCCCCTCGACGAATTTGATGTGTATTTTCGCGATTTATTGTAATTAAAATAAAACATGAAAAAAAAGAGAAAAAAACTTGAAAGAAATCAAATAAATATGTAAAGTAAACGTGAATGAATATAAATTTGAAAACATAAAAATGGATCATTAAAAAAAATGAGTTAAGTAATAATAAAGATAATAAATAATAAATAAAATAAAATAAAAACTACCTAAACCCCAGGATCAGCTCCATGGAGTTGTTTGATCGCCATTTTGAATTGTTCCATTTCATCTTGCATCAATAGCGTTTCTACACATCCTTTGAAGTAGTATGTCGTGAAACAGTCCTTTCTGCAAATGTTTAATGACACCGCCATTATAACTTACCGCCTTTAAATAGAATATAATTATCAAAATTAAAACTACATTTCCCAATATTTAAACAAAAAAAAAATATATATACATATCTATCACGTACAAGCGAAATGTCAATTACACCTGATACATTTATTTATTTAGAGCAATTAAATACAATTTTAAAGTCACATACTTAAGAATAAATAGTCAGGTAATAGTGAACATAGGTTGGCACTTGCTATAATGCTATATCTATACTATATAGACTATAAATAGAAGAGAAATCTTATTCTGTTCCGATACGCGTAGCAGCAAACAGCAGATGTCTAACATATAAGTATTCAAGTCAAATGATGACCAAGCCTATTGGCGATGGGATTTATTATTCTGTATTCAAAGTGTCAAATTCAACAGCAATAATAATTTGACATCATTATAGTCGAGTTTCCTAGTAAATAATTTCTTTTTTCATTATTTATGAGAATAAAAAAAATAGTAACCTGCAGAGACTATGAATTTGTGGTTCTCGGAAAAGATTGTAGCAGTCTTCACAAACTCGATCAAGCCGGGCGAAGATACTTTTATCGTAAACACCCTTGCATCCTAGATCTATGTACGATCGTTTACCAAGTGGATGGCCCGTGAGTACAGCAGCATCAGCGACGCCGAAAGAAGATAAGATGAAAAGTAGAACAACAGACCAGGCAAATACGGAAAAAAGTACAGGTCGGCAAACGACGCTTCTACGGCTGAAGAATGATGAGGAGAAGTGAGCTACTTTGCCCCTCGACATGGTCGTCGTTGGCGTTGGTAATAAGATGTTCAATGATTGACACGAGCGTTGACTTTTATTAGTCACTATTGGCAACTGCGAAGATAAGTTAGGAGCTAGAAGCGATGAAGATTGACTTTGCTGATGAAACTGCATCATCTGAAAGATTAAAGTGAAACAATTGAGGTTTATCGCAGTTTGTTAAATAAAAGTGTATATGTGTACGTATATATATATATATATATGCGAATAAGATAAAGTATATATGTATTAAATGAAGGTTGCAAAGTAGTATCTACCAAGAGTCACTGGCATGCTATGAATGGACCACACACAAGTATCGGGACCCCACCTGTAAACGTTTTCAACCGACAACTTCATTAACCGGTCTCTTTCTTCCTTCAACGCTGCCACTCCCCTCTTATCCTTTCTCATTCTCTCTTTACCCTTCACCTTCTCTCTCGCTTACTCTCCCAAAAAACTCGTGTGCCTTTCATTCTCCCGCTTGTTCTTTCATCTTTTCTTCGGCATATAATCATTACTCCCGGGTGGGATTTTATTTTTAGCTGCTCGATTCTCAGAATTTTTGCACTGCTATCGAGGGTGAGACAGAGATAGATAACTCTTTTTCTCTCTCGATCACCAAGCGCCAATAACTACTCTTACAATGGGCTTATGGGTGATAATTTGTCTCGAATGCTCTCACGGTCCTTAATTTTTCTTCAATTTTGTAAGAAGGAAAAGAAATGGAAGATAAAATTTTAAAATATACGTTTTTTTTTTCTTTTTTGAATACATTTTTGGTTATAAAATTTATTCTTTTTTTTTTCTTCTATTCGGGTACTATACAACCCTGGTTTTTTATTTCAATATTCATAGAAATAGTTTCCATTTAGAAATCGTAGAATTCAATAACGTCTTAATAATGTGATGCTCATAAAAATGCAATTCCATTTATGTAAATAGAAAGTATAATTACAAAGTTTCGAATAAATATATACATATGTAAATAACTGATACGTATGTAAATTTAAACAACCTTATTTTTAATTATCTACTAAAATTCGACACATTAAATGTTTCTTTTTTTTTTATGATTTTACAAACTTATTATCTCATTCATAAATCAAAGTATATATACGGATCATTGCTCAGAAAAGTAATAAAACAAAAAAAATAAAATTAATCACATAGAGTAAAGAATAATAAGACACCAACAAGCTATCGTACAAAAACCAAAAAATTAACAACGTTATTGAAGAAATATGCGGAGAGAATGTAATAAAGAAAAAGTCAATAAAGACCGGTTATTCAACAGGTGAGGTCTTTCTTCATCTCTCGAGCGTGCACAGGTGTGCAATCTGCAAATGCCCCGTAGCGAACAAAACACGGTATTCGACATTCAAGATCAATGCTTAGATGATATTTGGATGTTTGCAATAGACTATTTTCGGTGAAACAAAAGAGTTAAAAATGCAGATCAAAAGCACGATGTAAATATAAAATATTTGGGATGCAACTTGTTTCCAAGCAAGCAGCGAAAGACCGAAAAAGAATCAGACCTGAAATCGAGAAAAAGGAATTAAAAAAAAAGACATATAAGAGTTTATATATGGTAGGTGGGAGCAACGCTGATCATTAGATAGATCGTTTCTCCTTGGCAGGTGGTCCTTTTCGTAGCAGATGACTCAATCGTAAGGAGTTACCACACCAGCTCTTAAGAGCAAGAACAAGAAGATGGATATATGAGGATGGGATGAGAAGAACAAGAAGAATGAGTGAAAGGTAAAACAAAAAAAAAGAAAAAAGGTTTTACACACTTGCGTATGTGTCCTGGAGTGTAATACGTACTCACTTCTACACATTAAGAATCCTTACAGGATAACTCGTTGAAAATATACTAAAGAATTGCGCCTCTAATTAGGCGCTTGTCCGCCGGTTGGTGGGCTCATACCATATACTATATAACATATGCCGGTTGATACGCGTTGTATATATGCTATGTATATATACCGCATAACATGAAAGTTAAAAAGAGCCGGCGCCTAAAAAGAAGATGTCCGTCTTATCTGTAAATCAACCGACAACGAGACGGCGGCAGGCTACTTCAACGTTTCATCCTTATACCTATATGTATAAATGCACACACAAAATATATTACTAATGCTCCTTTGCCAATTCTTTCTTTTTATTTGTTTCTTTTTTTTTACCTTTTTTATTGAAATATAATCAACTCTTTGTCAACTTTTAATGACGGATTCAAATCATTTTATAATGATTGTCTTTTATAATCTCGTCAAAAAATTTCATCATTTCGAATTTTCAATATAGAATTTTTATAATTAATCAAATTATGCTCCGAAATTGGTTTTTTTTCTCCATATTTACTAGATTCATTGCTAGAGAATAAATAATTGATAATTCTAAGAGTGATGCAATAATATTGGCCTTTAAATCATAAAATGATTTTAAATTTCATAAAAATATTAAAACTGCTCCAAAAATAACATTTAATTTTATTTTTCATAAAAAGAATAAAAAAATTTTCAATTGCGAACAATTAAAAGTTGATAATCATCTATTTAATTAGAAACTTCAAAAATTTATATTAAAATCATGAGATTTTATTTTTCTTTTAAAGAAAAAAAAATTTACTCCAAAAATTGGTGTAAGCTTTAAGTTATTTTACGGTAGGAGCAATTCATCCTGGGAATGATTAATGATGCTCCCAAAACTGTATATCTGTCAAAATATTATTTTTTCCATGTTTTCAATCATTTAAAATCAATCTGTTATATATTAAATTTATGGAGTGAAAAAAAAATTTTTTTTATAGTATTTTTTTTTGCTATTTTAAAAAAATGAGATAAATGTCATGTAACGATCACTTCATCGTTTTGTTAAATAGGAAAAAAGACTACAAGAATTCTTAAAAGACTATCAACAACGGAAATTAAACTTTTTACTGAATAACTAAAATAAAAATAGACGTAATAATTATGAAATACGTGATATCGATCGATTATATGACAGCGTAACCTATTTAATCGTGATTCATTCTATTCTGATTCAATTAAAATAATAATTTTTTACTATTTGAAAAAATGATACTTTTCTTTTTATCTATTCATATAATAAACTCTTTATCAATTTCTTAATGATGAATTCATATCATAGTTACATTTGATTACATATCATATCAATCGTATGAATAACATTAAACTAGACACAAAAAACTCATAGAACTAGTCAATCTAGAAATGTCTATTTTATGATGAAGAAATAAAAAGGATTAATATACGCATTTTGTTTTAAACTAATTTTTGATTTAATAATCAATTTATTTATAAACCTGTCAATCAACTACTTAATTATTATTCACTACTAAAAATGATTCTTAAAATAACTGCTATGACGTAAAAATTTTTTTTTCTTTTTCGCGAATCATTTAATGAAACATTGGCCGGACTTTAAACTTTTACATTATTCAAAATTATTTTTATTTGTCGATTGGACACAATTAGCACTTCTTGAATAGGTATTTTTAAATTTAATGACTGAAATTTTGTAGTAAATTGATTGTGGTTTTGAATAAAAACTACAACAAAAAAATGCCAACCTTTTTTTTCCTTGATAAAAGATGATTTACTTATACTTCTTAAGTGTTATTTTGTATGTAAATGAAATCATCTTTAATTCAAATTTAAATACTAAAATAGTTTATTACAACATTTGAATTAATTATTCAAGAAAAAAAGTGATTAATAAAAAGCCAAATATATTGATATTGATTAGATTAAAATTAACTTATCAGTCATCATCTTGCAATCTCAATTACTATCAATAAAAAATAAATGATAGTGCATTTTTCAGTGATTATCAAAACAACAACATGAAGCTATTTCAAGATGTTAATGCTATTATATGGAAGAATTTTTGACAGTAGTTTTCTCACTAAACAATAGAGGAGATTTGCACATGGTGAATGTTTTAGCAGAAGGTGGTCTAAAAATAGGAATGAAAATAAAATTTTTCGTTAGTGTTAAGACTTGACATGACAATGTGTGATATAGATATAATATAAAAAACAAGTCACGTCGACACCCATTAATTTTAGAAGAACGCAATTAACCAAGTCAATGACGTCAAAGATGAGACATAATAATTATATAAGAAAATGGTTCTATTAACCTATGTGGACTTGGCGTGTTATTAAATGCTAAATAATTCCAATCAGTTTGTCATTAAGCTTTGAGCAACAAGTTTTTTCTTCTTTTCTAATATTAAATAGTTGATTTTTTAGCTGATATCAATACAGCGTAACGAATCTCGGGTTTTTCCAGAACACATTATGAAATCAGACAAAAAAAGTTAAACTTATCATACAAATGTTCAAATTATTATCTAATCGGAATGAATAAGGATCAGAGAATTTTTCATAGACGTAATAAGTGCATCATCATGTAATAAATGAATAAATAGTGATATGGAATAGAAGAGTAGTTGATCAGCAGTTGATAGTCCTTCATAAAAAAAAGTGTGCCTGACCTTGACACGAAGTTTTCAGACTCCCGACCTTCCGCTTGAAGGTAAAAAAAAATCCATGCACTCAGATCGTCTCTCAATACAAAAGCAGTCGTCCTCCAGTTTTTCTTCTTGACTTTAGTTAAGATTCAATACGCGGCAACTTGTGTGCACGCGTCTTGAATCACATGAAGTCAACGAACCCTTTTCTAAGCGAGAAGAGGATGCTGTGATTCGAGATAAGAAAAGAGAATACACGACCGAAACATTGACGAGGTCGTGGTATGCCTCTTGAATGTGGCAGTCGTTCAGTTCTTGTTCTTCTTGAGTTAAGAAGAGAACATACGAGGTAATCGGCTTGGAAGACACACAAACTATCCTCTGTTTTCCTGAACGTATTCTGTCTTGTCTCAGTGCAAGAGTGAGAGAGGTAAAAAGATTTATTTACACAAGTTGCAGCTAACACGCTCTACGGAGAGCGTTCAAGATACTAAATGTGTGCATGTACGTATGTAGGACAGAAGCCGGCTCTGTTGGCACTATCGTACTCGCATAGGGGGAAGCTGTTTTCCCCTGCCCCTCATCTTGATTCGTAAGTGGTGGGGATCAGTGTTCCGGCAGACAGCTTGGCGTCCTATGAATCGTATTGCAAGAGACTACACATGACGTCTTTCTTTCTTTTCCTTCTCTATCTACGTTCTTACATTTACCATACTCTTATCTATTTTTATATCTCTCATTCTTTTTATTCACTTACACCATCAACTTTATGCACTCTGCTAATTTCTCGGATTATTTCCAACGATTAAGGCCCACAACATTTTACGACAAGTGCTCTCTTCTTATTAACCCTGACAGAATAAATTTCTTTCAGTAATAAGAGAATCAAGTAAAGTTTACGCTTACACCAAAAAATTTTATTCATTAGGAAAATCATCAAAATTACCTCATTTGAATAAAAATAGATGTATGACTACTGTTGTTGTGTACAATCAAATTAATCTTTATTAACTATCGGACAGTTTAAATGTATTTTTAATATCGCGTGCCCCAAACGAATCTTTAAATTATGTCGTCATTGACCCCAACATCAAAGGGACACTGAGTTTGTCACTTGTCGTCAGAATGTAAATATAAATATGATTCTATAAAATTCAAAACTACTCAGTGTTATATTATTAGGCCTTGAGGCGTAAAGATAATTTTTATTCCCATGTCACCAAAATGATTGAGAAAAATTATCAATGTTTCCTCCATATCTTTTTACTGGCCTATTCTCTCCGACTTACTTCAACAATTAGTCGCATCTATTTATATTTAATTCAATAAATGATACTTTTGTCTTATTTTGGCTGCCTTTATTTACTTCAAATTGGTGTTTTTAGGAAATTTCATTGTCTCTATTTATGATTCATATATGTAATTAATTTAAAAAATTAATCTTTCATATTAATCAAAATCTAACAAAATTAAAATCATTTAAACATAATTAAGGTTTTTGTTTGATTAATTAATTTAATTTAAAATGGTGTTTTTAGGAAAAAAAGTCATTATTATTAATAAGTAGTAAATATTAATACAAAACAGTATTGTTCTTTTTTTAACGAGACCTTAAAGTCTCCTTTAATAAATTGTTTTTCAAAATAACTTGCCATTGAAAAGTCAAGCACTACTCTTTTATGATAGGAGGAAAGAAATACGTGAACTCCCCACTATAAGAAAATCTAGAAAGCTCTCTGGTCGCAGAGCTGCTTGAAGTCACCGGTTTCGCGCTCAGAATTCACAAACACTTTTACAGAATGAGGGGAAGTGAATAACTTTTAGCCACCTGTAGCTAAAAGTCCTCCCTTTTAAAATAACACATCCATAACATACTACTAAATAAACAAATCTCTTTCAACTTCATTCAATTACATAATTAATTTTATTCGCGGTTATTCATTTTTTTTAATAACTTCATTAATGCAAATATCATATAAACCGAAAAATAACATCTTTTTTTAAGTAAATATTTTTATTAGACGATTTCTATCGTCTCGTATACATGATATGTGAGATATTAATAAGTTATAAATTCTCTCTTCCTTCAAGGTCTATAAAGATAAGTAAATAAGTCGGAAAAAGAAAGGTCTATCCCACACGCCAAAGAACAATAATCTATAATAATAAATGTGTATAAAAACAATTAATATGTATTCGTAATAGAGAGAATTAAATGTCAATACAATTAAATATGTTTCAACATTATAATCCCATCCCTTGTGATCTTATCTCTATCTCTGCTCTGCCTACCATATCATATTCCAGCTTTACATCAAAATTATATGTTTCAATAAACCAATAATACGCCTAACAATTGAGACAATTATTTACAACTTTATATCATTATATAGTAATGATTTTTTTTTCTTTTTTTCTAATTTATATACATATATATTTTATAAATAAATTACACATCATGTGTAATGAATGATTTTATCTGTACATGTTAGTATTTTTATGCTATATATGTTTATGTTTAGTGAATCACTTACGTTTTATTTGGAGAACGTTCTAAAAATAATAAAAAATTCACTAAAAAATCTGCGAATTATCGCAAAAAAGCGACAATGTTCAACACTTGAATATGAACCAGTTCACTGACACTGAGGACGTGATTAAAGACACGAACGTCTAATGTATCAAAAAGAGTGTTTTAACTAATCACGTCTATTGATGGTGTATAACTATTCAGAGGATACAATAAAATAAGTAACAAATTCAATAAGATACTGTTAAGAGCGTATAAACCGGAATTGTATAATGGATTATCGTCAACTAAAAGTGCGTAAGTACACGCAAAGTACACGCAATCTTGTCAGATGCGACTCTCTTGGTGGTTCGGGCTAACATTAACTAGCGCGGACTGCAGCCGCTTATAATATGGCCGAGGCGCGAACCAATCGGATCCCGCCGCTCTTGCTAGCCCCCCACTTCCCCTCTATCGATGGTAAGATCCCCCGCGTGTTATTCCCGATCGTCGTACCACCTTTGCTTTTTTACTTCTCTTTCTTCTCATCTTTTTCCTTTTATTTTCTTTATTTTCTCACTCTTCCACAGACTTTTACTCATCCTTCATTACTGATAATCATTCATTCGCAGAAGAATGCTCCAATTTCAATTAAATACTTATACTCCTAATAAATCTACTCCTTTCGCTTTCTGATAACTTTTCCATTTTCCTACTTCTCATGTGCCCCTTACCATCTTCTATTTTTTTTATTGCTTACGTGTAATTCTATGCAGTAATTATTATAACAAGTCAAGAATGATACCGTCACCTTACTACCAAGTCGTTCTGGTTTCGATTGCGCAGCCAAGGTATAATTAAAAGACAGAGCTGCAAACTCACACATCTTAAAGATAATTTCAAGTTAAATGTTATCATAGATTTTTTCAAGATTAACATTTTCCATTGATGTAATTGGTTTAATGTCTCATTTAGCTAACTCATTTTAACTATTATTTTTACAAGTAAAAGTGTATTTTGTTATTATTTATCTATCAACTAATCATTTATTCATTACTTTTTATTTTAATTTTTTAGTGTCAATTATAATTCCATGAAATACAATTGATATTCCCTAACAAAAACTTTCAATTTCAGTACATTTTTTGCCTTATTTTAAATGATGCAATCTCATTCAATTTAGCGATCAGCTTCGAGTTATTTAATACATCATCTAATATATAGGTACCTGTTATCTACTTTGACCTGCAATTGATTATTTCAACACAACTTTTTTTTTTATGTAGAAAACCACTTCACTAATTTATCTATTAATAGATTTACTTTTTTTCGGAATAATAAAATAAAAAAAAAATAAATAAGAAAAGAAACAAAAATGAAAGGAAGAGAATTCATTTGATTTAATTTGAAAAGGGAAATTAAATAAAAGTTAATACTCGATTCCGTATATACTTGAAGATGTTATAGATATTTAAAAATACATATCAAAGCTGTCACTTCAAATATACTTTTAATTCAAATTTATTAAAGAAAATACCACATAAATCACTTTTGCTCTAGATATTTAATCACTATGGGATTAGATCACGATATATCTACTAATATTTTTAGTAACATAACAAATATAAAATGAAAACTGAGATAAACATTTAATTCTTTACTATATACCTTACAGAAAAATACATTGGTACAATTTTTTTGTTATTTTATCTATGTTTCTATAATAGACACGTGGTTTGTTCTTTTAAAATTCTATTTCAACTCTGAAATTTTTATTTTTTATTTTTTCAAAAACATTTATCAAATTAATATATTATTATTATTATGTTTAATAATTATTTAAGTAAATAAAAAAGCATTCTTTGTTTCAATAATAGTGTGAAACTTAATGAGTTTAATTTAATCACTACCTGTAGTCGAGACACTAATTTCGTTCACCTAAAATACCACACAAAGAAATATTACTCATACAAAAATCACCTCAGACATTAGTATGTAATTGATAAATACATATATGTGTACACATATTAAACGATTAATAGTAAATATTTTATTCTGTGACTAAAAGAGGGCGCATAAAATATTCATTCATCAATTTGTACTCGTGTTTAATTTGCTCCCCGACAATAAAAACTTGCAACAGGTCATGGAGACTGTATGAAACTTTCAAAAACGTAACGGAACTAAAGTGAAAAAAGATACACAAAATAAATGAAATAAAACAAACAAAAATATCATTCTCACCTTACAGTAAACCGTTGATATATAAATTTTACTCCAACACAGCGGGATAAAAGTAACACATTGTAACAACTATCAGTTCCAGGTGGCAACAGCCAAGATATGATGGAAAGTGTGAGAAGACTGAGTGGTTCCAATATAATATAATGGTATGTTGATAAAAAAATTTCACTTTTTTGATAACAACAATATAATGTAATGATTTAAAAATAATGGTTTAACCAATTTCACTCTCTAGTCCAATACGAGTTAAATCAAATATGAAATTTTCTCCACTTCTTATCATCGACTCCATCACACAAATAATAACGTAAAGACCGATAAATTCACCCAATCAATTGTCCTCGTACATCGTTCCTCACGAGCAAATTAATTACGACTTCCGGTACTTTTGCTCTGCCCAATGAACATTAAACTGAGCCTGCGCGATACTCAATACTTGTCTCAAAAGTTCTTTCTTTCTGTCGCAACACACTTTTGATTGAATATATCCTATAAAATATATTGTCTTTATATTCTTATAATGAAGGTTTGTCTTGACGTGAATAGACCTCCAGTAGGTGGGTTATGACATCCACAATCTCTCAAAATGATTATTGAAGGCTTTAAATTCTAATACTGATGGGGCGTTTAATGTCTGTATCCGTACCAGCCAGTGTGCAGGCTGCTTAGCGCCGCTCATATATGTATCGTATCGTGCCAGTTGATTTTCTCACGCCGCGATTTCCGTCCGAGTTCAAACCGCTCACCCGGACCCTTATGCATCAACAAGGTACTGGAAGCTTATATATCCAATACTATGTCCGGCACTAACAAAGGAAATCAGGAGTCTTTTTCCACAATCAAATCAACTCGACACTTGCTCCGTTATTTCCTTACTATTTTTTCAACGTTTTTACTAATTCTATCAAATACCCTCTATTACAATATCAAGATTCAATCCGACGAAAATATAAAATACGATCATACAGCGTGACACAAGAGATTAAAGTTGGTACATCACGTAGCGCAGACTGTCGCTGGTATAGACTGTAGAAGCAGACGAACCGTAACGTGCGGTTCACTCTTTCTTTCTACCACACGTGGATCAGACAAAGACACCACACTATGACACTGGTCACGAGAGAGTAGAGAATATAATACTCACTTTGTCAAACAAATTATCCGTTTTATATACACAGGGAGCCGGCCGTGGGTGTGCATACAGGCACTTAACGTAGTTAAAGAGACCCTCGTGACTACTACGATTAGGAAACTTGTGTGTGTAAATGTGTTACCCATGAGGAAGAGTGAGATGAACAGAGAACGAAAGATTATTCCACATGAAAGTTGTACATGTATGTTATCTACTTCGATGCATTGTCTCACCTCAATACTTTTGTGACACTGTCTAATTTATTATTCCAAACGATTCACTTCATTTGTATTTTTTCAATTGTGAAAATAAAATCAAATCTTCCTTGCTATTGGAATTTATTCCATTATTTTCATATCGATATTTTTGTCACATTTCTTTCAAAGTATTTGTTTATCATAAATCCATGTTAAATTAGAATGTTATCGTGCTATCTCAGACATGATAGGAATAATTTTCATCTACAGAGCATCGACATCGTGATACAACAGTTATGTTATCAAACATATAAACTGATAGTCATTGTACCGATATTACTACTAAAAGATTGCTTTAATTCATGTTGGTAATAATATGCAATTATTGTACTCGGTTTTAATCGATTTACTTTTACCTATTAATAATATAATAGACACTTGATTGTGCACTTTTCATTCATTTCATTTTATTATTAGCTATTAACACTGTTAACACTATTCATAAATACTGATCAAACCTTTTTCATTCCCGTTTGAAATTTGCTAGAAGGATTATCTTTTGCGTGAAAACGAAAAAATAACAAAGAAACGAGTTATTTATAACTTGACAACCTCCCTGAGAACGGAAAGTAGCTCGCCTTCGAGATTCCGTAACGAATTCTCAGAATGGTTCGACACAGCGTCAATTCTTTGCAACCAACAAGCTATGTATTCTGATACGCAACTAAAAACCTTTTCATTCTTATTTATTTTTTTCTATATAAAATTAATAAGCCTGCACACTTTATTTATTGTTACAACCTTTTATACACTCAACGCACCACATCTATCATTTTATTTTTTATTTTTAAAATTCGTCTAATTACGTTAATAACACTTGTAAATGCTTCTAATTTAAATGAATAAGTTTTAAAAAATGGATCAAATAATGATCTATGTAAATAACTGCAAAATAAGAGAGAATAGACCCAGGGATTACAACAGTTCTATTGCATGTCATTTAAACCAGTTCACTCTGGAAGTGATTGTATCAGTCGACAGGTGATCCGGTCATTTTCGAGGATGCTAATATTTAACTATCAGGTCTCAAGGAAATAATGATATGTAAACTTTAAAAAGAGCCAGTCAGAACTAGTTAAAATTTTTACATTTGAATTTTCACTAGTCTCATCAGTGACGTCGATATTCTGCTGATTGAACTTAAGTAATTTATCGCCCAGCAAAGCTTTTTTCTTCCTTAAGACACCGTCATTAATTAACACAATATATTCAAGAAATACCAGCTATTTATTACTCACGGGATTCATTGAACATCTATCATATTTTCTGCATCTTGTATGTATAAATATGCAATAATATTTTAATAACATCTTGCTCCACAATAGAGATTCTCTAATCAACAAAGATAATGATGGTAAAAATAGAAATTTACATAATCAACTAGTTTAGATAGAATATTATTAAAGTGATGTTTTTAACTTTTGGTAATGATACTGTTTGTTTGTTTTGATAGTATAGAAATGAGCTAACTGATTTTAATGAAAGTTACAACTATGATTCTAGAAGCTTATTGATAATTAGAAGCAACAGATGGCTAATATCGCAGGACTTAAAAAGACTAAAGGGAAATAAAAAAGTGAAAAAGAGTAGAGATAAGATTATGCGAATGAGTGCGTCAGAAGGCGTATAGTAAATCTGATAGGGTAAGTTTATGAACACGAACGCGAGCCAAAGCTAACATAAAATCAGAACATTTAATTAACACAAACATTTAATCTGAACGAATTCGTTTATATTGTTTCCATTGGATTATTATTGAATCTAGTGACGCATCTATTCTACTACAA